GTAGCAGTGTTTGCTTCCAAGGGGCCTGTATCAGGAGAAGTACTTGCGCAACTAGTAATTAAGGTATATACAATATGCAGTGCAAATATTTTTATATATATCATATTTTTCTCATAATTCAACAAAAAATTGCTAAATATGTAATATGCTTCATACTGTCTTTATTTTTTTCATATTATAGGCTATTGCATTATTAGAAAATATCAATGTTAAAGTCCATGGTATAATTACTGACGGTGCTGCAACTAATAGAAAATTTTGGAATATTGTAGGTGTATCTGGAAAAAAAGATGATTTAATTAATGTTTTTAATCACCCCACTGTAAACGGGGACGACGTTATATATATGTATTCTCAGATACACCACACCTTATCAAAACTATTAGAAATCGATTATATAGTACACCATTACAGGTAAAATAATAACTCAATTTTTATGTGGTTGTGTGTTACTTCGTGCATAATGTACTATTAAGAGAGATTTCAGAAAATCGAAGTATTATTATTGTTTTTCGAAAAAATAGTGAATTTCTCTTATATTTCATTTAGCTTTTGACGTTATGCCGCGTCCTTCATAGATTTGTTTTTGACGTTTTGTGAACCTTTTACTTCATTTCTTGAAAATGAGGATCAATTTGATATTCTATATATTCAATATAAAATCGATCCTTATTCTAAGAAAGTGAAATGAAATTCTCACGAATTCTCACGAATCGCCAAAAACAAATCCACAAAGAATGCGGCGCAAAGTTGGAAACCAAGTCAAATATTTATTCACAATGCGAAAATTTAAAATATTTAATCTCTTTCGTTTTTATTTTTAGCTCAATTCTGATGAAAAACATATCAAATGGGATTATTTCCGAATATTACATAATAAAGATAAATCGCTACTAGCTCTAATGCGAATATGTCCAAAAATAACAACCAATCATTTAATACTTACTAACGCAGCTAAAATGAGAGTTCATCTAGCTACTCAAGTAAAACATCTTAACAGTATTTTATTTAACGTTTTAACAGATTATTTAATAGAACAGTCCAATAGTTTACAAAATATAAACTTTATATAAACGCCATTGTTATAGGTTTTTAGTAAATCGATGTCTCATGGATTGAGATTTTATAAAAATTTCTTACCTGAATTACAAGAATGTGATAACACTGCAAACTTTTGTGAATGGATAAATAACTTATTTGATGTACTAAATCGAAATAAAGTTTCTGAAGGTTTCTGAAGTTTTGACTGTTGAAAATACGGACTACAAAGTAAATTAAATATTTTCAATTAGTTAATAATTGTTTTGTAATTTATATTCGTTTTTTGTCTATATATTTATGTATTTTGAAGAAGCTAATATTATGCTAAACGTTCAATTTCTTAATAGATTTTAGAGACATCTCTTGAAAAATTAGATGCTTGGGAGCAACATGTCCTTGATGGTACTATTAAAGAGGAAAATTTTTTAACAAGACAAACTGCTGAAGGTCTTCGCGTGACGATAAAATCAACATTAAATATAGTAAAATATTTAACGACAAATGCTGGTTTTCCCTCTGTTTTAACAGGCCGCTTGAATCAAGATTCACTCGAGGTTTGATAACAAAGCTCATATTTCAGTAATCATAATGTTACATGTAACATATATATGTTAGTTAAAATTTCCTACTTAACATGTAAATGTTATATAACACACATGTTACATAATAGCTACATTGTTGAGTAGGAAATTTTAATTAACATGTACGTTGCATGTAACATCGTATTTGCTGGGATGTGTCTCTAGGTAACAGAATGACATCTAAAGACGTCTTAATGATGTATTATTGATATTAAAGGCGTCATTAATAAATTATTAATGTCACTTGATGTCATTTTGTTGACTGGATATATATATGTCTATATATGCAAACATTTAATTATGAAAGACACATGTATGTATATATATATATATATATATACCCAATCCTAACATTATTTACATACTTAGACCATCTTTGGATCGTCCCCAGGAAAACCTTGCACTGTTAGAACAGTACATAAAAAACATTAGATCATCTTAAAATATTGATTATAAAATCAATCCATCAATTCATGTGTGTGTATATTCTATGATATATTTAAAAATATATACAATACCTTTTAGAACTGTGACAAAAAATATTTAATTTTTCGTAATACCTTTGAACGTTTATTATAGGAAATATTTAAAACATTATTTTTATTACAAGTTAGTATTAATATGTTTCTATATATTGTTCCATAGAGATTTTTTGGTTCAATAAGACAAGCAGCAGGATCTAATGACCATCCCGCAACCCCTACCTTTCTCCAACTATATAAAATTTTGAGTACTTCAAGCATCCTTGAACCCCCATGTTATGGAAATTGTTCTATTGCAGATAGTACAAAACCTATAATTTCTATATCTGATATAAAACAATTATATGAAAAACCAGATAAATCCTTAACAAAATTAAAAGACAAGTTGGATCATGCTGTTGAATACAGCGAATGGATTCTTGATGATATAATAATAGATCATGACTATCATCTACCTGAAATAACTGATTGTATCGTCTATTGTACAACGAGATATTTATGTAATTATATTTTAAAATTTACAAAGTGTGATATATGTAAGAACGCTATTACTGATCCCATAACGTGTAGCCTTTTTCCTGCAGCGCTGTTAATAAATATCAAAACTGATGGTCGTCTAACACATCCAAATTTAAACATGTTTAAATTTATAATTTACTTAGAAAGCTTATTTTCAAAATATTGTCATCGTGCTGATGTATATGAGACCATTATAGATAATATTTATACAGAAAATTTGTCTTTTCCATGTAAAGAACATGGTGATGCTATTTTAGCAAAAATAATCGAATTTTACATCTGTATGCGCATGAGGCAATACTGTCATAAAATTAATAATGTGAAAAAGAAACAAAGTCAAAATATTAAAAAAACTGTGAAATATAAAAATTAAATAAAAAATATCCTAAAACAACAAAAATACTTTATTATTTATGTACCTACCTTATTTTATACTATCTATTTTATTTTGTGTTGTACATTTTGATTATATAATTATAAAGAAATATATATATATTTATATTTTTATTAATTTATATATATATATATATATTATTATGGATCAAACATCTATAGTAAGAATTCAAAACATATACATATAAATTTGTATTATGCTATTGTGAAAAAAGCGAATGGACTTTCAATAAGTTCATAATAAAGTATTATTATCTACCTGAAATTACAGATTGTATTATCTATCATATAACAGTATATTTATGTAACTACATATTAAAATTTAGAAAGTGTAACATATGTAGGAACGCATTTACTGGTCCTATATCATATAACCTTTTTCCTTTAACATTACACATATATATTAACTGTGTTGACTGTTGCCAGCGCCGCGACTTCAATAAGTGGACACCTGAAACTACGAGAAACGGGGGGCTGGTTCCGATATTCACTGCCACTACTGAAAATACATAGTTTGTGTCACCTATACTCATTGAACTATATAACTAACTAGAAGGAGCGCTGGCCTGGTAAGGGCCGCGGCTAGAGAGAGAGAGTATCCAAATAGTATCTCTGTTTTTGTCTGTCACGTATTACCTGAGCTAAAAACGTAGCTCACCTGTCACATCATGTCACTTGCGCTGTGTTACATAGGGTGCATTCCGATATTCACTGCCAGTGCTGTGAACGTGACGTCATAAAGCAGTGTTGGCGATGTGTTCCGTAATAGCTTATATCAGAGAGAAGAATGAGAGCGGCCACCGGCCGTATTTCGGGGGATATGGCTAGGCGCATTTTAGATACGCCATCTGACCAAAATGCGCCTAAACTACGTCCGCTAGGCGCACTTTCACGGTGATAAAAGTAAAATGCGCCTAGGTTCGTGTCCGTACTACTTCCATGCAATGGATAGTAGATTAGAAAAAGACAGACGACAGACAATCGTTCCGTCTTTGTCTCACTATTGAGCGGCGCGCGGCAGTAAACACGAGGCGAGGTAGCGGCGATCTTATCGCTAAGCGAACATCTCTCCGCTTTTCTTTCATCTTTCACGCTCCAGAGACATCAAAAGACGCGGTAGCGTCTCGTGTCAAGGGAACGTGCGAAGCGAGGAATTATTTTTCACGCACGCGAGGTAGCACATGGTAGACTAGACGAGCGTCGACATATTATCTGTTTCTTTCCCGCTCGTCTAGCTTATTGACTGCGTGAGCCGCGAGATTTTTCTCGCTACTCCTATACCTCGCTCTTTCTCTCTCTCTCTCGCTCGTTCTTTCTCTCTCGCGCACTTGCTCGCTCTTCCTCTCTTCTCGTGATCTTACGGCTTGGTTAAATATATTAATTACATGACAATATATATATATAAATAAATGACACATATATAATGTATATGTATATAAAGAATATTTAGTATTAATGCACAAATAAAGAAGAGAGAATTATAATGAGAGACGAAAAGTTAATAGAAATCCACTCTTAGCCAATATATACATCTTTTAAAAATGATTTGTTATTAAAGTATATGACAGAATAATTTATTTATGCTAATAAATTTAAATTAAAAATTAAATGAAATGTTATTTGTTTTGTAAAAGATATTCCATTGTTACATTTTTCTTTTCGTAGCAAAAATAAATTTAGTCTAGTAAAAGAAGAAATTAGTTTTATTATCATATTTCAATTACGACTTTATTATTTAATTTTACGAATAGATAACGTGCATATTGTTGCTCAACGGAAACCGCGAGAAAATAGTGATCTCCGTCAAAAAATAAATGCAAACTTTTTAATAATATAATAATTTTTTTACGTAAGTGTTTGTTTTTATAGTATAACCTGTTGAATTTTATTAATTATTAATTCAGCACGTTATAGTATAAAAAATATATTTTAATATAAAAATTAATGTAATATTACTATACTTTTGCGTTTTTATTGGAATTATTACAGCCTGAATTATGTAAACGCGACAGATACGGAAGACATCCGATATCTCCTGAAAAGCAATTACTTTTAGCGATCTGGTTCATAAGTACACCGAATTCTTATCGGTAAAGATTAAACACTACACCATAAAAGTATATATAATTTAATATAGAAATATTGAACAAAATTATTTGTTTATATAGGTGTGTTTCTGACAGATTTGGTGTCCGTATAAGTACAGCGAAGTGTTCAAAAAGTGGTGAATGCTTTATATAAGAAAGTAGCAACATTTATTCACTGGCCAACTGTGGAAGAAGCTGAACACAGTATAGAAACAATTAAAAGAAATCATGATTTTCCTGGTGTGATTGGTGCAATTGATGGAACACACAAAAATTATTACCCCACAAAATAACAGTGATTCCTATATAAATAGAAAAAGGTTTTACTCTATTCAGTTACAGGTAAGAGATAAATTATAGTATATTTTAATATTGATATATTTCTCTAACTATATATATGCGTGTATATAATTCTAAATATATGTCTTCAATGTTGTATTACATCATTAGATTATTATATCAGATTATAAATTCAGATTGAGATTGTATGAGTTAGCCACTATTACAATGCAGGGAGCAAATTTTACTTGATTTTGTAAATGTTCTTTCCTTATTAGCATTACAATTCACAAACTAATATGTATATATCTCAACAGGTTGTTTGTAATGAACAGTTGCAATTTATACATTGTTATACGGACCAAGTTGGTTCTGTACACGATATGCGTATTTTCCGTTTGTCTAATTTTGAAAAAATGTGTACAGATAATAATTTTCCGCACGACAGCCACATATTGGGTGATACAGCCTATCGTCTCACAAAATATATAATGGTACCATTTAAAGACAATGGTTATCTATCTGAGCGTCAAATACGTTTCAACACTCGCCTCGTTTGCACGAATGATGGTTGAACGTTCAATAGGTCTATTAAAAGGTCGTTTCCGAAGTCTTTTAGATACACTTCCAATGTATAGAACTGATTTAATACCTAAATATATAATCGCTTGTTGCATTTTGCATAACATATGTTTGTTGCAAAACGATACGATAGACATTCCTGTCATTGTAAATGAACAAAATCGTGCACAAACAGAACCATTTGAAGACACACAAGGAGGAGTTGATAAAAGAAATGCAATTATGTACTTCTTATCGTAAAATGCCTTTTATTTATGTTTATCATAAAACAAAACATGTGAATTATAAAATAAAAATAAGTTTTGTATTTAAACAAATTTGTTCTATACTTTTTTCCATAAATATCACAAATCATTGAAACATAATATTGCGATTTTAATTAATTATAATTTATACAATGTAATACAATGTAATAAATACATGTAATATTAACATATAACATATAACTTGAGAAACTAAAACAATTTGTACTTTCACTTTCTGTTGCGGATTCGCCGAGAATCAGCAACACTGCGCGTGATGTTTACACGATCATGATCGCTGTGTCGCCGCTGACGTCAGTGTACAGGTACGAGGCGACTCTCCGACATTCTAATGTCTCGTGCGACACTCGCTGCGCTCGGCGTGATTGTTCGGCCTCCCGACACGTGAAAACACTTATTCCAAACAAAATTTGTGATGTGTCGCGAAGCTAAACCAATCAGTGAGCGCCAACTAATCCAATCAGACTTGTTTTTTGTTCTAATCGAGAATCCGTTCGAAGCATCATTTTGTGTATTTTCGAGAATTTTCCACCGCCGGAACTCTCTCCGATTTCTGTCGTTGTCCCGGACGGACACTCAGTTCTTGCTCGCTGTCCTGAACGGACTCTCGATTAGTCATTCTTTTTCTTATTGTTCTTTTTGTTTCGCGAATTTTGTCTAAATCTTAAAACTTTGTAACGTCCTACGCCGATTATCGTTTCCGATAGCCGGGCGCACCGATCATCCGCCGCTAACGAAAATCGCTGACGTCGCGAGATCAACTGCTCGAAGCTCCGAAGCACTTCTCCCGGCGCTCCGATTAATTGTAACTCGGCTAAATACATTTATTTAAGAGCATTTCGTCGCAGCGACCGAGATTCATTTCGATTCTTTTTTGTTGGTGCAACCCGTCTTCTGCGATCCGTTCCATACTCTCCCGCGCTTCTTGCGAAGCGGTCCCGGCACGCGTTCGCTTCATTTTACGCGCGAACACTTTCTATATCACAGTATCAGTATCACATTGTATATTTCTTATAAACTAGTTTTTTTTTAATATAATATTAATTATATAATATTAATTTTCATACAATTACAAAATACATTTTTGATAAATTATCAAACTATAAATGGCAAGTCGACTAGATATCGGATCTGTCTTTTAGATATTTAGAAGCGTTTAGAAGACATCGATCCGGTGTGTTGTGTGCTTATTCGACTGCTATTTCTGAATAGTAAAGTCTTAATAGTAAAGTATTTACTCTTATTAGGTACATTTTATAAGAAATTAAAGAAAAAACATTTTAAGAATATATCCTTTGTCTAATATGACTTCTACTATTCTTACTAGGAACATTTTATAAAAAATTAAGGAAAAAAACATTTAACAATTAAAAACATTTAAAAAAACAACTAAGAAAATATCCTTAGTCTAATATGACTTCTACTTTTCCGACTTATCTTCTTTTTCTGTCAGTCTCTCTAATATATTTTCGATTTTTGAAAGGCGAGTTTTGAAAGGCGATTTTTGAAAGGCGAGTAATTTCTCTTCATGCTGTTTTGTCCGAATTTCTCGTCGCTTAACGCGTTCTTCCATACTGAATGATATATAATCATTTAGTAATGTACGCACATTTGTCTTTTTAGTGAGTGACACTATAAATTTACAATAAACAATATATATATCATATATATTTACGCACACATACACTATTTTATATATATCATAAGACATGTTATACGTTATCTTTTTCTAGAAGATTTTCTTTGTCTTCATCTAAATCAATAGCATTTTCGTTTTCGTTTAAATACGATCCTGCTACTGCCATAGGTTGCATCCAGGGTTTCTCATCAAATAACTCTTGCATTATCTGTATGTTAAATAAATCTCAAAATGTTAAACTGATATTATGGATATTGTACTAAGCACACACATACACTAACATATATAACTTAACAAACAAATAAATTTGAATATTCTAACCTGTAAATATTCCCAATCCTTCCTGTTATTCCCAGTTTTATTGTTGTGATCCATAATAGACTTATATGTACGTTTCAAAGCTTGCAGTTTTGTAGAACACTTGAAACCACTTATATAATGTCTCTCTTGCACGAGTTGGGAGATAGTATCCCAATGCTTTTTTATTGTATCCTTTCCACCAACAAATTTTTCTTGATGTTCACGATATAAGCCCAAAAGTAAGAGAGTTTCTTGTTTTGTCCATGCATGTGTGCCTGCAATGTGATGAAATAGGAATTCAATATTTGCTCAAAACATATGTGAATATTTAAATAATATATAACTGTCCATCTGCCAATGGTTTACCTTCTGCACATTCTACTGCTGTATCTAGACTAGCTGTTGATGTCTGCTGAATGCTACTGGTACTTGCTACAATTATAAACATATTATGTCAAGCTGAATTTAATAATGTTTATTTGCTTATCTATATTGCTAACATAAAGCTTATTATTTTTCATTGCACTAATAAACTTATGCAAGTTATTCAGGTAACAAATAGTATAGCTCATGCAAAAATCGCGATTTTGACATCAAAATGATGAATCTGCTTACCTGGATAGAATAAAAGAAGGCATATCTGTCTTATTCTATCTCATTACATTAGCTTAGAAGTGCAGTGAAAAAGAACAGGGTTATAATTCATTCTGACCCTAGGCTCTGATTCTTGAAAATATATCGCATACAATATTTAGTGAAAAACTATAATATACGTGAAATGAACTATAGTTTTCTATGAAATATCGTATGCGATATATTTTCAAGAATCCAAGCCCTGATAATGAAAATCACTTATACCTTGCTGCGAAGTACATATATTTCTTGACTGTCTTGCATGCTGTAATAACTGCGTAGCAAGGTTAAATCTAAACAAGAAATACAAGTAGTTTTGACATGTAAAATATTTCAAAATAAATAAAAAATATACTAATTACTAATTTATGAGTTCATATTTTCAAGAATTTCTTTATATTATCCCGTTTTTTATAATACAAATTATATATATATTTTCTCCTTACCGTTTCGTGCTCTGGTTGCATCCTTCCTGTTTACAATTAATGTAAAATTTTCGTTGGTAACAGCATCTACCAAACAAATTTCCTCCATCTTTTCGAGCGCAGCCATCTTTCTACTGCGAATGTTTTACCTTGCCAGTACCGCGATTCTGTAACTCGTTATTGGAGTTAACGACACTTTCGTTATCGTTGCGCAGCTTTTGTATACCGTAGAAAAGCTGCGCAACAATAACGAAATCGTCGTTAACTTCAATAACGAGTTACAGAATCGCAGCACAGTGGTGCAATTCTGTAACTCGTTATTGGAGTTAACGACAGTTTTGTTATTGTTGCGCAGCTTTTCTACGGTATACAAAAGCTGCGCAACGATAACGAAAGTGTCGTTAACTCCAATAACGAGTTACAGAATCGCACCACAGCCGCAGTAACGAAAACAGGAAGTGACGACAAAATCTATGACGTCACACGTTCTCACGGACTCATCGAAAGTTTACTGCAGTGCATTTTGGAACGTACTCACAGCACTGTCAGTACTGGCAGTGAATATCGGAAAACACCCACTATAGATTTTCAATGCTGGCAGTGAATATATTCAAAGTGAGGCGCAATAATCGATTTATATATGATACATCTTATACCCGCCGATATACTGTTACCCATCCTGTTCAAAAAACTTGTTTTTTTCCCTATCTTCTTACATATAATCGCAATGGCACCCATTTTTAGTTTACTATCAATGATTACACCGAAGTATTTTATTTTTTCCACCTGTTCTATTGTTGTCCCATCCATACATTTCACCACCGTACACGCCCAGATAGCCAAACTTGCGCGAGCAGATTTCGAACAAAGCCTGCTATCATAGTTTGATGGCAAATAGGCAACAAATTTAACGCAGAATCTGTTATATCAAATTATGCCGCCAATCTGCGGTCAAATATGCGCCAGATCCTGTTGTCAGATATTTGACGGCAGATTTGTAGCAAAAACCGCGCAAGAATTGCAGTAATTTGACGGCAGATTGGCGGCAGAAACTGAGCAAACTCTACGCGCAGACTCTACGTGTAGTTTGGCAGCAGGACCTGCGCGATTTCTGCCGACAATCTGCTCGCACGGCCTGTCATACAGATCCTGTCGACAAAACACGAGCCTAATGAGGACACAGATGGCTATGGTTTTGATCTGGAGATCTGATCGAAATTGGCGTCAATCTGCGCGCATTCTGTTAGCATTTTGCTAACTGGGCGTTTTCTTTCCTCATACCCCTTACAACCATATATTTTGTTTTACTTGCATTTAACTTTAATCCATTTACTCTTAGCCATCTCTCAACTTTATTAAACATAGAATTCATTTTTTTTCAACTTCATTACAACTTTGTGCCGACTGTGTACAATATGGTATCATCTGCAAATAATTTTATACTACATCCTTCTGGGCAACTTTTAATTATATCATTTATATATATAATAAACAATAAAGGTCCCAACAACCCTGTGGGACTCCATGTTTTAGTCTTAAGCAGCTTAGATGTTCTATCCCCAAAACGCATTTGTTGTTTTCTATTATCCAGATAAGATTGAAACCATTCCAATACCGTTCTTCTGATTCCATATTGATATAATTTTTTTACTAGCCTTTCTCTGTTTATAGTTTCAAACGTTCGTTTCAGATCCATAAATACTACTCCTATCATCTTATCCTCACTGATTATTAGTTTCCAGTCGTCTATAATCATTTGTATCGCAGTTTCACACGAGTGTTGCTTTCTAAAGCCCGATTGATTTTCCGTGATGAGGTCATTACTTTCTAGATGTAACTCTACCTGTTCTTTAACAATAATCTCCAGTACTTTTTCATATATCGGTAAAACGTTAATTGGTATATTCACTTGCATTCCTAGGTTTCGCCATTTTTGGTATCGGAACAATCATAGATGTCTTCCAACTATTCGGACATTGACCCTTCTTTAGAGAATCATTAACTACTCCTATAAACTCGTCCTTTATGACATGAAATACTGATTTTAATACCTTACTCGAAATTTCTTCCTCCGTTCCCTTTTTGTTCGGTAAGCTCATAACAACTTCCTCCAGATATTTTGTTTCAATCATTTGAAAATCCTCTATTACATTTCTTACTTCTACTTCTATCCCCTCTATAGTTTCTTTACCTGCTTTGTCTTTTTCTGTTTCTATAGAACCCACTATATTATTAATGCTATGCTCATAAAATAAGTTAAATTTATCTTCTATATTGTACTCTTTTATGGAAGAGAATGAGAGAGAGTGAGCGAGTGTATGAGAGTGAGAGAGAGAGAGAGAGAGAGAGAGAGAGAGAGGGACTGAAAAAGACAGAGAGGGAAAGTGAGAGAGTGAGGGGGCAAGAGATAAAGCTTAAGATGAGCTTGAATAGAAATGTTGAACGTCGAAATTTTCATTGGTTATACGGTTACGCGTTATTATTCAGAAAATATGTGTCATGGAATTTCAAACTGTATGCGCCTAATACATCGTATGTTGGAGTCGGATATTATCGAACTTATACTCCAGGGATTATTTTTGATTTATAATATTTATTCTGAACTTTAATATGAATAAGCTAAAATGGCGCGCGCGTAGCGCGCGCTTGTAGTGTTCTAGCTTGTAGTGTTCTAGTAGTGGTAAAAAGTAAGTAAAATGTACTTTATTTTGATATAAAAACGAACATCGACGACACTGCACGATCGCATATAAACGCATATTTTTTAGCATATATCATTACTTTTTTGTGCATAAAAAACTAATGTTTCATGTAAATCTGATATAATCCTTTCATCTCGTCCGCGCGTACATTTATAGACAAATCTTCTTCTTGTATATTCCTGTGAAAAGTCGTTTTTGAATTGTTCCATTCGCTCGTGGGGCATGTTTTCCAAATATTGTGTCACGAAAGATAGAATCATAACTGAAATAATTAATAATTAATAATTATTTTAAAATATGAAGATATAGTTTAAGCTGGATCTGTATTAAATATTGTTACTACAAATGATAATAAATTATTAGAGGTGACATCTGTCATCCGCCAACACATTGTTAAAGATACATACGTATGAATGGGCGAATATCTTCAGCGAGTAATGTTCTTTCACGATGGCTGCAGTGAAGTACATTAAAGCCAATACTTTTGAGCAACGTTTTTAATTCTTTCTGAGGTTGAAGAGAGTTGTAAAACGGCGGAATGAAATGATTTATATGCTATGCAAACACATAGGAAATATTGAACAATTTGTTATGATAAATATTTACGAAGGAATATAAGCAATAAAAAAGTATATAGGTAAAATTTACCTTTATATATGACTTGTAGCGTACATCTTGCGACAATTTATGTAGGATATCAAATACGTCGTGAGACACGACTGTTAGTGATAATACAGTTCCGCCAGGTCGAAGTAAATGATATATATTCTCAATTGCTTGTCTATTAGATAAAAGAAGTATATTTAATCTTTGGAGCACAGGTTTATTGGAATATATTGGTACAAGTTTTATCAGCAAATTATAAAAATAATTATAAATGATAAAAATTATAAAAATGATGATGGATAGATGTGGATAATTAAATTATGTAATACTTTCTCGAATGAGTTTATCCATTTCAATTTATATCCGTATTTCGTTAAATATCTATCTTACCGAATATCTTGGCACCAATTCAGAACATGAAATGTGAATGCGTGATCGTACTGAGAAATATATTTTTTTGGCAGCTCTTTTGTTTCAATATTAAGTATGTCGAAATTGAGTCGTATCTCGTCACCGTATACTTTCTTGGCGTGTGTAATCATACTCTCCGAGATATCCGTACCTTCAAACAAATCGTACTTAAATGATAAATCTCATATCATATTTTAGCAATATATTATTTTCATACCAGTGACTACCGCTTTTGCGTCGAGTGCGGATAGGAGAATATCTTTTGTAGTGTCACCGGGACCACAACCAATGTCCATACACTTTCCCGACATACATTTTATTTCTTCTTCAAACTCGTCAATTAAGCGCCGTACGAAAGTACGTGACATGTTGTTCACTTGGCTATATTCCGACGGATTTACCATGTTGGATTGAAAATACTAATTCGTATGTTATTTCGGAATATTATCTCCTTTCTCTACTTCTCCTTTATTCTTCACTTCTCAGTAATTTCGGATAATGTTTCGGGAAACAAACAGATGCCTCTGAAACATAAATCCTTGTTAAATTTATACAGCACGTCTCTAACATATTTACGGTTTGGTAGAATAACCTGTACTCGCAATGAATATTACCGATATAGTTTGCAGGATATTGTTACGTCCTGGAGGAGGAACGCAACTTGACGCTTGCTTTCGCAAGCTCCGACGTACTCGTAAATCTGCGGTGCAGATCAAGGATCGGAATGACCCCTTTATCTGGCGCGGACATACGTCGGTGGTCCTTTATTTAGGTCAAGGAACTGAATCCTTTTACCTGTGATAGGACCGTGAGCGACGGTTGAGGGAAGGGAGAATTTTTTGGTTGAGAATAATTATTTGGAAACCGTGATTGGCTTACAATTACAAACAACTTGTTTTATTAATAATTAGACGGATGTTCACAATGAAATAAAATTTACAAGCTTTTATAAAGTGTACATATACATAGATGTATAAACAATCGCGGTCTGAGCAAAATTCCGTTCGTTATGTCCGACTGTGATCGAAAAGATTGACCACTGGCGTCTGATTTAACAATTAAGGAGAAATGCCAAGGGGGATAGAAAACGGAAGTAAAACGAAAGGAAAAGAAAGGAGAGAGAAGAAAAGATAAAAAAATGAAACGAAAGAGGTCACTCAGGTAAAAGAAAATATAAATAACTTACTGCTGGACTTCTCTGATCTTAGTAGACAATGAAAGGTGTGGTTGCTATGTCTCCGTGAGGGTAGATGCCTCAAGTTCTGCGCCAAGAACAGGCAGCTGGTTTCGGCAGGATCGCTCTCAATGGTCCAAGAAGGCACAAGATCGTTGCACCGAATAATTAACAAATGAAGAATACTGGTCGGTCTAAGCCACAAGTTGGCTTGATTGTTAAGAAACCCTGAAGGGGTGCTGGAAAGAAGCGTCTATCCTGAGTGCTGGATCGGCGAGAAGTGAATGAAGCTTTTGACTTTTCTTAAAAAGTTAGCTCGGTTGAGAGAATGGGGTTTTGGGGGAAATGTTACAGAAGATTATTTTATAGGAAATAAGATACATGTGGCAATAAGAGGATTTCGAAAGTCTTTTGTAAATAAAAAAAACGTGGCAGCTATCTTAAGAAGTAAATATTGATATTTCTAAGAACGATGTCGTGGTACTGTTATCAATGATTAAGCGCGTGGAAAACAGGATAGGAGTTGATTCAAGATTGTTAGTATTTTCGGGGTATCGAAAATTCCAGAGATATTGTCGTGTGGTATCATGCCTGAGCGCATTCGGCCATATGATAAGTAATAAATTCGATTTCCCTTATTTATAAAAGAAGCCTAGGGTCCGCTGAGTCAGCAGGACGTAACAATATTGACCTTCAATAATCATTCAATGCATTTTCTCACTTGAGGCATAATATTAATAGGAAGTATGATGATTTAGATGAAGTCTTGTAACAATTTAAACATTGTATTACATACAATTATTAAATACAAAGTTGTTAAACATTATCCATAAAAATTCACCTTTGCGGAAGTATTACTTTACACTCTTTACAGAAACAATATGTAAATTTACTGTATGCGAGAAAATTATCGGCCATTGCTCCGTACGTTTCCGCTCCCACACGTTTACGATGCATCCCGAAATTTTATTTCCGTCATTACCCACGCTCGCGCGCGATGTGTTTACGATGTACTTCGGATTTTACACCTCCTCGATCGTCTCGTCTTTAGGAAGAAAAATAACAGGGAAATGGAAAAGATTCCCTTCCTCGTACCAATTATTCGTCTGCTAGACTAATGTGTCCCATGAATTTCTCTCTTTATAGTCTTTCACGCGCATTTCGTTCACGGTCAGTGGAAATCGCTCGCTCTCCGGTCCTCGGATTTTCACGACAGATGTTGGACTCGGTTCTTCCTTGGATAAATTTTCCACGGATGCTACATATTGCAGTACGTTTCAATATCCGATATCAAATGTTTTCATCGATCAAAGGATCGAGATTTCGGAAGTACAAAAAATCCACATGAATAAGTAAGACTCTATTGCTCATAATCATACATATAAGGCTGTATTTGTGAAAATTTCTTGGATATATAAGAGAAAATTATTATGACAGTAGATTATATAGTTTATGAAAATAAAATCATATTGAAAAAATATATGAAGGAAATATTAGGGGTATGATTTACTTTTGAAGGTTTTGTGAGACAGCACTGATATCAATTTTGTTGAAGACATTCCAATCACAGCTATTGTTTCTTAATTAATATCTTTAATATTAATCCATGATATCAAGAGGCACGGTAGTGCCTCGCGTCAAGTTCAAGCGCAACGAAGTTGCGCCCGAACGGCGCGAGGCACACCGTGCCTATTATACGCGAAACTGCGAGTTGGAACGAGGTGAGATATTCATATCTCAGCAATGGCTGAACCGATCGACGTTTTTTTAGTCCCAATCGATTCAACTTTAAAAAATAGGAAGAGAAGTGTTCTAGTGTTTTTTGTGTACGTTGTCTCCAAGTATATATATTTTAAGACAAAGTCCAAATTACGGAAAATTACGATTCAGTAAGAAAGTAAGAAAGAAACGCTAGATCGCCGAGGAGAGGGGATTTGTGCAATAAAATGCAATAAAACATATTTAATACAAAAAATCTTGGCGCGGCTGCACCAAAAACTATATCGAACTAAAACTTGTTTAAACATATATGACAGCATTTTTATTATAATATATTCTATAATGAAGGTTTATAATTTATTATAATACTGTATAAACTTAAATAGAACATTACACCGTATGTATATAGAGAGAATTTACAAGTACATTTTATTATAATAAAAATGCTGTCATATATGTATTAAACAAGTTTTAGTTCGATATAGTTTTTGGTGCAGCCGCGCCGAGATTTTTTGTATTAAATATTTTTTATTGCATTGTTATAATAATTAATTTGTTGCAATAACAAGTAAAATAACCATATAACTCAGTGTTCTAATAAATGATAAATTTTACTCGTAAAAGTTTATGTTATGGACATTTTTTGCTAGGTATTTTTAGCTAGGTGTTCTTGAATATTTTGAATAACATAATCTTTAAAAAGATATTTTTTTAAATATTGGGCACTATTAACGTGTTTAATTTTTATAACACGATATAATTTTTACTTTTAAAAGTTTATGTACATATATATCTTACAAAAAAATAATTTGATAAGTTTTACTTATAAAAACTTATGTTATGTACATAATATTTAAAAAGATATTTTTATTATTAAATATTGGACACTATTAACAAACGTGTTAAATTTTTATAACACGATATAATTTTTACTTTTAAAAGTTTATGTACATATATATCCCACAAAAAAAATAATTTGATAAGTTTTACTTATAAAAACTTATGTACATAATATTTAAAAAGATATTTTTATTATTAAATATTGGACACTATTAACAAACGTGTTAAATTTTTATAACACAATATAATTTTTACTTTTGAAAGCTTATGTACATATATTATAAAAACTTATGTTATGTACATAATATACATCTTAAAAAAGAAAATAATTTGAATTTGAGATTTCTAAAAATATTAAGTTAAGTATACAATAATCATATATATATGTTAGGTTTCTCAGTTGGCGCTACTGTTCTATTATATCACTTCTTTTGTACAGTAGAAAAGTGTTGCAGAGTTTTATTATAGTTATAAGTTTTACTCGTAAAAACTTATGTACACATATATACAATAAAAAAATAATTTGAGTTTGATATTTCTCTAAAAATAACATAATACGTGTTGCGCTTGTACTTAGCGCCTTTATTTACCTTTTTGTTTAAAAAGGTAAGTTTTATATAAGTTTTACTTGTAAAATCTTATGTATTATCTTTAAGTTTTACTTGTAAAAACTTGTTATGTACATACATATACCTTTAAAAAAAAATTTGAATTTGAAATTCCTAAAAATAATACAATACATGTTGCGCTTGTATAAGTTTTACTTGTAAAAACTTATGTTATGTACACATACATACTTTAAAAAAATAATTTGAATTTGAAATTTCTAAAAATAGCACAATACATGTTGCGCTTGTACTTGGCGCCTTTTTTTACCTTTTGTTTTATTTATATTATTTTTTTATTTTTTATATTTTAATTTGTTAATTATATTGTCTTATACTATGTTACATTATTATTTTATATATACGTCACGTACATACATCATTAATATATAAATATTATTAATTTATACTTACTTGTTAATTATCCAGCCAGTTAATTATCGCGTAATACCTGCACCACTTGTAAATTGTATGAAGCTCACATGAATTATCGGAAAATGCCAAAATGCGAACCGGCTGAACATTTGCGTTTTGTTGATCATCAAACAAGAAATGAAAAAAAGTCTTTTGTATCGAATTGTTGGACTGGGGATGAAAAATGGATCTATTTCGATAATCCCACACCAAAAAAATCATGGGTTGATCCCGGTCAAGCAGCAACATCGACTTCGAGGCACACTATTCACGGTTCAAAGTTATTGCTGTGTATTTGGTGGGATCAAAAAGGTATTGTGTACTATAAACTGTTAAATCCGAATAAAACTGTCACCGCTGATCGTTATCGACAACAATTATGCAAATTGAAGCGAGCATTGGACCAAAAACGATCACCAATTGCGAGTAAACGACACAAAATGATCCTTCTTCACGACAATGCTCGTCTTTATGTTGCATTATCAGTGAAGCAAACGTTATTAGAGCTGGAATGCGAAATCTTACCGCACTTCGCGTATTCTCAAGACATTGTTCCATCCGATGCAACATGCTCTAGGAAATACATATTTTCATAACTTCGAACAAGTGCGAAAATTTGTTGGAAATTGGATCAACTCCAAACAAGAATCTTTTTATTGTCGCGGAATCCATCTCTTGCCAGAAAGATGAGAAAAAGTTGCAGAAAACGGAGGAAAATATTTTGATTAAAGTATCCGTTCATTATCTTGCTAGATTAGTTTTGGAGAAAAAAAACCTTCAAAACCAAATCACACTCCTAATATACAGGGTGAGTATTTTTAATCTTAACAGGCAAATATCTCGAAAAGATGCAACAAAAACAAAAAGCATTTTAAATAAAAGTTGTATGATGTCGAAGGGGACGTATAATAGTGACCTTGGTTTGACCTTGGGACATCTACTTAAGGTCAGAGGATGGTCAACCTAATTTTCTCAAATGGAACCTCCTATTTTTCACATCATATTCTTATGGTTGACTTCAAGACCTTTCCAAAACGCTATGATAAAGTATTTTTTTATTGAGTACATTCCGAGTTATGAAACTCAAAAGTTAACAGGTGACGGTTAAATCAATCCACTATCTTAAAATGATTAAGTTTGAGACAAGGAAAGAATGATGACCTTGGTTGACTTGGACATACTGTGTTCAAGTTCAGGTCGAGGTCACCTTGAATTTTTTAAATACACTTTTTATTCTAATTAGAACACTACAAGCGTGCGTTATGCGCGCGCCATTTTTGCTTATTCATATTAAAGTTCAGAATAAATATTATAAATCAAAAATAATCCCTGGAGTATAAGTTCGATAATATCCGACTCCAACATACGATGTATTAGGCGCATACAGTTTGAAATTCCATGACACATATTTTCTGAATAATAACGTGTAACCATATAACCAATGAAAATTTCGACGTTCAACATTTCTATTCAAGCCCATCTTAAGCTTTATCTCTTCCCCCCCCACTATCACTCGTTCCCCCTCTGTCTTTTTCAGTTTCTCTCTCTCTCTCTCTCTCTCTCTCTCTCTCTCTCTCTCTCTCTCTCTCCCTCTCTCCCTCTCTCCCTCTCTTCCTCTCTTCCTCTCTCCCTCTCTCTCCCCCCTCTCTCTCTCTCTCTCATTGTATTTATTACCATTACCCGAGAAAAATAAATAAATTATAGCTTATTATTTTATATTGTAAAATTGTTAACGTGATATAACCCCGTTATTATTCCTTTCGTACAAACTGTCACTCGGCTGTCATTCCCTCTCACACACTCTCTCTCTATATATCTTTCTCTCTTTCTCTCTCTCTCTCTCTCTCTCTCTTTCTCTCACCCTCCTCCTCTTTCCCTCCCTTTCCTACCTTGAAAGTTATAGCAACTTTCCACGTGCAACGAGGACGGGAGGATACGGGAGGGGGGGCCGAAGGCCCCTCTTGCTCCCTAACGTGTGTGTGTGTGTGTGTTTACGCGTGCGTGTGTGCGTGTGTGTGTGTACATATGTTGGTACTGCATGTATATACATGTTGAGACTTTTTCATTTGTTATATATCCCCCTCCCGCACCCTCCCCGTTCTCGTTGCGCATTGAAAGTTATATCCATAAGTCTCTGTATTACCGACATGACAGATTTCCTAACCTCGCATGTGTCACTTTTTAACTATTTATTTCTCGCAAACTAGAGCCGAGCGACCATTTTTACTTACAGATTCGACTTCTACACGGCAAAATACACAAAATAGGTGAGTTTGAGCGAAATCCAAGGTGAGGCCCGTCTTCTAAATAATTACCAAAAATAATTTTAAAAATGAAGCACTATAAAGCATTATGCTGTGGTCACACATTGACATTTTTTCTTGCGTTTGATCCTTTTTTATTCTTCTCGCATTCTGCTCTTTTTCTCTTTCATTCCCTCTTCTTTTCTTCCTTTCTCTTTTATGTTTTAACTGTAAAAAGTAAAAACGACACAAAGCATACAAATTCTTCTTCCTTACATATTTTTTATATGTATTCAACGATATTGTTACTTATCTGATATATATATTTATATATATATTTCGACTTTCGATTGACACGCACTTTTTATTAAAGGATTATTATATTTGCGCCAACATTGCGTACATGAACACGACTATTTCAAAAAGACGAACATTGAAATCGAAAGCGGTTAAATCTCCCGGTCATCACCAAAAGTTGGAGTCTTAATGGCGGACCTCCGGCGAATCCGCTCCGCTCTCTAGATTCTCTCTGGTTTCGCTGCGGCTCTAGTTGCACGCCTTTATGAAGAATGAGTCTGATGAATTATCGAAAGCTGTCAAGTTGCATTCGATAACAAGGAGGTTGGTTGGCGCTTACGTGACCGAGCAACATGGCAGCCGTCATAGCCGTCACGACCGTTTGCGTATAACACAGCTGGTGGTGTGAGTGCTTCTATGATCGAGAAACACGAGCGATGGGTCTCCGGGATCGTTGAAATCGACCATTAGCGAACGTGTGACAGATGATGAGGCGGTCGCGCGTTCTACGTTTCAATACACTGTGATCTTCATCGGCGTGAGGATCGGCAGACACGAGCCCGGGTGTACGTGCACTACATTCAAATCGTGTGCTACAAGGGTTGACAGGTGGTAGTGGTGGTGGTGCGTGCGTGCGTGCGTGTCATCGCTATCATCTCGCGTGCTGATTTTAATACGGCCGCATTTACATCATGTTCGCCACCCTGAAGAACAAGATACGCGAGGAGATCGGCAGCGACGTGTCCACTGTCGTTAGAAATGCCGGTAGCATACGCGCCATCAATTCCAAACATGTGTCTCAGGTAAATATAACGTTGATCATCGTCATCGTGAGTTTAGAAACTTGATGGATGTGACGATTTTGACTAACATTTGATTAATCAGTTTTCTTTGTATAAATAGTATCAATCTAAAAGGAATCAATATGTCATTGACCGACACCAGTTAATTGCAATTTGGCTCAAACTTAATAGCTAATTGCTGACAATTAATGTTAATGTTATATCATATTACACTATCTTCTTTTAGCTATAGTTTTAACATGATCTCTAAAAGAATAATAATCTATCAATTTATAACTACTTAATAATTTATAATAAATATATAGATTTTATATTTTAGAATTTAGAGATGCTTTCTTATAAATTACAATCATATCTGTACAAATAAAAAAGAAATTTTGTTTTTATATAGTACTACTTTTTAATTTGATTTACTTGATATGAAAATAGGAAGGATCAATTTTGTTATATGAACTTTTGATATCAATAACATTATTGTTGCAGACAGGCTCTACAAGTAGTATTAGTGGTTCCCAGGTATCATTGGATGGATCCAGAGAAGAAAATGCAGCGTCTCCCTCACCACCAATTTCACTAAGAAGAGAAAATAGTTTCGAACTTAAGCTCAATGATGGAATGCAACTGTCAGCAAAGGATATAAAAAGGTTTGAGAATAGAGAGGATGAATGGAGGAAGCGTTTAGCAAAGAAAGAGGCTGAAATGTTGAAGCGAATGGAAAAAAAGGAGGAAGAATGGAAAGTGAAGTTTCTTGAAAAGGAAAAAGAATGGAAGAAAATTGTGGAAAGACAGGAGAAGGAAAAACGAAAATTAGAAGAAGAAATAAGAAAAATAGAAATCACAAAACAGTCTTTAGAACATGCTCTCAAAGATGCAGAAGGTAATTCTGAATAATTGAATTTTTAAGGCAACTTATTGATTATTTCTTTCTTCTGTTTCTAATTGTGGAAAATTTAATCAATTCTCATAATTATTTTCCAGAGTATAAAAAGAAATTGTACAGCTTTCAAGAAGATGCAGAACAACTGGAAGGTTTTCAAACACAAGAGATGGCTAAAATTAAACATCTTGTAAGTTTTTCTTAGAAAAGTAATCTAATTATATGTATGATTTTTCTTGTTGCCATTTTAAAGAAAACCAAGGTATTTTATATCATTTTGCCTGGATAGTAGATGGTATGTAATATGTATATATAATTATTTATTACATTACTTATATCTTTCAGTTATTAGCAAAGGAGCAGGAAGCAGATGAAAAATCACATCACTTGAAAACTGCTACATCAGAAATTGAAAGCCTGAAGACTGAAGTTTCCCGTCTGAGACGATACGAGGACGAATTGAATAATGTGCAAGTAAGTAGATTAGTTGAAAATTTTATTTGTTGAAATTAATTTTAACTAATTTTTATTTTAATAGAGTAACTAATTTTTATTTATTTCCTTTGACATTTAGTTATGGCATTATAATATTCTTTATTTTATTTAAATGTATTAATCACATAACACATCTGTATCGTATTACTGTTATGCAAGATATACAGAATCTAAACCTAATGAAACTTTATTTAAATAATATTTTATGTATTCGTTATACATCTATATATGTCAGAAATTTCATAAATCTATAATTTGCAAATTTCTTCATTGAAATTCTTCTATTAAAAAGCAAGATTACTATTTATTTATTTATTAAACACATAATATAGCTTAACATATAATTCAAATAGTGCATTCATACAGAATTATAGATATCAACATACAATTGAATCTTTCTGCTTTTTGACAGTCAAATTGAATATATTTGTCGCATAATGATATAAATCATCGTCGACGGATCCTCAGAATTTACGTATTTTTCCAGCACGCTTATTTGAAAAGGGATTTTATATATTCGTATTACCTTTATACTCGTATTAATGTTTTTGACAGTAATATTACATCGCTTTTTGTTTCGTCACAGTTTGCCATATTTTTCTACCTGCACTTTTTTTTTATCGACACGCCGCTCAGACGCGAAAATCCATGACATATATTACATGTGACTCTCGCTGTAGTGAAATACATTCAAATTGAGACTACGTGAGTTCCATAACTCTCGGTTATAATATTGTACGGCAATTCCGCTGTCTTAATATTAAATCATCCAGTTGTACCGGTTGTTGACGTTGCATGGTTCTATCGTTTTATTGAAAAATTTACAAACCCATTGATTAAATATTGCCAACGTGTTTTTGCATGAGAGAACGATTTTTGAAAATTGTAGAGGTGAAGAAAGATATGTTCCTCTACTCGTAAAAAATAAACAGGTGTTCTCTTGCGTGAGCTAGTCTAATTTTTGAGACTCGCGGGTACGCATCCTTCGTGTATATAGAGTAATGGGTGATATCATCAGATATAATCAGATATCGGTGAGATGTTTCCCTAGAGTTATGGAACAGCGACGTTGCTCTAAAAGTGATACCGAAAGTTTCGTGAACGCAACATACGCATGAAGATTGGAAAACTTTGGTAAACGAGAGCGTCGGAGGTCAGAGTTAGGCGGTTGTTTCCGCTAATTCGCTGCTGCTACCGCTGATGCTAGAGGTACGTCTTCAAGGCTTTGCCGCTATCTGCTACGTTAGAATGCTCGTTCAATAGCTTCAACACTCATGCTTGCTCCTCAACGTACTCTTGATATAAACTCTTGATACCTCTTGATTGAACAAAACTTGACGGAAACTCTACCTGACAATAATGCACGTTGTTGTGTACACTTAATCGCGGCACCACCTCAGGTACAATGAGGTCATCTTTTTGTTCTCTTTTATTTATAGAAACTTTTTTTCCTCTTCAGCTTTTTCTCTTTTATTTCTATTTTGTCTTTTTTGTAACTCTTTTTTTAAAGGGTGACGGTAGCTCTGTTTTCTCATCTTGAGTGAGCAAAGCGCGAAAAGGTCTGTGATTTTGATTCCTTGACTTGCATTTGCGGACTGTTTTGATTTTAATTTGACAAAAGAAATCGGAAAGAAACTATCGAGACGCTCAGTGAGCATCTAATTCACTTCTCTTGTTTATTTCCTTTGTCTCCCCTTCTCTTGTTTCTTTTCGTATTTCCCTTTTGTCTCTGGGAGAATTATTCTTTTACCTTTCGCTTGGCAAACTCAAATTCTCGCGTATTGTCGCTTTGATTAAGGTTCGCCAGGGAAGCTTTTTAAAATAAAAAGAAAAGAGAGCTAAGTATATAATTCCATTGGAAGAGAACCCTAGCAGACAATGTTTCGGTAATCGTGCGCTCACTTTCAGGACGAGATGGAGACGATGCGTCATTCGACTCAGCGAGAAAGAGCGCAACTCTCTTGTCAGCTGGCGCAGACGGAAGAGGAGGTTCGTCACCTAAAGGACAAAGTGTTTGTGTTGGAACAGAGAATCGCTCTGGAGACGAACGATCAGGTGACGGTCGACGAAAGGATAGCCGATCTGATGCGCGAGCGAACGTTGCTGGAGAGAAAGCTTGAGGAAGCGCACCTACATCTGTCCGACATAAAGACCAGTTGGTCTGGCAAGATCTCCAGTCTGGAGACGCAAGTTGGCAGGCTGAGTAGACAGGCCGGCGAGGAAGGGCTGGAGCGTAGACGAGTCGAACAAGAGAAGGAAAAGCTGAAACAGAGAATCAAGCAGCTAGAGGCCGAGATAGAGGTGAACAATGTTGTCATGGCGACGAAAGACGCCAAGCTTTTGCGCATGACAGAGGACATCGACGAGATGGCCACGGAACTGAAAGAGCTCCGTGCCAGCGTCGATGACGAGGTGGAAGAGTTTAAGCGGCAAATTGTGAGTTACCGCGATATGTAGTGGACACCAAGTTGCATGAGATCTTTAGATTGCCCTTTTACCAAGAATCTTATCGAATTACCGAGTTCTTTGTAGACAGCGCCAAATCGTTTCCGGAAGCGGTGGTAGGTGTCACAAACGATCACAGTGCTGAACGATTCATTTTCTGTAAAACGTCTGAAAACACGAACGCACGATTCGTCATCACAGAAACTGCGTAGTTCGAGTTCCGAGCGCGCGAACCTCGTGTTATCGATCCGAATCATGATCTCGAGATACAATCGATCTTACAACATAGCGTACGACCTTTCTGTTATTCTCTCCAAAGGCTGTGTCGCGTCGCCATTACCGGAAGAAACCTTTGTCTAATATCTCTTCTTATTTGTCTTAATGCATCGGAAGAAAGAAAGAGGTATATGAGCCACTTTGTCTACTCTCGATATGCGCTTGTCGACAACGAACTGGCAGCTTTGATCGTTTCCGATCCTTTGTTACGTCCACGCGTCTACTTCCGGAACGCGCGGCCGATCGTCCGATGGTCATCAAATTTTATAAGACTGATGAATTTTGTTTCCTCTAGACGGGAGATGCATTTGGACATTGGGACAGTTTGTGCTTGTACATCACGTTCCACTTTTTCAGATTTTCTCGTTGAAGGTTTCGCTAACATTTCTTATCTCGTGAATTACGGATAACGACCAGTATGTTAATGAAGTTGAAGCGGTTATCACCAGATAGACTCGACCTTATAAAATAGTCCGCATTGTCCGGTTCTTGATTATTTTAACTAAAGTGTGTCGTAACATGCATTACGTATACTCTAGCGCGTCGTCACTTGCTTTCAGGTGTGCTTAGTAGAGTTTTCAACGAAACAAGTCAAGTGCAACAAACCAATCTTAATAGCGGAATAAACAATCAAATTAAGTTTAGTAAATAAATGTTCATTATACACACATCTCTTATCGAGCGAGCTTGTAGAATGCCAAGTGTGTCATATATTATACATGAAATTGTGATTCTGAAACGATATTTAGTTACATTAAGTCGTTCTCATTACTTCGACATGTCGAATCGCACACCGTCCGGAGCAATCGAAGCGAAAGTCTTATAGAGTTTGCGGTCGACGTAGCAGCAGTAGTAGTAGTAGTTGTTGCTAGACAATCACTAATCACATTCTTGGATACCTTAGTGTCCTTGTCTGTGCCATCGCGTACGAGGAATATAAACGTGTCGTCTGGTCTCAGTATTACATATCAGAAACTACATATCGGCAGTATCGTCGCATGCTGTTTGGAAGCTTGACGCTTCTTCTTTTGCTTAACGCACATCTTTTGCTCCCTTTAGTCTTTAAGTACTTTGCACGTGCATCTGCGAAACATTTTGCGCATTGCGAACCTTTTTGATTTTCGCTTTTTGACGATCTTGTCTTATTATTGTTACTCTAAGCATGCTGAAAAATTATCTATCCGCTGTGTTTTTCGGCAAGATCCCCCCGTTGGAGGGATGTGTAAGTCGTTCGATTCTCTCCGCGCAATCCGTTCAGGTTTGCTCTTTATCAAGAGAATAGCATTATCCTCCTTTGTACACTACCTTTGTACATGGATTTTAGACATTGTGTATGCTGATATAATACATACATATATACAGAAATATATATCTATATTATATTTTTATGTACGATTGCACCTTATGTACATTTTATTTGTGGAATAAAGAAAGAAACCAAATATACAGTCTTTCTTGCGTTTCACCCGTTTTTCGCTTCTTTTCCATCACTTTTTGTTCTTGAGCGAAACTTGTCGATACCCTCATCACGGTTCCATCATAGGAAGGAAGTCCGGAGGGATTTCATTTTAAAATCGTCCCGCTGTTCTTCACGCTGAGAGACAGATTCGATTTTGAAATGAAATCGGTCCTTTACAAGTATACACTGTAACCTGTTGAGCTGATGACCGTATTATTTTGTCACAATCTCCAATGTACACGTCAGTTACGTAGGCCTATATTGCATAGTGCAAGAAATACCAAAGAGAATGTGTTGTACTTGTTAGTTGGCTGTAAACCATATCCAAGATCGTCTGACAATTAATAGATAAAATATGTGGCAGTAATTATAAGACAACAGCCCGACAAGAATTTAATGAATGTTTTTTTTTTTCTTTTTTCAAAAGCAGAAATATATTATTTCAAATTTCTTTGTTTAATCAGAGGAAGCTTTTTAAAGGAGGCTTTTTAAAGAGGAAGATCCAATAATTGCTATACGTTCTCTCACATGAGATATTTGCTTTACTACATTGTTAGAGTGTACATTATATACATGACTCATATATATACAACCATAAGAAATTATCGTAAAAATGGACATCAGTAAGCCATTTAAATGGACTTGTATTGTTTCTTCAGGAATCCTCTTCGAAGCAGATCAGCCAGCTAAAAACAGACCTCAAGGATGCGACGAGTAAACTCACCGCAGTCACCGACGAGTTGTCGAGTCTTCAATCGTCCTTAGAGGAAGAATGTTCGAGTAATTCCTCGTTGCGCACGGAACTAACTCGTCTGCGGGAGACTCTCCAGTCCGAGAGAACAACGATGACGGAGCTGCGTGTTTTCCTTGAGAAAGAGAGAAGCGAAAAAGACGTTGCATTACTGAGAAATGCCCAGATGTCGCAGGACATGGAGATTGTGAGACAGGAGAATCGGCAGCAGGAGGTTGAAAACACGGAACTGCAGAGTAGAATCGAGCATCTCGAAGAAGATTTGATCGGGAAGACGAAGGAGGCAGAGCAAGCGGCGGTCACGTTGAAGGAACTTGAGCGAAGAGTAGCGGAACTAGAGGAGGTGGAACGCGGCAGAGAGAAGTTGGAGAGTAATGAAAGAATACTCAAGAGCAGCTTGTTAGATCTGGAAGAGCAATTGAGCGACAAGAATAAGGTAAACGGTACTGTTTGCAGATCAATGTTGTTTCAAGAATAACGATTTTATTTGTCAGATTTACTATCTGAAGCAGTTACCTGATATTTTCATCGTGTCTTTCTCCGTTTTGCACGCAGACAATCAAAGTTTTGCAGCAACGATTAGCCGACATGAAGAAGACGCTCCAACGTGAGCTGAGGATTCCAACCTCGTCATTGGACAGCGACGTTGAGGCTTCCGCGGCGATTCTGAATCCGAGTTCATCCAAAACCGTCACTGCCAGACATAATAATTCCAGGGAAGACGACGTTAATTTTAAATACCTCAAGCATGTTCTCATTAAGTTTCTCACCAGCAGAGAGTACGAGGTGCGTACGTCTTCATTCTCTTCATTATCCAATTAACGTCTATACTTTCAGTATTTGAATTGTGTGATATTATATTTTATTTCTTTTTTTCTTAAAGGCTCTCCATTTGACAAGGGCGGTGGCGACATTGTTGCACTTCTCGCCAGAAGAAGAACGCCTACTACAAGAAACTCTGGAATGGAAAATGTCATGGTTCGGCACGAGGCCTAATTTAGGATTCGGACAAACCGCCAAGGCGATACCGCCCAGCTGATAATTGCAAGATACCCCATATTCGATGAGCAGTGTCAGAGCGAGCGTGAACTCTTGTCTGAGGTTCGGTTGGTTCGCATACAGAGGCAACTACGACTGATTCCAAAGGGCATAAAAAAAGACAGAAATAAGAAGCACTATTAGAAGAATTATTTATAAAGTTATAAATGGTGAGAGATTTTTCGAACTCTAATGCGCATTTTAGCATTTGCGCTAGCACGGCAGACAAATTGCGACATGCTCAAAGCTACTTAATCGCGACAGAGAATGACTTTGTGAGACATTGTGCGACATTTCTCGAGCGTATCACAGGATATGCGAGACCGTCGACTCATTTCGAGGACTCGTCATATCATGTGTGTACTGATTTAATGCGCCGAAATAATTTCGAAACACTTAAATGAAGCATTCGCGTGTGATGGTATTGTGATACCCGATGTCTTTGTTAGTGGCACGTTTGTGCCACTTGGTGCACATGCAGTTTTGATATGCGAACGTCGTAATTTGTAACGCGCTATGTCTTTGTCGAAATGAAATGTCTTACTGCAATATCGAGCACAATACAACGACGATGTAAGCTTGATCGTCCGCGTTACCTTTACAATCAGCGGACAAGCAGTTCGTGCAATAGACAAATTTAATACACAGCCATATGTTTGTATCAATAAAAGCATTCCTGGCGATTAACAAATTCAGTTGTCTTCTTCGTGTTTTCTCACGCATGGATATTTTTTTACTATTATGCTAGCTATATTTTTTTAATTTCGTGTTCTTAGGTCATTATGTATGAGGCAAAGTTGAAATATTTATAAATAATTTCCGCGTAATTTGATAGAAACGCTTAAGTGTACATAATCTTAAGATGCGCATTCCATTATGTAGTAATAATATAAAATTCATCATGAGAAGTGATTTAATAAGCATAGAGAATAGGAAATTATCATGATAACATTTCAGTCAGTTTTAATTATCGACTAGTTTTTGTTCTGTTTATCTGCAAAATTTGTATCTTCTCCGTAAACAGCCAATCCTGCCATTCAAGAAGGAAATGCAATGAAAATTTTCAGAATGTACATCGATCTCGCAATCAGCGAGAAAAATGGCACTATTAGCACGCACAGATATGAATAAATCAAAACATGCTTTCTTTTAATTATTTTGACCAAATGTTTTTAAGAACATTTTTATGTTGCTTTTGTATTAAAGACATTTTTGAGTAAACTATTGATCTTTAAAAGTACAAATGACGTGAATATCTAATTATTGCAATAAAAGATATTTAATAAAATTCAACTTATATCTCTAATCAATTATTTTTGACAATGAAAAATGCAATGTGATATAGACATGCATACATAGAAGACGCCGAGAAGTATTTAAATAGAGATTTATACAAATTTCAGTTATTTTATTAATAACGAATTACACAATTTAGTGGGCTTTTTACAAGTATCCTATCTTATACATTAATTATATTCGTAATCACATTTTTATTTAATTAAAATAAAGTTTTTCCGTAAACTTTCGGTCGATTTTATATATTATCTTATTTAGATAAATAAAAATTAATTCTGCTCTGAATCTTTTAATCTCTCGAGGCATACGGAAACATTGTAGAATATTCTAACTCTGTAAAAAATTATGAAATGTAATATATCTCCAAACATATCATTCTTTATCTATTCTATTCTAAGGATAGATATCCCACGCTAATGATAATTGGATTGCTGCGCCAATATTTAAATATCTCAACGCCTTGCAAAAATCGTTGAGAGATTATAGAACTTAGTATGTGTATTAAATATGTTTATAATAATTTATATTTTTTATTTATGAAGACGTTTTTCATCAAATTCTTACGCATGTATTTTTTCAAACCTCAAGACATGTACAAACATAAATCATATTAATCTCAGTATTTTATTGTATGTTGTTTCTTCCGCGATTTTTATCAAACTCAGCAAGAGTATAAGGTATGGGATGTCACAAAGTTAACAGTAAAGAATGAACACGTAGAGTATACATGATAAAGGCTCATTATTCGAAATAATTCCACCGCCCTCTCCCCCGTAGAAGTCAGTTAAACTGAATAACTGTTGAATGGAGGTAGTACAATGTCAGATAAACGCGTATCTAGTAAACATTTACAATACGATTACCATAATTAATAAATGTTCTGGTGGCGACTTCATATCAAGGAAGAAGGAAGAAGAGATAGAGAAAAACAAAGGTTTTTATTTATATAAAATAAAATAAATTTTAAGTATATGAGATAATGCTAAGAGTATATGTACAATTTCAGAATTTACCCGTTGAGGGAGGTGCTTCTTTTTCAAAATACATTGAACTGGATGTTCAAACTCAGTAAACACCAAAACTAACAATATCATTACATCAATGTCATAATTTCCTATTCAACAATATAAGCATAATATATCTTTTGTTTCTAACAGTTATGTTGCTGAGTGGAAAGTTATAACATTAATGTTATGTTACTATTGATATTTACTGGGGACACATTTGCAAATATAGGGTATTTTGTTCTGTCGTTTGCCTTTTTCCAAGAAATATCAATATCCGATTGTGTTGGTCATGGTGCATGAATATGCAGCCTTATAATCAATTGATTACGAGTACAGGAACGTCACGGATTGATACTTACTATTCAATTGGAAAAAATATACATACATATATATATATATATACATATGTATATATATATATATATGCATATCTTTTTATTCAATGATAATGATTAAACGAAAGATTAATAATAATCATTTACAATTATCTGCAATTTAAGAAGTACAGACCCGTGACGCGAACGAAGACGTTCAAGTTACAACAGTTGATATTAGCTGGAAAATATTTATACATTTATAGTCTGCACCATTAGCACGTTGAGTGTTACATCACCCATATATGGGTAACACGAAATTTTCCGCAAAAACATCGTCACCCGTTCGTGGGTGATAGTTAACTTATCCAATTAGAAATAATTTTACTATTTTGCTTAATCAGGGTATATTATCGTATAGTTGGCAATCCATTAAATCATCCGGCTCTACATATGATCGTGTATGTCGAGCAGAGAAAAATTCGGATCTGATAAGGTTCCATATTCAAATCTAACATGGCACTCAAGGTGTTAATAATGCATCACGATGAAATTGCTCTTTTTCAGATTTCATATATTTTTACATATAAATATAAATAAATATATATATTTTCATATTTATATATATTTATATATATATATAAAATGTGTATATATATATATTTATTTATATACATATAATTATCAGACGTTCACGAGAACAATATTTCCAGATCATCTATGTCCGACAAGGAGAAGTCGTCTGAGATATCGTTGGTGTCAGCGTTAGGATCATAATCCACACTGTCTTCATCAGAATCATCTCCATCGCCGCCATCTTCATCGTCATCATCGTCATCATCATTGTTTTCCCTATCATTCTGCTCGTTATCGTCACCGTTGTCCTCAGCACCAGCATCTGCGTTATCACCATCTGCTTCAACCAGATAATATACATAATTTTAGATATTGGTGGGATAACCCGCTAAATAGACTCAATTGGTGGGATAACTCGCTAAATAGACTCAATTGCTGCTTCAATAAAAATTTACATAAATCTGTCCTTTATATGAATGCTTCATCAGTACTTAATATATTACTAGTAATGCTTCATTAATACTTCATTAGTTATATATTTGTCAATTTAATATAAATCAATTAAAGTTTCCTTTTTATTTTTAATAAATTTTTGCAAATCTAACGATCGATAATGTAACAACATTAATTTTTTTACCGTCTGCGTTATTATCATCAGATCCTGAGTTTGAACCATCATCGTCACTGGCGTCGAGGTCTTCTTCCTCATCATCCTCGTCGGCTTCATCTTCATCATCTCTGCGTCTTCCAACATCGTACAATCTAACGCATGATTCCTGTATACTTGAGAATTCACCCGCGTTCTCTACTATAGCAATCTGCGTATCGTACTTGTTACACGCAAGACCATAAATTCCTCTTTTTACGTCGTAAGTCGCTGAAGTACAAAATGACAATTGATTATAAAATGAATGCAAATTATAATTACAACTAAAACATGTATGTTGCATTTTTTACTTCAAATTATGGTAACAGTAATAGTAATACTCACCGATATTACTGTAATCGAAAGCATCTAGGGTTTTGAAGGAAGTTGCAAAATGAGCCTCATCGGTTTCTTGGTCTAATGACATTGCATATATAATATTGTTGACCGGCGAGAAAATTATCTCCATTTCGTCTAAAGTGGGAACCGTCTTGAGTAGATGAAACGTTCTCAAATCCCACACTTCAGTGTTGGACACAACCTCCATCCCGTTCGGATGAAAGACTCCGTTCAATGCTTGATTTAATTTGTCGAATTTATGAATTTCTTTGCCCGAATTAACATCCCATAATATTCCGTCACTAAGTACCAATTCATCGTTCATGCTGAACGTCGCGCGATTTTTCGTGTACTGATTCGAAATTGATGGTGTCAAAGTTGTTAATAATTTCCCCGTTCCTATGTCGTATATCTGAAATTTGTATATGTACATATGAGTATAGACATATATATGCACATAGAGTATAAGATATAGACAATATCAGAATATTCAAGTCTCGAAATTTAACACAATTACGCGTATGAAAAAGGGAATTATTATTTAACATTTTAAATAGAAAATTTGTAAAAACTTTAAAGATAAATACAATAATATAGATAGTAAAGCCCATTCCTACCGACATTAATTAAACTTTAATCTGAATTTAAACTATTTAGACAAAGACTAACTCAAATTAAAATCTAACCAGTGTTGGTATAAATAGGCATAACAAAGTAGTAAATAATAACTTATATATTCATATATAATATTTTAATCACACAAGACTGTTAATGCAATAGAATAGCAGTGTTTAGCATGCAATTTACCGTCGCGCTTTCTCCTTGTGTACCAATTATCCTGTCCTGTAACTTTCCGAATTCGACATAATCTTCATTGTCCAAGGGTAGTTTCATCTCAAAGAATGAATCCATATCCCAGAGTGCTGACATAGGAGTTCTCCAAGCAGTTGAGGTTAATAAAAGATTACCACGTTGATTACATTCCATATGATACACATACGATTCATGGCACTGGTAAGTCGCCTCCTCCATTCCCGTATGCGTATTGAACATTTTGATGTCACCAGCATGAGTGCCCAAAATAAGGTATTGTGTACATGGCTGTATAGAAAAGCATACATGTTTAGACAGAGACACGCGAAGAATTGCGAGAACAAGTTGAAGCAACGAATCCATATTTACCGAAAAAGCGCAACAAGTGAAGATTCCTCCCACGTCGGTAGGCCGGAAGGTTTTCACAGGACAGAAACGGCTGTAAATGTATCTCCTATCTAACTTTCTGCTATCCATTCCTAACGACCGTCTTGCTAATCTTACTGTCACATTTATAGGTGAGGAATTTTTTATACAGGGGTCTGGACATTTGTGTGGCCTGTAAAGAAACAAAATAAAATTGTGGCAAAACATCTTGATAAATAAATAATAAGTAAAATAAATTGCTTCTTTAAAAAAATATATGAGATTCTTTTTTAATATAAAATCAAGAATTTTCATTGCTTACTCAAAAAGATTAAACTGTGCACATGTCACCATAGGATTTTTACAGAGAGCGTGTTGGTTGGTTAGATATTCTGTAATAATAGAGTCTAATGTGACAGATACGTTGGAGGTGACTACACCAGGTCCTCCACCACCTCCAGGATCTCTGGAAATTTGTTTCTGTAATGATCTACAAGTAGTAAGCTGTATTTGTACTACAGACTGAGAATTAGTTGAAGTGACTAGAGGTGCTTTATCGGATGACGTTGATTTCCTGCAATGTTATGACGTTATATATTGAAAAATGCGAAAACAAGGGAAGAATATGTCAAGAAGATATCTACGAATCTTACCTCTGACTAATTTGTAATTTAATCGGCTGGTTGACTATATTTGAAATGACATTTTGATTCAAACAGTCCGTAAATTTTAGGCGAACGTTACTGTTGACGGTTGGTGAGTTAGTACATGAAGTCGCATGGGATATAAATCGAGATGACGATGTGGGAGTAGCGTTGTTCCTACAAGTGGTTTCTCTTGATGTACACCTGCTTGTATTGTATAAATTGACGGGAGCACCAGGAGAAAAGCTGTTTCTTGGCTGAAACAGAAACAAATTTTGGATGTTATGAATAGATACTTTGTGCACAAAAAACAGATAAATTATTAGATATAAATAATAAATATATTATAAATAACAAAAGAACGTACACGCGAAAAAATTTGCCAATATATAAATATCACATTTATACGACATATAAACAGTATAAACATATAAACATTATAAACAGTATAAACATATAAACAGTATAAACGCAAATCTGCTTCAATATATCATCTTACAGTTACGTTTACGGGATTCCGGTATGTAAACGGTTGATATGTTGCTATAGATTTCATAAGTGCAGACGAATCCAGGCTTGCTTCTCTGTGCAATATATTAGCTGTTTCAGTTAAACCCTTCGACATGAGATGCTGATATATTAATTGATTAAGTTGTTGTTCATTATATTGTATCCTTGTTTGCGCTACAACATTTGCCTGTAAATAAGCATATTTCAAACAAAGATATAGTAATTTGTAACTTTTTTATTATTAACCCCTTGCACTATGATTTAAGTCGCGACAACGCGTGCCAAAGTCGATGATAAAGTTGCATCCGTAATGCCCAATCTACATAAATCGCAAGTCGCAAAATACAAATTGCAGACACAGAACACAATGGCTGCATTCAGCAGAACAAAGTGATCAGTGAGCGCTTAGTGATTCTCGCTCCTGATTGGTAAATACTTCTGGGTCTATGAAGAATCTAAAAGAATGCTCCAATCACAGACAATAATAACTAAGCGCTCACTGATCATTTTGTTCTACTGAACGCAGCCATTGACCAAAACACATAAAAATTGAAACACGAATCTCACTTGTGTTTCCTATGTTTGGCCCGCAAAACATGCGATGAGTCTTACCAGTGCTTCTTATGTTTGGCGCGATATGCGCATGAGTCTGACTTATGTTTCTTATGTTTAGCCCGCAAAGCATATCACGAGTCTCACACGATATTATAGGACAAGGGGTTAAACACATTTCCAAATTTATTATAATAAATTTTGAATGATAGCAGGTACTATGCAGAACACAGCCTGTACGTATCTGTGAAAAAGAAAAAAGACAAATCGAAAAAGCTGCTTACCCTGTGTAAACTGACTAAAGACATTTCATACTCTGCACCTGTTGGTTTTGCTTTACCAGATACTCTTTCTATCAATTCAAGAGCATATTTTTGGAAGGTAACGTGCTCCTGCCGTTTTTCTTGCAAGATAGGATCTCTCATAAGAGACTGTATTTGACCGTCAGTGAACATTGGTAACTTACTAATAATCTGCTTAACTTTCTCACTACGTGCTAGTCCAGCTAATGCACGGCATGCTAATGCTCGTATACTATCAGCATCAGTGATAGGTGTCTTCACCATCATTAACTGCAGTAACACCTGCGGAATAAAACTTATTCTATATTAATCGCACAAATGATTGTCAAAATTGTAATTATACGCAAACATACCATTATTCCGTTATTCGACCTGACACTCTCCCAGATTTTCTGTATCAATTCTTCGCTGTTGTGAATGTTTGTCTTCTTTTTAGCGGATCCGGTTATGGAGTATCTAGCTACGTTTCCACCAATCTTAAACATTTTGTCAATAATATCTTTAGAAATTATACATCACAAATAAAACAATAAAATTACAATTATTTACATTATGAATAATACAAATGATGAATATGAAACATACCCTATTAATGGGAGCACACACGCAATTAATCACAGCTCTGAGCGCGGCTTTTTGTACATCGGCATCCGCAACAATTTCGCACTCAGCCGCGGCTAGTAACAGATTAATCGCCATTGTCATCGACATATCTGGCATATCGACCCTTTCACATAACAGCAACATGACTTTAGGAACAACGGAACAGATTGCAATCACATCCAAACATGATCTTACTGTTTCTGCACTGGAAGTGTGCTGCATGTGTGCCCTAAAAGAAAAAAAGACTATCCATTTAGAACTTGAAGATATATTGTCACTTGGCTTTTTATTAAATTGGAAGTTCAAAATGCAAAATTAAAAAGTCCGACGAGAACTATCGTTGAGTACGATAATATTAATATATTATACTTACCGTCCACTGTAATTCCATTCGCGAGCGAAAGCTATGATTTGCAAAAGCAACGTAATACCACCCAAACGATGTAATTTCTCAACTGGTGACCACATTGCTCTGACTGACATTAATTCCTGAAGTATCTCCACTTTTGCCTGAACTTCCTCACTGCTAAGTTTACATGCCTAAAACAATATATGTCTTCAAAATATGCACGCACGCGTGTGTGCAAAAATATATAATAAATAATTATTTAATGCAATAAAAAAATCGCGTTATTCCAACTTTTTATTACCTAGATGATCAAACACAAATCAATATATACAGGGTGTCCCATTTTAAAAAACGCACCTCGATAATTCTTCAACAAAGCATTTTCAGCAAAAATGTTTCGGACAAAAGTTGTATGATTTCAAGGAGGACATAAAACAACTATATTACTTTGTTTATAAATGGCACCACTTTCGGGATATTCACTGATCATTACTTTCCTTAAACGAAAACTCCAAATTTTTATTACACCGTCTTTTTCTATTAATTAATTTAAACAACTTTTGTCTGAAACATTTTTTTTATTTGCCTAATATTTTTTGAGATATATAAGGAAAATTTGATAACTTTTTCAATATTTAATTCACGATATTTCGCTAACTATTTGTTGGAAGAAAAAATAGTACTAGACTTTTCTGCTCTATTTAATCTCAAGAATATATTGTTACAATAGCGCCCTGACTTTTGTTAACTTATTGACTTTTGGAAATTTCAAAATCATCAAATTAACAAAAGTCAGGGCGCTATTATAACAATATATCCTTGAGACCAAGTAGAGCAAAAAAGTCTAGTACCACTTTTTCTTCCGACAAATAATTAGCGAGATATCGTGAGTTAAATATTGAAAAAGTTATCAAGTTTTCTTTAAATATCTCAAAAAATATTAAGCAAATAAAAAAATGTTTCAGACAAAAGTTGTTTAAATTAACTGATAGAAAAAGACGGTGTAATAAAAAAATTTGGGTTTCCATTTAAGAAAAGTATCATTAAGTATCATTAAGTATCATTTAAGAAAAGTTCCATTTAAGAAAAGTAATGATCAGAGTGAATATCTCGAAAGTAGTGCCATTTGTAAACAAAATAGTATAGTTATTTTATGTCCCCCTTGGAATCATACAACTTTTGTCCGAAACATTTTTGCTGAAAATGCTTCGTTGAAAAATTATTGAGGTGCGTTTTTTAAAATGGGACACCCTGTATATATCAATATATGATCAGAGAAATGTAACATGCCGCTGAATATTGTACCTTGTAGGGCGGTAAGGAAGGCTGCCATGTATCGCGGTCAGTTCTAACATTTTCTGCCCTTTGTAGTTGTTCGGCTTTCAGATGCAGGTGTGCTTCCATGTATCTCTTTAAAGCAACCGCTACGTGTCTTACTATCTGCCTTGATGCACACTCCTCATCATCATTTATAACAGACTCTTCTTCAATGTTTAAAATGGACAAAGTAGATATCTATAGCAGGAAAGAAATATCATTAAAATGTATTTCACGTTATTTTTCTCGCGATAAAAAACTCAGTACTCTCGCTTTTCAAGTAAATAAGTAAAAGTAATATTAAGTTTAATCTTATCGATACAACACAGAAGTTGATCAGTAATATCTTACCACGTTGAACAATTTCCTCAAACCATCCTGTGCATCAAACTCTTCCAGTATAACTTTGAATGGAAAAGAAAAACCGAAAAACATGGTCGCGTGACATCGTCCAGAGTCATGGCTACGTTCCAGTAACCATAACGCGTAAGTCACGAGATCTGATATGATGTGCTTTGGCAGTAGGCACACACGCTCCATAGCATCTTCGCAGTACGCTAAGTAATAGAGACAAATGGAAACACCAGTCGCCGCCACACTGGGTCTCGGTACGTCCAATAATCGTTGCAGGCCGCCGACGTTAAGGAATTCTATCGAGAACTTTTTGTGGCAGAGCAACGACGCGAGGTACTTAAGAGCCTCAAAGGCCAGTCTACTGTCCTTGGTCTCGCGCACATTTATATAATTCAGAATCAGCTCTAATGCATTTTGCTCAAATACGTGGCCGAGAAATTCCTGATATTCGCCCATGGGCGTGAGATAGCGCAAAATCAAAATTTGCCTAGTCGCGAGAGTCGGTGGATGCATCTGCACGTTACCAATCACGTATGACTCCATCTCCGCCCAAGACGAATTTGAATTACCCTCCAACAACGAAGAATGCGCGCTGGAATTGAGTGACAGACCGGATTTTTGTAAATTACGAACACAAGGTAGATTCGTATGCCTCGATGACAGCTGCATGCCACTCTGCTTGGACGGCGTCATTTGTGAGTTGGTCGAGTTGATCGGTGTTTTCGGTATACATAATGGTGGAGACATGATTTCAGGATACGAGGTATCGTTGCTACCTTTCACTGGTGTTTGGTCGCAATCAGAGTTGTTTCTTTTCTTCTTGGAGATCGGTACGTCGTCGAAATTGCGCGTGGAGTCATCCTCGTCGGAAAAGAGTAAGTCCTGCGCTGGACTCTTTGTGATACCGTTATCGTATCGTTTTTCCCGCACTTTCCGTTTACCGGGTACACTTTTGCTATCGGAATCGTTACTGATATTGTTCCTGTCCTGCCCAAAATGAGCAAACGGTCTAGTGTTTGCTGCTACTTGACGATCTTCATGTGCTCTGTGCTGCAATTTGTGCAACCGTTGCAACATCAGTGGCACCATCTTGGCATTCTGATCTCTAAATCCAGTGGCAATATCTTGCACTTCCATTGCGGCTGCTAGAAGTCCAGTTGAATAACTCTGCAGCGGCTCAATGCTCTTTTCTGCCCAGTTAAATAATCTGTTGATAAGACCTTCCATATCTGGCTGAAATACTGCTGAAGTCTCCAAACCAGGAAGTATATCCAACATCAGGCGACATGCAGCGATATTGAGTTTTCTAACATCTCTCCCATTTATTCCTGCCCGCGTCCAGTAACTATCTCTCAGGTAGTCATTTATCAACTACAAATAAACATGGTATGGGAAGATTGATAAATAAATTAGCAAAATTATAATGTGGTTGCATAGTAATAGTGGTAGTAGGAAAAATATATATTCTATATTAATTGACATATCAAGTCTTAGAATTGTATATTAAAATGACAGATTTGTTTTAAACAATACCAATATATTATTTAATACACATAAACACATATATACACACACACACACACACATACCTTTGTCATGAAGTTATCCTTTCTAAATAGGACTTTCAGTATATGTCCAAAGTTACATTCTGGATCAGTACGTGATGGATGTCTTTCATCAAAAGGATCAGGATCCATCTTTAAATAATTTTCTGTTTCCAACTCTATTATTTCTGCTAGTCTTTGGAGGATAGGGATAGGATCATAGTTTGCAGAACTATGTTCATCCTCCCATTGTCGAAGAATTTGTACAACATCTGTCACTTCCGCAAGTGATTCTGCATTCGCCATTATTTACCTGCAAATGTCAATATATTCAAAAACTAGAAATTTTATTACAATATAATTTAAATATAGAAAAAATTTGATAATCTGATTTTTTGACAGTATAAAAATCAAATAATCAATAAAAAGAGAATTTTCACTATGATATAAAATTTCTAATATAAAAAAATGATCTCTTCAAACATATTAATTACAAAAAATAAGTCAATGCATCTAATAATGATATTGTATAACCACTGCATTTATTCGTTAAGGGAAATGTCTCAACAACTAATTTTGTAAAAGATTTTTCTCTAGCTTTACATATATTATATGTTATAAATGTTAAGCGTTACATCTTAAATATATAACGATATATCAATGACATAACCACAAATCGATGATGATAAACAAAAGGTATGATGCAAACGAGAGAATTATCGCAACTATTGCAAACGAGGAAGTAACATCAAAGACACATCACCATGATGTGCCTTGGCGAAATCGCATAGCGCATCAAATTATAATCCGTTGCCGGCGTGGTGAGTCCGCGATAGCTTACACAACGAACACAGAGCTGCGCTATGATCCACCGCTGCGTATGGTGGCGCGTGTCTTTTATAGGTTAAGTACAACGAGACTTTATCGAAGAAACTCCGTCCTGACAGTTTTTTCGACGATATTTCGCTACGATGATAGTTATACGAACAATGGACACAATTAAGACACTCAATTATGTGACTTCGAGACTTACAGCTCCACGTTATCCAATTTTCCCGAATGCACAACTCGCAAAACGAAATATTCTACAATATTCTAACGTAGAAATATAACCATATAACAAATAACATCAAGACAAGGTGCACACCTCACAGAGAATTCTTTTTCTTCTTCTTTTTCAATAGATGGCTCTGTGCATACAATAGATGCTTCAACGCCACTCACACGTTATATTAAATCATAGGGAGAAGTTTACAACGATTGGTTAGTGTTCAGTAGAAATCTGAATATTTCAACGAAGCTTGAAGTAAAGTTGGTATTGAAAGCCGACTTTTCCAGTTCCTGGGTACCTATTATGGAACTTTTCACGATTCCGTTCGGAAACGCGAGATTCCGACTGGCCAGTTTCCGATCACGGTTCCACTTATGCGTTTATGCTATTATGAGGTTTATTCGCGTCGCATACCCTAAGGTCCCTTGCACAATGCCAGGCAACAAGCAATAAGAATAAAAATAGACCAATCACAATCGACTATTACAAGAATAATCTATTGTGATTGGTCTATTTTTATTCTTATTGCCTGTTGCCTGGCATTGTGCAAGAGGCTTCACATGCTCCTATTTGCCCCAATGTGTTCCAATTCGTTTGCGTCACCGGAACCTATATGGCGACCAAATGTTCGCGTCGCATTGGAGCATTCCTCAAGGAACAAGTAGGAGTGTGATCCATTTACCCCAGCTTCGGAGGTGGTGCAGTTTGGGCAAAAACAGTTTTGTCATGAGCGCACGCGCAATCATTTGTTTACTTTTGCGAAGAAGAATGCAAAAAAGTACGACTAAATTAAGGAAACGTGTATTAAATACTCAGGTATTTAAAATGTCTTGCATAAGATTTTAGTTGACTGCTGAAATATGCATTTTTATAATTAATTAACTAACAGTAAATTCAAAATAGGTTAAGTGATTTTATTTTAGAACAATTTGTGTGACTTATGTTTATATTTTATTTGAATTAATACGTGAGCAAAAATGTAATATTTTACATACGACATATTATTCAGTAATTTGTGATCAATATATTCAAACATTATTTGTTTTAAAGTTATTTTAACCAGTTAAGAAGTGTTCACTTACACAACTATTGTATTTAATATTAATGATTTTTTTTGTTATAGTCTTCAGCAAGATAAACAATTCATAATGGCTGAATCTAATCAGAAAATTATGATAGCACACCCGAATGCTAATTCTTTAACAGGATCTATGATTCCAAAGAACTCAGCTATAAAAGTTATGCCAAAAATATTGTCATTTAAATTAGTTAAGCCTCAAACACCAAATACTTCTATCGTAACTCACACAACGGACTTAACACAATACTTAAGCCAGCAGCACACGGTGCTTGTTTTCGTGCTGGATTGCTTGCTGGATGAAAATACTGCGTTGTGATTGGTATATTTTCGAAGATGGATGAAAATGCACCAATCAGAACGCAGTATTTTCATCCAGCAAGCAATCCAGCACGAAAACAAGCACCGTGTGCCGCTGGCTTAAGGATGAGTCCTTCTAGTATTCAGTTGCATGAAAGTCCTTCCATTACAGCAACAAGCTCTACGCAGCATACAGATACAATTATGAGTTCATTGGATTTTTCGATTATAAACTCAGATTCTTCCACAGTTATGGAAAAAGAACTTATGATAGATAATGAAAAAGAGAATGATTCTGTTTTCAACAGTGATGGCCATTTTATTTGGAATCATAAAAGCATAATAAGAAACGTATACGCTTTCCGTTGCGTTTAATTACGTTTGACAACATTGGAAAACATATGTACTTTCTGCAAATATCGACCAAAAATACGATACGACGAACTTTAATTGGCTGCGTTCAGCAGGACAAAGTGGAAAATATGGAACTAATATGGAACTAATATGGAAAAATCTTCTTGGTTCTTCCATTATTTCAGCATGTTCTAACGCATTTGTAACTGGTATGTTTACTATTATATCGTCTAAATCCATTATTGTTACACAATTTTACTCTATAATTAAAATGCAGTGAAATTTATATGTTATTATTTTCTCTTAAATTTCGTATTTATTATTTCTTTTACGGATATGTAAAGTCAGCTATTATTTTTCACTCTTTTAGCCGTCTTAGCGTCGAATTATTCTTCTTCTTAATAACAATGTGTTTCTATGTGTACTCTTATACTCCACTTTTTATACTTTGGATAATGTATCACATACGTTTCGAGAGAAATGGATGGTATTACCCATTCGTTGCATTGCGAATGATAGGCCGGTATTCATAGTCGGATCTTATATTTAAGACCGTCTTAAGTTTATCTTCAAACTCTGTACAAAGCATTTCATTGGCTATAGAGTATCTGAAAGTGAACTTAAGACGGTCTTAAATATAAGACCTGACTATGAATACCAGCCATAATTTGCGTATACGTTTCACTTGCGACTGTCAAGAATACGGTTCTAGGGATTTTCCATTGCGATTAGTCGAAACTTGCCACTTATGTATACGCAAGTAGTTCAAGAATAGAGCCCCAGTGGTGCGATTCTGTAACTCGTTATTGGAGTTAACGACAGTTTCGTTATTGTTGCGCAGCTTTTCTACAGTATACAAAAGCTGCGCAACGATAACGAAAGTGTCGTTAACTCCAATAACGAGTTACAGAATCGCATCACTGATACGGTAAACTTAAATTGTGAACGTTAAGCCCTTTGCACAATGCCAGGCAACAGGCAATAAGAATAAAAAGACCAATCACAATAGATTATTCTTGTAATAGTCGATTATGATTGGTCTACTTTTATTCTTATTGCTTGTTGCGTGGCATTGTGCAAGGGGCCTTATTCGCTTAGAAATAATGTCGCAATGTACGTATACAACCAATAGTATTCACGATTTACGTTTATTGTATCTGAAAGACGGTATTGCAAAAACTCCCCAATATGCGGCACGTGAGACGTTGATTAACTATTGGTTAATGTCGATATTTGCCGCGTCCTGTGGGTGTCGGCCTTAATTGTACGTCTCGGTTAATGTAAACACTCCATAAGTCATGGTAAAACCGTCAGTCTTTCATAGCAACTCATCTATGGTAGAATCGACGGGTCGTTGATGTAAGCGAAGTTGATGGTTATTCGTAGCTGAGCGTGGTGGAACAGTTACTGTTGCACGAATACGTGCGAGCGTGAACGGTGATGCTGAGGTGTATTGTTTAAAGAAAAGGGGTCGTCAGTCGCGTCATTTTCGATATCATTTCCTCCATTGATCGCGCAATTTTCCAGCCTTGTATGCCACGATGTCTCTCAGTCACAGCACCGTGGTGAGTAAACGAACGATTTAAACGAGTAAGTATGGGAGAACTTGTGCCACAAAAGTCGCTGCCAAGTTTTTCTCCCGTAAACAAGCAATTTCCTTCTTCCCGATAATCTTCTCTAACACCACATGGAATTCATATGCATTACAAGTCGAAGTCGGTTTTCGATATCCGGCTGTCGGTAGCATACTTTACGTATATTGACAAACTGCTGCTAACCTCACACGTAGACATGTAGGGTGGGAAGAAGCAGTGGCCTTGTAAATAATATTCGTATTCGGCTAAGGATATTTAATACTTTTAGATGCAGGCTATGACATGCGATATTATATTGATGTTGATTATTTCAATTCCTAAGTATTAACATATCTGTGATTTGTATGTCATTTTCAGATACTAAAGTGTTTTCACTAGAAAATCTTTTTAAGTCGTCACATTATATTTATCAAAATTTTCATTATCAGCCAGAGATAAGACAATCAAGTTAACATAACAAAAATATCTTAAACTTAAAAGATCAATCATATAGTCCTGACATATGTACATATTTCATATAAGGAAGTTTATGATACTTGAAAAGAAGATTTCAAATTTTCATTATTTTTGCCTGACAAAAATTAAATTTTTGGAACATTCCAGCTTGAATATAACGTTTGAATTGTGCTAATATAGTAATAAGTTAATTTATATTTTATATATAATTATTATCTTTTAAACTTATAATATGTATCCCTGTGTAATATTTTTCTAATGCCAAAAAACTAACTCTACAGCTGAAATTATACAATACTGTGATAGAAGATGTAATATCTGGTGTACGAGAGTCTTTCATAGACGAGGGTGTAGATGAGCAAGTTCTACAGGAGCTTAAACAGATATGGGAAACAAAGTTACTATCTTGTAAGGCTGTGGAGATGAATCCAGATCCACCAGAATCACAAGTTCCTCAACTTAATCCGCTCAAAGCAATAAGTATCAATAAAGGTAAATATCCTTATAAAAATTATTACTAATACATTATGAATAATCATAAATAACCATCATATCATTATAGATCAGTCATAAATAATCTTTAAAATCAAACATACAAGTTTTTGTTACAATAGAACATTGTATACAAAGTACCCAATTGCTGCTCCAAATAAGACATGTGATAACAATTGTTTTGTAAATCATTGTCACATACATGTATCATATGCTGCAATAGCTTCTATAGGAAATCATTATATACAAACCGGAAACACAGTACCGACGCAACAACAACCACAACCAAAACCGCAACAACCGCAGCAACAGCAGCCTCAGCAGCAGCAAACACAGCAACAACCTCCTCAGCAGCCACAACAGCAACAAGCACAGCAACAACGACCTACACCTCAGCAACACACACTTCCTACAGCAGGGACAACAACATTGCAACAGCACTCATCAGCGCCAGTGCAACAAGTGGTGACTGCTCCTGCCGCTGTACTCGACCGACAAGTGCCCATCCAGATCACCTTGCCGCCTCAAACTGGTGTTCCAGACGCTCCACAACGGATCTTAACTATACAAGTTCCTGCATCTGCTATTCAAGGTAAAAAGTTTATTGTACACTTTATTGATAAATATATCACCAACAATTTCTGTAGTAATAATTGTAATTTTTGTAAATTTTAATTTGTGTAAATATAGAATTATATCTACATAATTTTCTTATATTAAAATATCAACTAGAACTATTTTGTATAATATAGAGAATATTCTTATCATGATTTATTTTTATCTATGTCATCACAAGAGCAGATTAACGAGCGAGAAAATTGAAATTTTTAATCAATAGGGCAAATGGAAAAGCATCGCATTTTTTTTTTTTCTTTCAGAGAATCAATTACACACAATTTTAACTGGTCCGGTAATCTCCGCCGCTATGGGTCTTCCAGCAAATTTAGCTTCTACTTTATTGCAACAACATGTAAATGCTACGCTACAGGGACAAGCTACGTTAACGCCATTGCAAGTGAATCAACCTATTCAAGTAGTTACGCAAAGTACAAATAATATTGTCACGCAGAGGCCAATGCAGAACCAGGTGATAAGATATTTAATCTAAATAATGAATATATATATATATATATATATATACACATACATACGTACATCCATACATACATGCATACATTACGTGAGGAATATAACATTTCGATTGCTTGCTAGCAGCAAAATAATATAGCTCAGCTTGATGGAGCGGCGGGCGACTCTTCCGACGATGACGACGAAGAGGAAGAAGAAGATAATGATGATGACGATGAGGATCTTGACGATAAAGAGGAGGAAGAAAATGATGAGGCGGCGGCTCGTGAAGAGGTTAATATTTGTAGAAAAGTCGTATGTTTGATGGTTTAAATTGATTTATACAAAATTTGTCTATTTTAGGAACCCCTTAATTCCGAAGATGATGTTACCGATGATGATCCTGCGGATCTTTTTGATACCGACAATGTAGTTGTATGTCAATATGATAAGGTACGGCCGTGATTACGTAAAACTATTGGACTTTAGCGTGTTTCTACAATTATATATATATATAATTCGAGTACAAACTTACATTATTTTTCTTTCAGATTACAAGGAGTAGAAACAAATGGAAGTTTTATCTCAAGGACGGTATAATGAATCTAAGTGGGAAAGATTATGTGTTTCAAAAGGCAAACGGAGACGCTGAATGGTAATTTTGAGATGTGATGTGAATATCGTGTCGCTAGTTCGAGTAAGCTCGACTAAAGGATGCTACGTGTAAAAGCAACTTGATCATGTGTTCACGTGAAATCGCATTTCATGATTATTATTATGGAATGTGCCGGACATGATTCTACTAATTATGTGACAATGTTACATTCGTAATACCAATGCAGGGGAAAACGGTAAAAAATTATAGTTATATTTACACGTTTTATGTTGTTCTCATTCCCTCTATAGACGATGTGGCTCTTCAAAAATATCTCAGTAGGAGATTCACGAATTCTCGACTTTATTAAAACTGAGTATACTGTAGAAGAAAAAAAATCTTATTTTATTCACTTCTTTCATGTCCTTAAAATTAGATTGCATTATTGATATTCTTAATTGAATACTTCCGTTAGATATTTTCCAATACTTTTATTAAGCTTCTTGCTAAGAGAAAAGCAGCAACAAGTTTAAGTAAAGCAGTATAAATTTATATGTAAGCATATATAAATTATAATAGCTTCAATTTTGTTACAATATGTAAATGTTATGTTGGGGAAACATGCTGTTTATAGTATGTTATTGTACAGTCAAATTGACTATAGAGGGTTGGTACGTTCTCTTTTGTGCAAATGCAGATTATACATGTATGCTGTCCAAGTTACAAGAAAGTCTCCCACTGTTACATTAGTCGTATATTCGTCGTGCATTATTATAACACGTTCATGAAGGTCGCGATCCTTAGAAGATAGTCACGACGAATGTAAGCTTCCCCCGGCAGATGAACAAATTTTAATAAAAAAGAAATGCGTAATGCGTTTACCGAACATTCATATCGATTAGTAGCTCTGATTGTGTCGAGAACCGCTACATCATTGACGATGATGTCGAAGATTATATCCTATATATATATATTTTTTTTTTGAAATCCTCGATTATGAACTTTTTCACATGAAGTAGTGTAAATAGTTTTAAGGGATTGCAAATTACGGCACATATGTGACGCTTCGGGAAAGAAAACGTGTCTTATGCTGTTGCGAGTATTAACAAACTCGTTTGTCATCGAAAGATGAAGAATGACGGTTTGGAATTTAGGAAGTTGATATCGTGTTTTACTCAGGAGATTTGATTCGTTCGGAGAGCGATCAACAAAAGAAATCAATTGTTATGAATAACTTGAAATATATTTTGTTTCTCTGTAAATAGCTGTTTTAAACACTTAAAAAAATCACCATTCCAAATTTAATTTCCGGTTCTTCATCAAAAATATCAATAAGGAGATGTATATAATAATCATATTCGAAACTAACATGAATTCATAAACATCAAATTTACTTGAACATCAAACTAATCCAAGCTGCTTCGGTTAAATACATCGTAAGACTCGTCAGCTAGTAAATTTTATGTTGCATGCGCCGTAAAACGTTTAAGTCTATGCTGCGTATGTTGACAAAGATTTATCCTTAAATTATAATTTATAAGAGAAGATGCAACATTTGTAGAATCCTCTTGTTTTCTTGCGTCGTTGAAATTAATTGTTTAAGTTAATATCATTCTTTAATTGGAGAACGACGATATAAACAACTTCTCTGTTAGAAGGGTATAATATATAATTAGGTTATGAATTGCAATGCAATTATGAATATTATGAAACAATATGACAGTTGCGTTACTTTACAAGTATACTTTAGATATCGATACATTTCGAAATCTAGATTATACATTTTAAACAGAAAGGCATATATATTTTTCGTTGTTCACACTGTCGTTTATACCGTCAATCAGCCAATTATAAGTCTCTAATTTCCTAAAGTTACCAAAAAGTACGAATTTTTATATAAAAATTGCGGCCAAAATCATATATCATTGAAACTATAATTATAGATACTGTTCGCTAAATATTATGTTATCTGCGTTACATCGTTCATGGTATGCCTTATATCTCGAGTTTAACTTATAAATAAAACTTCTTGGAATTTGCAAAATAATAAATGTTTCATGAGAACATTATTTTTTTATGAATGAGTGAGTGTGTGTATGTGTGTGCGCGCGCCTATAGGTTTTTTTTACAAGTGTATGTGTGTCTTATAATCACATGATTCAGCATATTTTAAATGGAAAACTTTCGAACAATTGTAATCTTCTAAACGTCAAATATAAAACATGCTTAAATAAACATTCGCTTATATAAGAAATTGTTATTTCATAAAAGCAGGAATGAGCTTTAAATTGACAATATGACATGGATAGGCTATATCATTTTCTTCTCTTTTGTCAATTATATCATATTGTAATGTTTCGTTGCACAATTTTTCTATATGCTACAATATTACATAAACATAAATCGATCTTTTTTTCCATTAAACTCTTGTCTTAATGGACAAAGATATTTCGTCCACTCTATCTTTTCATAATAATATTTTGCTTTTTTCGATTTATAGTGTCAAGTCTTTTAGGAATTCGTTTCTTCCAAATTGATAAATTCATAAAATATAAAATAATATTTAATTTGCATATAATATAATCATTGTGTAATCTTCGTTCGAACCTTTACACACCCTAATTTGTTTCCCGAAATTAAATTTTATATATTATTATATGTATTAACGTATCTCATTCATTGTGATTACACACATATACACGAATGTAATTTATGTAAAATATTTATGGAGCCAACGTCATACAGAAAATATTGATATAACAATAGTTTTGGATTTTTCAATCAATAGTCGCGATAAGGAATAAAGTTAGAGACACGTACTTATGTTACTATTTTCATTTGCTTGTTTCTGACTTCTACTTTTTCAATGAAATCGAGATTTATCAATAAAGAAGACAATTTCTATATTCATCCGTTTTGCTAATTAGCCAATTTGCGCGATGTTTCGAGTCGGCGTTTGATTGTTTCCTTTTGGAACGCAACAATATACATATATAGGCTAAACGTATTATCTACAGAGTAAAGTCCAAAGTTGGCAGTTTAAACAAAATGAAAAAGTTGCTTTGCTTCCATTGCTTTCTCATTTTATTTTACAACAAGATGATCATTCTGTTAAATGTATAGTGATAGTTGTTAAATATACAATGACATTGAATTAAAAGGATAAAATTGTAAATATGTTTTATCATATAACATAACGTTGGTACTCATAATATTTTATATGGTGTATAAGTTGTTCTCGTATTTTATTTTGGAAGGATGTTAATAATTAACAAGCAGCGTAACAGTATAAAATATTTATTATATATATATGTATATATATATTTTTGTGTTTATTTGTTATTAAAGTTTATTCGATATTCCCAATAAAATATGAATGTGAATATATATCTGAGCTGAATACACAATAGAATCTATAAATAAGATGTTATAATTTTCAATTGTTTTATCTATTTGTTATATGTATTTGTAATGAAGTAAATTGTCTAATCGTTTAAGCTTTAAATTTAAATTATGCAACATATTAGTGTAATATTTAATATATTTATGTGAATCATTGTTGATATATGATTGGACAATAATATAGGAAAACGAGCTATTTTCATTTCTCTTTCAAAAACGAAAATAAATCAGTAAACATGTATTGTCCCGAAACAAATTCCAAAATTTGCAAATTGGGATAATTTCTTAAATATTGCGCGTTCGAATATTCACAATATTGAAATCTGACTACTGAAGCAATGTCCCCAAATATAATTTTTCCAAAATATATAATTGTCACAAAAAGAAACTAATACTCTGAAAACAGACATATGTATATTAATATCTATCCATTTAGATACATTCTTTTTGTAAACTCTCTCAACTAAATAAATACTAACGTACCTGGCTACGAGATAATTTCAATATTTCAGTAAAATTGTTTTTCAGGAAATTATCTCGGTATTTAAATTTCTGTTATAATTTTTCAGGAAATTCGATTTTTTTTAAATTTCGATATATTTTTTTTCAGAACAATGCATGTTCACCAAAATCGACATAAAATTTAAAACTAATACTCCACGAGTACATTATTCTATTAAATACCGATCGTAACAATAAATCAGAACCTTAAATTTATTTTCCGTGAATTATTGTAATTAAAACTTATATTGCATATTCGGTAGTTTTATATATAAATATGATTATATTGCTTCATATTTCTGATTCATAATATGATTCTTAATTTAAGTGAAATAAGTGAAATAAATATCAGTTGTATCTTATAAAGAAACATTCAAAAACATTCTATATCCTATAAATATATCGAATTAAAGATAAAATATCTTGTGATACAAAAAAATAGTATTATATTAACATTTAATATAAGATGCAAAACAAATAACATGAATTAACTGAAGATTTTTAATTTTTAATACAATATTTTCATTTTACGGTATATCGTAAATTCTTATTTAACAAAGCCTTTTTTTATTTTTATTAAATACAATGTAACACATATTCCTCTACAAAAGGACTTACCGATCCAATGTTTAGAATAAATACAATTGTTTTATATTTCCAAATAAATAAATCAAAACCAAAATATTGAACATATTTTATCCCACATATTTTACTCATTTTTTTTGTGAATTATTTCTTTAGTTGTGATACCTATAAGTTTGTCCCGCTTATATGCGTTTTATATACATATATTACTAATATTTCAGTCATATATACATAATATTAAAATATAACCAAATGCTTTAAAAATTAATATATAATGCTGAATCTGTCTACCCAAATGAAATTATCCTCAACACATGCGGAAAAAAATCTGTCATGTTCAATATTGTTAACTAATGGGTTTAGATACCATATTTTCAGAAGAAATATTGCCAGATGTCATAATTTCAGATGCTTCTGTTTGCTTGGAATAATCTACATTTTGTTGAATTTTTTGAGATGCAACGATAGCTTCGTCATTTACTAAGTTTGACTTCTTTACCTGTCCTGTTATCTGTATATAGTTAGTAGGTACTAAACCAATATCTTTACCATTGGTGGCTATTAACCAACCCGTCGCGTTTTTAGATTGTAAAGACTGTGGTGCCAACCATATTTTTTGACCAGCCTTCAGATTCAATTCGTCATTAGAAACTGACACAAAATCGTACAGTACATGTGCCACTTGAACAGGATATCGGCTCTTCACCCAAGTTGACGGTTTATTAACTGTAAATTTTTTTGATATGTATAAAACATTCTCACAGTTATTTTATATAGAGATGAAAGTATACCTAAAATATTTGACTAAAATTATTACAAGAAAAAACAAATTTAAAACATTAAAAAATGTTTATGAAATATGTGAAATATCCTGATAAAGATAGTTACATAAGTGTAAGACTTTGTTAACAGAAGAGGTTCTATAAAAGCAATTGTTATTTGTAAAGATATAACCAAAAATATAAAAAGATACCTTGTACTTGAATCTGCCTCACATTACTCATAATCTTAAGAATTAAATATGGAATAACAGCAAAAATGGTGACAAATAGAAAACTTGTATGCCATGTAAAAATCGGCGAATGCCCTTCTTCTTGACTTTTCATTTGTGACATTGAATTTTGCCATAACATTTCATTTAATGTATCCTGCGATTCTTTACCTATAAAAAAAGTAGTCATCATTAAGATAATAATTGGAAATTTTATATAAGTTAATATGTGAGTTTTTAGTTGTATATTAAGTTTACCAAGTAACACTAGAAGTTTCTTATAGATCCATTTCAACAATCGAATCAAACTCAAGGTGCTTAATAATTGTCCGAATGTTGAACGCATTCGCCCGATATTATCTGCTAAAACTTCGTACGTCCGAAACGAAGTTAATAAAGTATAGTGTGATGATTCCACTACCGCTGTGATAGACCCCAATGTATTTAATACAGATTCCACTACATTAACAATCGGTCTCGTAGTTTCTTCAACATACTGCTGAAAACTGACATAAAACAAATTCTCTTAGATAAAAGATCTTGAATATGAATTTAAAGATCTTTCCCAAATAAAAGTTTAAAGTCTTTACAACACTATTTAATATCTTTTCTCTTAATTAAAAATATTTTGATCATTAAAATTATCAAACTTATTCGTCATTAAATTTGTAAATTGTGTGTGCGCGTGTGCACATATATAAGTGATAATTTTTACCAATAAACTATATATATATATATATAACATACCTATTTACCATATTTCCATATCCAAATAGTCCATTATTATTATGCATGGGCATATCATGTTGATAAAAAATTTGATTCCCAGGATAATTATATCCACCATAATTTCTATAACTGCCAAAACCCCCATACATTCCATTGTTTAAATAATTAGAAGCAAATGATCTATAATTACTATATCCTGTATAATTATCTATAGGAAAGCGTGGTGGTACTGGTGGAGGTGGATTAACTGTAGGAGTTTGAACAGGTCCAAACGTATGTGGCATACTATAACATAGATTTTAAAAATATACTATTCACAGTATATATTAATAATATATTTTCTTACATCTATCGTATATGTTATATAATTTATATAATTATTGATAATCAATCATATTATTAAATTTCCTTTAATACATATGTTGACCTTATATGCAATATATCATGTTATACATATGTGCCAGACTTATTCTCCAGACTTTCAATATATACATACATGGAAAGACTTAATCATCTTTATCATATGTCTTTCTTTTCTTTAATCTCAAATTAAAATCACCAATAAATTTAATAATTTATTTAATAAATTAAACAATAATTTAATAAATTTATTTCTTCTTTCAATATTTCAATAATTTTATTTCTATGTGTAAATAGTTTCCTTTGTAATTTTATCTATTTTGTATTACATATTTATTAGGTCATTAAATATAAAATGTTCGATTTTGAATCAAAAGTTTGGTTTATTATATTTCAAATTAGAAGTAGCACAATTAAGGGGACTGGAGGGTCAGATTACTGAAAAATCGTGCTTGTTTTTGATAATGATTTTCTGACAAACTGAATAAATGTGCAAGAATGAAAATTTTACATATATTTATATAACATATGAAGAGTAGGAAAATTTTGTTTTTAAACAAATACTCATATAAATATATGTTTAAATTTTAATATAAATATACATTTAAATTTTAAACGCATTTTTCTCAAAATTTTGTTTAACTTTTTGCAGTGATTTTCCGAAACTGAGCTTCGTATTGATTTGAAATTTTAAAGCAATAATATTTGTTCATGTGGCTCTCAGGTGAACCATGGACAACTCAAAATATTTCATTTCGAGATATTAATTTTTTTATTGTAAAAGAACTGAAAAATTTGAATTTTTTCCTAATAATAGCTGCCATTTTGTTAATTTTGTTCGATCCTTTTTCTAGTGGTTTACTGGATAATGACAAGCATCCTCAAGATTTCTAGCTAAAATTTGCTATAATCGGACCACCGAGAGCAGAGATATTACTGCAAAAATGATAACTTGAAAAAAAAAAAAAAAAGGAAAGTATATTTATCATATAGCTATATATATTGTATATTTATACGAGTATTTGTTCATAAACAAAATTTTTCTACTCTTCATATGTTGTATGACTATACCTAAAATTTTAATTCTTATTTAGTTCGTCACAAAATATTATCAAAAACAAGCATGATTTTTCAGCAATCTGACCCTCCAGTCCCGTTAATCAAAGTATGCGCCTAAATTATCAACGCAATTTTATCATCTTAATGGTAGCTGCTATCTTTATGCCAGCAGTGAAAAAACCTAATGAGCAGGTGGTGATGAAATCATGGAAGATATTTTCCACAGCTTGTTGAGAATTAAATATTTTAAGACGATTTATTTTGTCGTTTGTTTAATTCATACAAAACCCATCTATCCAGCTTCTTTGCCGATTTGTTTCAAATGGTCCAATGTTATTGGAATAGTAACGTTAAACCTTGCTGTTAATTCATGCATAATTTGAGATGTATTTGCTTTCACAACAGTTTTTAACTCATTATCCATCTTGGTCTTAGGTTATTCATATGGCTCATTTTCATGATTAAAATTGCCAGAATAAAACTTCTTAAGATATCGATGTACTGTGTTCATTAGCCACATCTTCACCAAACATGTTGTTTCATATTTCAAGTTGTCTGCATTAGTTCCATGATGGAACTTATCCGAAAATAGCACAAATTTTTAACTTATACATGTTTATACAAAAATTATTGTAATAAAGACAATTTGAAAGATAATCAACCAAAACATATGAAAGAGTGATAGTGTACCTTCACAACAAAGAACTAAAAACTGTAAAAATAAAATGTTAGAGATATCACCTGTTGAACTTAGTACTTAAGGAAATCAGATATTTTCATATTTAATGACTAATATAATATAATACTTTGTATTATATATTCTGAAATACCACTCGAGAAAGAAATCTATAAATTTTATCAGCAACTGTTAAAAATAAATTTATATGAAATATTTAAAAACCTTTGATCCAAATTGGGTAATTATTTAGAAGACGGGCCTCACCTTGGATTTCGCTCAAACTCACCTGTCTTGTGTATTTTGACGTGTAGAAGCCGAATCTGCAAGTAAAAGTCGTCGCTCGGCTCTAGTTTGCGAGAAATAAATTGTTAAAAAATAACATGCGAAGTTAGGAAATCTGTCATGTCGGTAATACAGAGACTTATGGTCTGTTCTTTTTAGTCAGAAAGTGTAAAATAGTAAGCGAGGGAGGGGCGAAGCCCTCTACTCAAAGACATTTTCATATATTAAACATATGAATTTTTAGTTCATGTATCAGTGGTTATTTTTGGTGTGTAATAACCACTGATACATGAGCTAAAAATTCATATGTTTAATATATGAAAATGTCTGGATAAAAAGCTTCGCCCCTCCGCCGCTTACATGTACTACTTTACACTTTCCGACTAAAAAGAACAGACCATGGTACCTATTATGGAACTTGTCGGAATCGATTCCGATCGAATTTATTCCGTTATTTCCTAGATTTTTATTGTCTTTTCTAAGGGAAACGGAATTATTCCGATCGGAATCGATTCCGACCAGTTCCATGATAGGTACCCATAAGTCTGTATTACCGACATGACAGATTTTCTAACCTCGCATGTCATTTTTTAACAATTTATTTCTCGCAAACTAGAGCCGAGCGACGATTTTTATTTGCAGATTTCTACACGTCAAAATACACAAGACAGGTGAGTTTGAGCGAAATCCAAGGTGAGGCCAGTCTTCCAAATAATTACCAAAAATAATGCTATTACTAAGCTTATACTGAAAAAAATACTTTGTCATGTAAACAACATTAAATAACATTAAATAACATATTACTGTGTAATACTACTAGTATTTTAACACATAATGTAGATATGAATATAATAAAAATATATTGCAAGATTTATTCACGATATATTTAAAATAGGTAATTGCACGAACTATAAACATATGTTGATAACGATTAAAATAATTAATTACTTTACCTTGTCGACATGGGAGGAACGTTATGCAGTTGAATATTATTCGTCCTATTATATCCCGGTGCCATGGTTCAGATCTTGATGTATTCACGTTTAGTTCCAAATTCTTATGTTGAAAAAAGATTAGCACACTTATTGTGTGGTTATAATGACGTATGTATATTTTTTATATTGTTGTTCAAAGTTCGCGTAAACACTCTACGAGATACAAAGATCCGACGATTGTACACGCCATGACGAGTGAAATTATGGCTGCGTTCAGAAAACATAACGGTTATACAACGGTTGAGTACGGCCCCTTGCACAATGCTAGGCAACAAGCAATAAGAATAAAAATAGACCAATCACAATCGACTATTACAAGAATAATCTATTGTGATTGGTCTATTTTTATTCTTATAGCCTGTTTATTCTTATAGCTTGGCATTGTGCAAGGGGCTTAATCCGTCAACGTTATTGGTCTGAATGTAAGGATCTAACAGTAAGAACCAATAGTTACTAATCGCTCAGTGAGCGTTTTGTTTTCTGAACGCAACCTATGGTTACATTCCGATATTCACTGCCAGTACTGAAAATCTATAGTATACGTGACACAAACTATGTATTTTCAGTACTGGCAGTGAATATCGGGTCGCAGCCTATATCCGTATTCTTCCTTCCTTCTTTCAACAGATGGCTCTGGGTCAAAGACTACGTTTACACGGCAAAGTTAATCCGGATTAGTAACAACCATAGTTAGTGAATTCTTTGATTCGATTGGTACTTTCTTTTAGATCTAAAAATATATTCTAATCGGATTCGAGACTGCACTAACTACGGTAGTTACTAAGCCGAAGTTAGAAGCCGTGTAAACGTAGTCTATGGAAGTAAGCCCTACGCCATTCTCCTTATCTGACCGTATGGAAATATCAATTTCTATGGGTGTGTTCTAAAGCCCGATTCAAAATAGGGTGCAAACGCCCAATTACGAGTTGCGAAGAATGGTAACTATGATTACGTTTACACCAATTTATGCCAAAGTTATAACATCGATGTTATAACTACTGACATTAGATGCCGTGTAAACACTCCTTTACGACGAAGTTATTACATTGACTACGTTTACACGGCAAGGTTAATCCGGATTAGTAACAACCGTAGTTAGTGAATTCTTTGATTCGATTGGTATATTCTTTTAGATCTAAAAATATACTCTAATCGGATTCGAGACTGCACTAACTGCGATAGTTACTAAGCCGAAATTAGAAGCTGTGTAAACGTAGTCATTGATGTAATAACTCAAAGTCATTTAGTGAAGAGGCTTAAGCCCGTATCAGACTATGGATTGGGATTGAGATTGGATTGAAATTTGACCAATTGAAAAAGAGAAAATAATCTCAAGTATAGTAAACTTACTCCTGATTGGTTAAATTTCAATCCAATACTCAATCCCAATCCGTAGTCTGATACGGATTTTAGGGTTTCTACATCGACGTAAGGAAGACGTGTAAACGGACGCAGTGTAAATATGACAATAATACCAATATAAAAATTGAACATCTTAACTTGATTGTAAAATTGATTTATGTCGTGAAAATTGTAATACGGGTCCGAGATCAAGCAAATGATTTAGTGGTGTTAAATTCAACAAATGTTGTAATATAATTTCTTTCTGACGCTTTCGCCGTTTAATCAAAATATTTCGTACATATAGTATATATTGCATCGTCATATTTTCTACTATTTTCAAATATACAGCAACAAACAAGTGTACGCTTTCCATATTTTCCATGATTAATTTTTTCCAAAATTGATAACCTAAAATTTTAATTTCATTTCTAGTTAAATATTATATTTTATTATATAAATTTTACTATATAGATATATACATATTTTATAATTTTCAAATTCATAATACAACCTAAAAGTTCACTTTATTTGTTGATTTGTTTACATACTATTCTTTTCATATTCTAATTCTTTTATATTCAGACTACAATCACAATCATTTCATTTTTCGGCCTTTTATATTGGTACTAATGGAAATCCTTGACTCACTCGAAAGTTATTAAGTTATTTCAAATAGATAAGCGTAAATGTGTAAACGCAACTCACCTTAAGTAGGAGTTATAACATTAGCGTTACTAAAGCCAGCGGCACACGGTGCTTGTTTTCGTGCTGGATTGCTTGCTGGATGAAAATACTGCGTTCTGATTGGTACATTTCCGAAGATGGATGGAAATGCACTAATCAGAACGCAGTATTTTCATCCAGCAAGCAATCCAGCACGAAAACAAGCATCGTGTGCTACTGGCTTTAGTCGAAGTTAGAAGCCGTGTAAACATAGTCATTGGTTGCGTTCAAAAAACAAAGCGTTCACTGAGCGCTTAGTAACTATTGGTCCTTACTGTTAGATCCTTACATTCAGACCAATAACGTTGACGAATTACTCAACCGTTATGTAACCGTTGTGTTTTCTGAACGCAGCCAGTGGTTGCGTTCAGAAAACAAAGCGCTCACTGAGCGCTTAATAACTATTGGTCCTTACTGTTAAGCTAAGACTCCATGCATGCGGTGAGCTCCGGCAAACGGCTGCGGTGACCAATCAGGAGACAGACGCATGCCGGAGCTTGCCGCAACCGGACTTGCGCCTCCCTCCTGATTGGTCACCGCAGCATTTGCCGCAGCTCACCGCATGCATGGAGTCTTAGCTTTACTCAACCGTTGTGTTTTCTGAACGCAGCCATTGCGTTCAGCGGAGAAAACCGCTCAGTGAGCGATTAGTGACTAAATAAATACGATTTCACTTAAAATTTAATATACATACCTGTTCAATACCTTGCAAAAGACGCATTCCCATTTGAATGACTTGCACTATGTATCTATTCCTCCGCTGTTGATTTTTCAAAATGTAAGAATTGGGTGCGTTCACGACACTCAACGGTTGAGCAACTGTTGAATAATTTGTCAACGTTATTGATTTGAATGTAAGGATCTAACAATAAGGACCAATAGTCACTAATCGCTCATTGAGCGGTTTTCTCTGCTAAACGCAATGATTGTTGACATACTTATGTCATATCACGTATATTTTATTTCTTTCGTTGTGAGTTACTGCGCAGGCGGAGCAGCAGCTCTCATCTTTCTCGAGTCGGGATGCGTCCTGAAAGTCATTAAAAAAAAAGTGACAACCTTTATATCCGCGTAAAGCTAAGACTCCATGCATGCGGTGAGCTGCGGCAAACGGTTGCGGTGACCAATCAGGAGACAGACGCATGCCGGAGCTTGCCGCAACCGGACTTGCGCCTCCCTCCTGATTGGTCACCGCAGCATTTGCCGCAGTTCACCGCATGCATGGAGTCTTAGCTTTAGTATCGCCAACTTGGCTTATTTTCCGTATATATATATATATATATAATACGGTGTATATAATACTGCTTATAATAAAATGAAATATGAAAAAAAAAATATATATATATAAATATATATATATAAAAGTGATATTGTATCAATAATATAATATAATTATATTATTATGAATAAAATTAATCAACAATAAAACTAATTATGTATTTATTTTAATTCCTTTCTTAAAAACATATGCACACGTATACATAGCGCGCATATACATAGTGCACACATACACACACACGCATTTATTAATTTTAGCTTATTTCTGGGGTTTTTTGGAGAAGCATTTGACGGATTTTAAAATTCAGAGTTGGTAATACTGTCCGCGACCGTACAAGAGCTTGCTAAGCGCTCAATGAGCGGCCATAATATTAGTCACATTCAACAGAAAAAGCTACTTAGTAAATACTTAGTGATTATTACTTATGATTGAGGTATTATTTTAAACTTTTGACAGATCCAAGAAAACGAATCAATCAAGAACAATAATCACTAAGTGCTTAGTAAGCAGCTTTTCCTGTTGAACGCAGCCGATGAGTGTACGTGTATCTAAAATCCTATATAGATTAACTTGCTAATATATAATTCGTTATTTACATATTTTGATCTTATACTTAATTATTTGCATATTTTTAAACAGTTACATCTATACATAAACAATACTTCGAAATTGTTATGTATAGATTTAAATTGACACATAAACATTCAGATATATTCAATCCGAAAATATCTAAACTAATAATGGAAAATATTTGAATCTGTAGGAATATTATGTCAATGAGATAACAAAAACACTTAAATTTGTTTGAAATGAATCTGGATAATCATAATGATTGTAACAATGACTATGATGATGATAAACCCAAAACACCACTAGAAGAGGATTGTTGTGGTAATGGTTGTGTACCATGTGTCTTTGATGTTCACAAAAAACTATTAAATGAATGGGAAAGTAGAAAGGCACAAAATGTAAAAGTTAAAACAAGTAGTAATTTATTGTCTCTTTTATCCTATAAACCATTTGTTATTACGGATATATGTAAAACTTCGGAAGACTATATTTTACTTCATTTAGAATATAAAGGTATTGCTATTATATGTACTTAACATTTATATAAATTATATACAATTTTTCTTGTATAGATATAAAGATGATATATATTAAATTGAAAATATTAATAAAATATATTATGATTGTACAAATCCAACATATCTTAGATATATTTTTTGTATATAATATAGAGAGTAAAATACAAAATGGTGTGAGTTTACATCTTATACCTGGCCAATATGTTATGCTACATTCTTGGTGCATGTCTCGACCATACACACCGATTTCATGGACTAGAAGAAGTTTGATTCTTCTGATAAAGGTATATAAACAAGGCAAATTTAGTACATGCTTAAGAGATGTACCACTGGGTAGTATAATTGATATTAGAGGTCCATATGGAGATTTTAAATATGAAAATAACAGGTATGTAAAGATATATAGGTACAAATTAGTTCACACATAAATCTATCCATTAATAGTTTTCAACAGATCATCATGTTCAGCATTGGCTCAGGGATAGCTGCACTTTATCCTATTGCAAAAACAATTATTGATGACGAAACAGAATTAACAAAAATACACCTCATTGCGGGATTTCAATCTATCATACATGTTCCTTTAAAAAAAGAGTTGAGATATCTAACAGATTATTGGAATTTTAAATGTACATTACAACTGTCACAATCAAATGGTATGTCATTTTAAAGAATAAAATAAAAAACAAGATTATTTATAGAGATTATAAGTAGACAAGATGTTCCAAGAGGATTGCATATTTAACTATAAATTCCTTCAATATTGTTAGAGATTTTCTTATAAATTAATAATTTAAATATTAATCGTTCTTTAATTATTAAAATGAAACCAATATTAATTGAATTTATTAAGTTGAAATCAATATTAATATTTTAGTTATAAGAATGGTTGTGAAATGTGAAAATAATTCACTTTCAGAGGAGACAATTGGTCCTCATGGTCTCAATATAAAAATCGGTCGTTTGAATAAATTAGTTGTTGCTAGTTATTTTCAATGTAATGATATAGAGACAACATTGATTTTAATATGTGGGACTTCAGAGTTTAATCAATCTATGAAAGAATGGATCCAAGAAATGAATTATACTCACATGTATATATTTGAATAAAATATTTTTTAAAAGTAGGAAAACATTAATGTTCAATAGGACATGATATTTTCTCCTTGCAATATGGACATATACCATAAATATATCCAAATACAACTTGATTCCCAGCGTTCTTCTGTAACCACTGTAATAAAGAACATCAAATATTGAACATTTTTTTTTATAACAATTAGATGAAAAATCTGGATGCATTATATTCATTTCTAGTTTTCAAAAAAAAAATTATTTACTTTAATAAACTTATTTTATGTTGACTTTCTGTTCCTATTGTTTCTAAAGTACTATCGATCACACTACTTTATAAAGTACATTCTACATTTCTAATAAACAATTTTTTATGTGCATTATGATCATATACCTTCGATAAACATGCTGAGTGATAATGTATCTTGCATTGTGTGTTGTTACATATCTTATCAGGCAATTCATCATCCTCTGATTTTTCCGAAGTACATATACCACATTCACGATTACCAATAATAGCATTTTTGTCCTCTATTGTCTCTGTGTCTTTCTGCTGCTTAGGAAATTCATATATATTTAGTAACATCTTTAGATTTTCCAAAATGCTACAGTCTGGGTCCCAGTCCTATAAAATGTTAAAGAGAGTTTTAGTTATAAATAAGAAAATTGATTATTACATTCCATAATGCATAATTATGAAACATACAAGAATATTAGAAATATAGTCTGTTTGTTTTTTTACTTCGCTATCACTGCCAAATAACTTAATCTCTGGCAAAGCAGTAGGTTTTAGTGGACTTATAGTAATTGTCATAGATATGAATTGTGATAAGTAAATACGTCTATGCATGTGGCTTTTATTTGGCTCCAATGGATCAATCACACAGCAGTTTCTGGCACAAGAAACATTTTAGAATAAATAAAAATATTTAAATGCAACTTTTCTCATGGTTTGATAACTCCACTGATAAACATTAAAACTAATTTTTCAAAAATTGTTTATGAGTCTTTCAACCATTATCTTTTAAACATTATAAACATTAGCAATACAAATAATTAATACTTACTCATCAATTTCTTTCAATTGCTCCCATGCTTTCTCCAACAATTCTACTTGCCATTTGAACTTTGTTATTGCAATATTTAACTTAGTTATGTTTTTTGCAAAATACTCAAAAATTGGTATTTTGGGAAAATCAGAAGATATGATTTTCCAAGGAATTTCAGCACTTTCATTTCTTTCTAATATAACAGATATATCATTTAAGGATAATTTAATGGTTTTTAAATTATCATCAGATGACACTTGCACTTCCTTTAACATAGCATAGATGTTTCATCTTCAGTAATATTCAAATTAAAGTTTTATGAGATATATCTTACAAATATACATACTGATGGGTTCAAAAGAACTGTATTCAAATCTTCCATAAAATTACTTAGAGATGAATAGTTCATATGACTTTTATGATGTTTATTATGTAAATGTTCACCCTATTTATAAATATATATGATTTTAATTAGATTTTTATGACATAAAAAAAATATTAAAATAATTATTTAATACTTACAATGAGTGATTGTAACTGTGTTAAAAATGTAGGTATCCTTATGTTACTATTCATTAATACCTTCACTTTATCACTGAACTTTTTATCACGCAGTGAAGCTATTGCTGTGCCAAAATTAATCTGCGCATCTTGAAGTAATGGATAATTTGGAGCAATTAGTTGTAATTTTATTCTAGATTGTAGGCAATCCCATGTAGGGAAAGGCAAATTTGAAATAATTAAGAAGCCTTGTAGGGTGACTGGTGATTTTGATATTAATATCATCTCTGGATGCCAAGTCGACAAATGCCAATTTGGAAGAGTTTCATTATGTTTTGGAGACATTATCAATAGATAATCTCTGAAAAATACAACTGAAGATTATAGAACAAAATATTTTCTCGTGATTAACTTTCGTACTTCAATAAAATTTACAAATGGCGATGTAACGATGAAGAAAAATATTAATTTACAAGAAAACTTTCGATTTATACATCTCTTTGTAACTCGAACTAAATAGCTAGATTTATTGATATATACTTACTTTTAGATCTAAATAAAATCTGAAAATATATACTAAAATATTTGAAATATTCATTTACAGATTTGGTAAATAAAATGTGAAAACGTTTACTGCGTTATGAAAAATGATACAAGGGGAGTGTTTCTTTTCGAAGAACTTTTGAATTAGCGCACACTAATGCAATAAGTTAGAATGAGAGAAAATACATCTATTTCACTTCAACTTATTGCCCTAGATCAGGGTACCTATCATGGAACTCGTCGGAATCGATTCCGATCGGAATAAAGCTAAGACTCCATGCATGCGGTGAGCTCCGGCAAACGGCTGCGGTGACCAATCAGGAGACAGACGCATGCCGGAGCTTGCCGCAACCGGACTTGCGCCTCCCTCCTGATTGGTCACCGCAGCATTTGCCGCAGCTCACCGCATGCATGGAGTCTTAGCTTAATTCCGTTTCCCCTAGAAAAGACAATAGAAATTTAGGAAATAACGAAATAAATTTGATCGGAATCGATTCCGAGTTCCATAATAAGTACCCAGAAGTTCTTCAAAAGAGAACAAACCTAAAGTGCACAATAGTGCAATAAGTTAGAATGAGAAAAATATATCTATTTCACTTCAATTTATTGCACTAGTTCAGAAGTTTTTCAGAAAAAAATGTGAGGAAAATAATCGACTGTTATTGGTTAATTTTTTACGGTTTAGAAGCCTTCTACAATAAGCAATTAGTCATAAGCTATAAGCAAATTGACCAATTACAATTAAGCCAGCGACACACGATGCTTGTTTTCGTGCTGGATTGCTTGCTGGATGAAAATACTGCGTTCTAATTGGTGCATTTCCATCCATCTTCGGAAATGTACCAATGAGAACGCAGTATTTTCATTCAGCAAGCAATCCAGCACGAAAACAAGCATCGTGTGCCGCTGGCTTTACTGCTTGCGGCCATTGTAGACCACGCTTAAGCTGTCAGCGAATGAAAATATTTCATTTCGTGTCTTGCAACCTTAAGGCTCGTCTACATTAGCTGTAAAGGCTAGTCTACATTAGCTGTAAGAATAAGGCTGTAAAGTTGCAAGACACGAAATGAAATATTTTCATTCGCTGACAGCTTACGTTACAGCCTTACAGCCTTACTCTTACAGTTATTGTAGACGAGCCTTAAGAGTAAGGCTGTAAGATTGTAAGACACGAAATGAAATATTTTCATTCGCTGACAGCTTACGTTACAGCCTTACAGTCTTACTCTTAAGGCTCGTCTACATTAGCTGTAAGAGTAAGGCTGTAAGGTTGCAAGACACGAAATGAAATATTTTCATTCGCTGACAGCTTACGTTGCAGCCTTACAGCCTTACTCTTACAGCTATTGTAGACGAGCCTTTACAACTTACGACACGTATTGGCTGCGTTCCGATATTCACTGCTAGTACTGAAGATACATAGTTTGCGTGACGTATGCTATAGATTTTTAGTGCTGACAGTGAATATCGGAACGCAGCCATTGTAGAATGACCTTGAAGCCCCTTGCACAATGCCAGGTAACAAGCAATAAGAATAAAAATAGACCAGTCACAATAGATTATTCTTGTAATAGTCGATTGTGATTGGTGTATTTTTATTCTTATTACCTTACCTTACTGCTTACGCTTACAACCTTATTCTTGCCATTGTAGATGGGCCTTCATACCTTGGCTGTGTTCCAAAATTCATTGCCAATACTGGAAATACATAGTTTGTGTTATGTATATTATAGATTTTCAATGCTGGCAGTGAATATTGGAATGCAGCCATTGTCGTGGTATACGAGCTAAGTAACTTTTACAGTTAGAAAAAGTGAAATCAAGTTACTTTACTAAAAAATTTCAGAATTATCTTCATAAACCAATTCGAACCTAGGAATACTTTACACATATTATACAACTCGACAAATGGCGTGACTATCTAGTTAGCGGCGGCCAAGCTAGATATAAAATAGAGAAAGGAAAGATTGCGGTGAGAATTCAGATTGGATCTAATGTGAAATCTCTATTATTAATATAAATTTTATGTGGAAACTGAAATAGAATATATTAAACAGGTAACCTAATCTTGCCACAAAGAGAAACATTATCATAAATAGGAATAAAACATAATCCAGAAAAGTTATAATAAGAACTGGTGTAGTAAAGGTGGTTGTATAGAAAAAAGAGGAATATTGGAAGAAATATTTATAGTTTTTTATTTATTACGAGATGGGTCGACGCAAGAGCAAACGAAAGCCACCTATTAAGAGAAAGGCTATCCAACCACTGGACACTCAATTCAATTGTCCATTTTGTAATCATGAAAAGTCATGTGATGTTAAAATGTAAGTATACCAGAAACTCATGCTTTTATTTGGATAACAAAAGAATTGTACTTTGTTGTACTTCATTAATGTTGATATGATTGACTAAGGTAAGTTTCTTCGATATATTGAATATCTAATGTATTGGGATAGGAATATAAACTTTAAATGTGTTCAGAAAACATGACAGTTGTGTTTTTGTATGACTGTTTTGTGATAGAAGTATGCTTTAAAATTCATAATAGATTTGAAAGAATATTTTAGAATAGTAATAATGAATATGTTTACTCAATTGTGTTTTCTGAATATATCTTTGCCAACCATGTTAATTTTATTAATATAAATGCTATATATCTATATTTGACAAACATAGAAACTTAAAGAATTTAAATCTATTTTTTTCCTATTATATAGGGACAAATCAAGAAACACAGCCAAGATAACATGTAGAGTATGCTTGGAAGATTTTCAGACAACAGTGAACCTACTCTCAGAACCTTTAGATGTATACAATGATTGGATTGATGCTTGTGAGAATGCTAATTGAGAAACCATCAATCATATTATCTAGATAAGATCTTTGCGTATCCATATAATAGTTTGTACATATTATAGCTTTAAGTTTTTAAATATTTCTATTTATATCACTATTATAGTTTTATGCACATTGCTTTATGGACAATAGATATGTTTGGATACGATATTCAATGTAGTTATTTGATTCTGACACTTTAAATACATAAGTAATATTTTCCAAAAAGAAATTTACAAGTTGACTTTAATTTCGAGATGATTAAAATTCTATTATAATAAGTCATAATGATTTAGTATTAAGAATATAATAAACTTACATTTTGTCATAATTATAATTAAAATACTTAATAACTATATGATATATTTTATGATCATAAAACATAATTTTATTATAAGTATCATTTATTGTCCATCAATTACTTCTACTATATTATATTGGAAAAAATGATGTATTTCTAAAACTATATTTTGTATAGTAAATATACTATACTGTTCAGAAATATACTGGTTTAACCTCTTTGGTTTGAGTGATGTTTACATGGGATATATATATATATGTATATATGTATACATATAAAGATTGATGTTCAAGGAAAACAAAAACATATATATTATGTATTTAATGTCAGATGATTTTTACTTTGTAAATAATAAAACATCTGGAAAACGTAATTCCAACTCAAAAGATTAATATGTCAGATTAATATGTCAAATCAATATGTATTTCAATCATGTGTTCTCAATGTTTATTTCTATTTAAATATATTTGTAACATATGTACTAAAATCTCACAGATATGATAGTTTTATAGTATATTTTTAAAATTCTTTAATTATCTTCTCATTTTAATACATTTATGACATCAGAAATATCAAAGTAGATGATTATATAAAATAAATCATCACATGCGCATATATGTGTGTAGTAATTGCTTTTAATAGTAAATTATATATAATTCTGAATAATAGATGAATTAATAATGACTATTTAGACCATCAAATTATTCATGTGTGATATAAATAGTATATCAAGAATTGTATCCACAGAAGACAAATTGAGCATTGTTTTTTCTTTATTAAAGGTATAAATAATTTCTAAAATACATTACAAAATACATAAAAAATAATAAGATGTTATATTAAAAATATACTACAAAAAATTCATTTTCTGAAGATATTAGCCTAACAATAACTCTCAACATTATCTCTTTCTCTGAAAAACATCGAGATAAAAAGGAGATAAATTTCTACTCTAAGTGACAATGATAAATTTTTTCTTCTAGTGAACTTGTGAAAAGTGAACGTTTTTAAATGCTTCCAAGATTCTTAGGGCAGATTGTTTCAATTCTTTGGTAAATTAACTGATGGTTAATCGGTAAGTTAACTGATAGTTAAATCATGTTTATCTTTGTCTTTCCTTCAATTTAAACGAAGACAGACATGCTTTAACTATCAGTTAACTTGCCAAGGAATTGGGATAGTCTGCCCTTATTCTCGAAAATTTATGAAAAATATTGTATACGATATTTCATTAATGAGGCAATTGGCTGAGAATCGTGATATCAGGTGACATTCATAGGTCTGTTCTTTTTCGAAGAACTTCTGAACCAGTGTAATAAGTTGGAATGAAATAGATATATTTTCTTTCATTCTAACTTATTATACTAGTATGCACTAGTTCAAAAGTTCTTCGAAAAAGAACAGACCCCATGAAATATCGTATCACATTTTTCAAGAATACAGGCTCTGATTAGAAAATTTCACTCTTCACAAGTTCATGCTGAAGTAAATTTATACTTGGCCCTTCAATCATAGACCCTTTACCTCATGGTCAGATGACTGTGCTTAACGCGCACCCTGGAGAAACAGCCACTTCCGCCAACAGCCGCAAACGCGATTCGTTGACTCTACGCTCCGGACGGCGATGGCCGCGGTTACGACAGCGACGGTGGCGCGGTGAAGATTAGCTAAGATGGCGTTTGCCGAGCGGAATACGCTGTCGGGCAGGAGCGCGTGAGAAAAAAAATGCCGCGGAGAGCCGCGACGACCAGCGACACTTCGCGCGCTGGCGAGCTCGCGTGAGTAAGTGTACCGAGAATCGGAAGTGCGCTTGGGAGTGCGTGCGCGCGACTATTAGAGGTGTTATTCGATAGCCGATTAACCTAAGTGACGAGCGCGCTAGGCTAAATTGCGGTGCGGTGCGGTGTGGTACGTTACATTACGTTACATTACGTTACGTTACGGTACGGTACGGTGCAGTGCGGTGCGGTACGGAGCGCAGGGACGCGGTGTTGGAGGATATATAAGCGCGGACGAGGACTCCTCCTCGTGCTGCTTGACATGGCAGAAACAATCCGGCCGAGCTGTCGCGTAGCTCGCCGAACGTGAGAGACGGCACCGCGACGTCGCTCGTCACGGTGATCGCGAAACCAGACGTGAGATCCAAGACTGTCCGGCCATGGCGTCCGTCGCGCGCGCGTGATCGTGAGCGAGAAGAGAGAACGCCGGGACGCAACGTTATCGTCCGTAACGACGGTATATGTGGAAGAAGAAAGAGGGAGAAAGAGAGAGTGAGTGAGCGAAAGAAAGAAAGAGACAGGGGTGGTGGTGTCGGTGTGTAAACAAACATTCTGGCCTATCCGTTGTACCCTGGTGCTCATATCCTCTTCTGTGCGATATTGTATTTTACGTTTAATAGCTATCATTGTCGATTTGGATCATTCTGAGCAACATGTGTATCCAACCTTTCTCAGAAGGACGTCCTGGTTACTTGACTCACATGTACGAGGCTAGACTACATTTAGGCTGATCTCTGTTCAACAGGATAGTCAAGTCATTCACAGGAAGCAAATGTGAGTGTGTATTTTGTATTATATCTTTATGCAGAACAAATACAATTGATCGCAAGAAAAGTTCAGCGAGAGTTACGCCTGGCAAATCTCCTTTGTATTTTCTCTCCTTTATGATCTAATGTATGATATAGGTGCTATTAGCAGGTGTTTGATTTCATTTTTATACATATGAGGAAATCTTGCGAGCTAGTCATGGCGTTACTCTTGTATATAGAAATATTTTAAAAAATATTGGAAGATATTATATGAAATAACAATTACATATATATGAGACCTTGCTCCTTTTTGGTGAGACTACTTTAATATGACGCAACACTGAGCAGATTATTTTCAAAAGATATGCTGGATAAGATAGATGAAGGATAAACTAAATAATTGTATAAACTGATGAATATTTCATTTTGTATGAGTTGAGATAGTCTGAAATATTTTGCTGGTATATGTCACACTTTGCTTATGAATATAAATGAATATACATTAAAAGAGAGCCATTGAATATATTGCCAAGGACTTTTAGTCTCTTAGTAATTTGTCGACACAAGTTCACTATTATTTTCTTAATGATTCAGCTATATATCAATTTCAGGTCATATATCAATTTCAATTGTTAATACTTTTTTTATACCAATAATATTATATGAAATTTGAACATATCTTTCATCATCTTCATTCTTTCACGTGTCAGCACGTGTCGGTAGTATTAGCATATCTCACTTTTATATGTTTGTAAGAACTTTATATGTTTTATATTGACTTAATGTCATCTCATTTTTCTTCTTGTCGACAAATAATGAATGAATTTTGACTAACATATTTGACGAAATAACAAATACAAAGAATCCACGTGTTATTGCAGGAGAGGAATGTAGAATGGCAATTAAGCAATGTAAGTGCTAAGCGAGTAGATTGTTAGTGTTGTGTTTAAGAAGTGTCAAAACATTCCCTGATATGCTGTAAGATATCGATAAGTTAAACGCGGTTGTGACTTAATGGACGGTGCACACCATGTCTAATAGTCTGGACAGCTTTCTGACACGCATCGGAGACGTCACAATTGAACGCGTGACACCTCGCGGTGGTCCTAATCCCGGCGAAACGATCATGACGAGTGAGACTGCGACCAGTGCGAACATGAACGTGGAACCGCAAGCGACTAATGACGAGAGTTCGGATGAATCGAGCGGCGAGACAACAGACGGAGAGCACGAGAAGAAACTTGACGTTCTGCAATCGGAGGAGATTGAAGAAATACGTTCCGAAGGCTCGGGTGACGACATGGATCTCGACGAAACGATCGACTCACAGATTGGTATGAGGGTAGAATCAGAGAGGCAGCAACATCATCCCTCTCAGGAAGATGATGATGAGGAGCCAGTTAATATCTTAGACACATTACCACTAGAAGGTGAGCGTCAAAAATTTGATAATAGAATTTTACACGGAATACATTGAATTTTATGCAAAATATTGTGATGAAATTTTATTACATTGGAGTCTCTGTAATGACGAATTTATCTTTTAATTATTCTTAATAACTTTTGACGATAAAATTTGTACTTCTAAGGATTAGACTGCATTAGATTAATAAGACAAACATTCTTATTTCAGTTTAATTCTAATTTAAGTTTTACTTTATCTGTTCTAAAATCTAATTCATCCAACTGTATTTATTGATATCAATTTGAATCTTATGATGGATTTTAGAAAATAATTGAGCGTTTTGAAAATGTATTATAAAATTATGTTATTGTTAAAAGAATTTTTGACACATGATATCCATTTTGTAAGTTTCATTATTATGAAATTTAAATATTCTTTTATAACAATTCTTTATCATAGTAATTTGTGATATAATAGTTATATTTGAATATGAACAATATAATGATTTCCATCGCATTGTCATTGTATTTTAATAATTTTATTTTTTATTACCAAAAGGAGCACCTATAGAAGGTCAAGAGGTGACCGAAGCTGATCTACTAGGGAAACCGATATCAAAAGATTCAGAAGATGAAGAAAGCATGGACAACGAAAACGAGAAGGGGGAGGGTCACTCCGGCGGAGAAGACGGCGATGGTAAGAGACAAGCTGATTCTGAACATTCCGATTCGACGAAGAAGAAAACGAAAAAAGATGATGGTAACGACGGCTCTACATCGGAATGCGAGATGAAGGCCGAGAAGAAACTGGCCAACATGCGGCGAAACATTCGCGAAGTAATGGACGAGACGCAATTGGACGAAGCTACACTGTCTGCTCAGCGGCAAGAGATGGAGCGTCTCAGACGGGTGCAGGAGCAACAAAGAATTATCCGCGAAGTGCAACGTCAAATTGCGATCAACCGTCAGAACAACAAGTCACAGACACGTGTCATCAGTCTTCTGCAGGGCAAGCAAAATCAAGTTGGCACCACGACGCTCTCTCAGTCCTCTTCCTCGTCATCGACATCGTCTACGCAGGTTCGCCTGCCAAACACCGTGTTGCTGAAAGTGAACTCTGGTATCGGGACCGGTGTGTCACAGACTTCTCAGATCGGCAGCATGCAAGCGGGCCAGTTGCAAAGAAGATCGATGGACGGAATGCGTTGGCAAAAAGGCAGAGGTGGCTACCAAAGTACGCAGACTTCCATCTCGCGGGTGCCAAGCCGTTCTGGTGCTCCAAATATGTTGCAGCAAAGGATTCGTATGATGACACCATCTGTGAGCATATCACCAGTAGTACCCAAGAAAGAGCCAATGGACCGTACGGAGTACTATTCCGATTCCGAAATGTCGGACATAGAGACTGAGGAGACGTTGCGCGAAAAGCAGATGCACGTTGCGCGAAAGATGTCCGGTGGGCCCAAGTACCAGAAACTTCCCAAGGGCAAAGACGTGGTGACGATATCCAGTTCGAGCGAAAGCTCGGATGACGACTGTATAGTTCTGAGTGACCCCAGCGGCGAAGAGGAGACTGACACTGAGGATGACCCATCTAACTCCGGTATGCACACCAATGACCGCTATAACATTCCAGACGAGCACGGTAGGGTATTGATCAATGTGGGCCACCCTGAGACCGAGCCTGACGTGTTTCTGGCGCCGCAGGTAGCTCGTATTATTAAGCCACATCAGATTGGTGGCATTCGTTTCCTTTTTGATAACATCGTTGAAAGCATAGAACGATATAAGACTAGCTCCGGCTTCGGCTGCATCCTCGCCCATAGCATGGGTCTGGGCAAGACCCTACAAGTCGCCAGCTTCTGCGACATTTTTTTTCGATGCACTTCTGCTAAAACTGTGCTCTGCATCATGCCCATAAATACTCTGCAGAACTGGCTGGCGGAGTTCAACATGTGGCTGCCCTATGAGGACCCCGCAACTACTGCTGAGAAGCAATCGAAAGCGACGAACGTGAAGATGGAACCCGGAATGGACGTGAAGCACGAAGTGAAGGAGGAACAATGTGGTAATCAAAGCGACATATCCAATATGTCGCGACCGATTAGCACGGAATCCGCGCATCGCTTCGGTCAGGAATCAGCTGCGGTGCCACAGCAGCAGCCGATGAACGTTATGCCGACGGACAATCCGTACGTACATCACGGCTACGAGCCGCGCGGTATGATGCCAGGTTACGGGATGCCGGACCCGGCCGCTGCCATGATGAACAAGAGTATGGCAGAGCCGCACGCACATATACCGCCGGGTTATCATCAGAGTGAGATGCCACAGAGCACATTATACGGTGCAGCTCCGAATCCACTTCCCAATCCTTTTCCTCCCGACCCGATGAAGCCGGCGGATGTGAATTGTCATGGTATGCCACCTGGACCCAACATGGCGGCGGCTGTGCCCAAGTATGGCATGGAAAGTCAAGCTGCCGGTGTTATGTATCCCGGCGTGATGGATAGTCGACCTCAGCCTCCCATGTACCCCGACATGGAGAATCGGAACCCCGTCGCAGCGATGTATCCGGGCATGACTGCTCATCACCACCCTGGCCCGATGTATCCCACTTACAACAGTGTCTCCACCGGCACTTTCGCGAGCTACGGCAGCCAAACTAATAATCAAGAACACTTGGAAGAACCAAAGAAGGAGATCATACATGGGCCACCGATTCCGAATGCAGAAGTGAACGTGAAGAAAGAACCAGAGGAAACGATCAAGAAAGAAGAAGGTACGTCGACAACGACGGTGAAGGAGGAGATGACGGAAGAAAAGAAGGAGGTGGAGAAGGTGAAGACACCATTCTGCGTAGACACTCCCATTGGCATGGAGTTACGCCCGAGGCATTTCGGCTTGCATATCCTGAACGACTCACACAAGACCATGACGGCGAGAGCAAAAGTGATACAGGAATGGCAAGCGACGGGCGGCGTGTTGCTGATAGGATACGAACTGTACAGACAGCTGTCTTTAAAGAAACCGAATAAAGCGAAACGAAAGCGCGGTCAGCCCTTCAAGGACACTGTTGACGTAGAAGAGGAGGACAAGAACAAGGGTTTGCTCGACGAGATGCATTCGGCCCTGGTGACTCCCGGGCCGGACCTGGTGATCTGCGATGAAGGCCACCGGATCAAGAATTCTCACGCCAGTATTAGCATGGCGTTGAAGCAGATGCGCACGAAACGTAGAATCGTTCTAACTGGTTATCCGTTGCAGAACAATTTGTTGGAATACTGGTGTATGGTAGACTTTGTACGACCCAATTATCTAGGAACCAAGAGCGAATTCTGCAACATGTTTGAGCGGCCAATCCAGAACGGCCAGTGTATCGATTCCACGCCGCAGGATATTCGCCTGATGAGGTATCGCGCTCATGTTTTGCACGCTTTGCTGGAGGGTTTCGTGCAGAGAAGGTCGCATTCGGTACTGCAGGTGTCCTTACCACGCAAGGAAGAATACATTCTCCTCGTTCGTATGACCTCTCACCAGCGGCAATTGTATGACACATTTATGAATCAAGTAGTGAAGACACGCGCTGTACCGAATCCGCTCAAAGCTTTCGCTGTGTGCTGCAAGATCTGGAACCATCCAGACATCTTGTACTATTTCCTCCGCAAGCGGCAAGCAAACGAGGAGGATGACTTAGACCTAGAAGAGACGATCGGAGAGAAAGCCGCCGCAGGTGGTAAAAGGTCCAAAGCGCGCCAGCCGAAGGGAGAGTCGAAGAAGAGCAAGAAAGCTAGCACGACGATAAAGAACAAGCCCGCGGCCAGTGTGCAACCAAACGCTTCTTCGTCGTCTAGTACCGACAACGTCGAGCCGGAGAGCGCGCACAACACTCCGAAACAGAACAATTATACCAACTATCCGATGCCGGTCTCCAACTCCGGATATTCCAATTCCATGACGCAGGGGTCTTACCCTTCTCATGGTTATCAGAACTATCGTCCGAACGAGCAGAATACATACTATAGAAACGACAGCAATCACGGGGAATACAATCACGGGGAGTTCTATAATAACCAGGGACAGCAAAGGTACGGCAATCAATCGTTTCAGTCGTACGCTCAGACTTCGGGCTACAACACTTCGCAAGGATACGCCAATCAGTCGCAGAACTACATGCAGTCGAACGAGCAGTCTGCGAATCATCCCCAAAGATACTCCGGTACGTCGACCGGCTCGGACTTCAGGTCGGATCAGGGTCAGGGAGGCAATTATGAGACGTCCGGAATGTTCCCACGGCAAGGCTACCCTTATCAAGATCAGCAGCGTAACTATACGCCGAATTTAAATCAAGGGCCTAGCAATTATCCTCAAGTTCCCAACCAGCCGTCTTTTCAGTCGCAGATGCCGAACCAGTCGGCGAACGTGCCGATGCCGGATTATTCATCGTACAGCGCGAATCAAAATCAAAATTACACACCGACACCAGCACCTCAGAACAACTCGATATATCCTCGCAACGACACTCAATCGTTGCAGAACTCGACGATGGCGGGATACCCGGCGCCTCAGCAGGGTCAACCTCCGGCGGCACAGTCCCAGGCCACTGGTTACATGCCACCGCCGCCGCCGCAGCAGCAAACACAGAACCCGTCGCCCGGTCAGAACCGCGGTTTCTCGCCGAACCAGCAGAATCCGAATCTGACGTTGCAGAGTCAGTCGCACTCGTCTTACACCGGCCAACAACCGCAAGGCGTACCTCTTCAGACCCAATCGCACGCTTATCCGACGCAAGTGAATCCAACCACATCGCAAACTCCGCACGCGTTCAATCAGCAGCCGGCTCCGATGCCGCAGACTCAGTCGCACGGTTATATGCAGCCGAATCAGCCGAGCCAGACTCCCATGCCGCAAGGTCCGATGCGCGGGTACACCCCGGCGCCGCAAGGTCAGATGAACGTAGCGCAGAACCAGCCCAACTACCCGGCCAACCAGCCTGCGCAGAACGTGAACGCACAGAGTCAGACGCACAGGTATCCCACGGATCAACAAGGTCCGCCGTCAAACCCGCAGAATGCGGTCCACGGTTACGGTCATATGTCAGTGCCCACACCTGTAGCTTCCAGTCAAGGATCGCCATATCCCCAGCAGAATCAACAAGCTCAGACGGCACCGCCGTCTAATCAGACTCATCCGGCTTATCCTTCGAATCATCCGGGAACAGGCACGATGCCACAGACTCCACAGGCTCATCGTTACGGTGCCACGCAACAGACGCAGGTCGGCCAGAATCAACCGATGACGTATCCACCGAGCCAACAGCAAGCGAATCCTTCACTGGGTCAGAACGATCAGTTATACTCCAGGCAGGAGAACACGGTGTCGCAACAGACGCAGAGCTACACTCCGGCGACGAATGAATTCTCAGGGGGCGATCGTCCAGGCGCGAGCACCGCCAACAACACCGGTAGCAATTACACCGCCGGCCAGCCCCAGGCGCAGAACCCCGTAATGCCGAATTACTCGTCCGACGGATCGTCGCACCAGAATCCGGCGGTCGGCCAGATGAAGACTACGGACGATCCGTACTGGCAGCGCAATTATCCCCAGGTGTTCAGATCGGATCAGCAGTGCAACGACTCGTATTATCGCGAGCAGATGAATCCCGGCGTGAATCGTTATCAGAACAACTACTTCCCACCGCAAAACTATCCGAATCAGTCATACGCTGATTACGCGACCGGCCACGGCTCGGACATAAATCAACGGCCGGACGAGCCCAAGGGCTCGCAGCAGGCCGGCCCTCATCCTCCGAGCGTCGCGCCGTGCGACAAGAGCAACAAAGACATGACATCCAGCATCGGCGTGCAGAGCCAGCCGATGCATCAGAGCAATCTCACCGGTACGCCCGGCTACAACGCGGAACCGAATCGCCAGACTTCGGCGACTCCGATACCGCGATCCGTGCAGGCGATCAATTCGGCGCACAGTCCTCGTTTGAATCAGACTGAGTTGTCGAAGGAGGACGAGAGGGAGAAGGAGGAGCAGTTGGAGAAGGATAAAGAGGAAAAATCTGACGATGAGATTCTCACGAAGGACGAGGAGAAAGATTGCAAGAGTTCTCCCTGTGGCAAAGAGGATCCTGGAATTCCATACGATTGGGTATGTCAATGCTGTTAATATCAATTATTTTTGGCTGGGATATATTTTCCTCGATTATATCAACATTTTTTACACCAATATGAAATATGACGGGAAAAATAAGATTATAAATTATATACGAAATTGTATAAAATGAGAGAATATAAAGTGAATGAAATGTAAATTTTGTTTTGATCTTTATTCAATTTCATTTGAGGAATTAATCATACATTTTTATTTTATGCTTGAATGGTAACGGTGGTAATGGTAACATTTACTTTTGCTGCAGGCGACAGAGTTGATGAAGAATTATGTACCTGGTTTGATAGACGCGTCTGGGAAAATGACACTTTTCTTCTGCATCCTCGAGGAAGCTATCAGACTAGGGGATCGCGTACTCGCGTTCTCGCAGTCGCTGTTTACATTGAATCTCATAGAGGACTTTCTGGCGCGAAATAGCTTAAAATATCCGGACGGACAGACTGACGACTGGATCAAGAACGTGAATTATTACAGACTGGACGGTAGTACCAGCGCGTTAGAACGAGAAAAGCTGATTAACGAGTTCAACAGTAATCCGAAGATTCATTTATTCTTGGTTTCAACGCGAGCTGGTTCGTTGGGTATTAATCTCGTGGGCGCAAATCGCGCGATCGTATTTGACGCTTCCTGGAACCCGTGTCATGACACGCAAGCCGTGTGCAGGGTGTATAGATACGGCCAGCAGAAGCCATGTTTCGTTTATCGCTTAGTTACAGACAACTGCCTAGAAAGGAAAATATATGACAGACAGATCAGTAAACAAGGCATGGCAGATCGTGTTGTCGATCAGTGCAATCCGGACGCGCATCTTTCGTTGAAAGAAGCGACGGCGTTATCGTGGGAGTGGGAAGAGGACAGCCAAGTGCAAGACTTCTCACAGACCAAGGATAGCTACACGGATGAAGTTATGCACTGTGTGCTAGAACGTCATTCTTCGTTGCTGACCAAACAACCGTTTCATCATGAGAGCTTGCTCGTGGATCGGAAAGACAAAAAACTCAGCCAAGCTGAAAAAAGATTGGCTCGTCGCGGCTATGAGCTTGAAAAAATGGCAGCTAATTGTTCGAGGCCGAGTTATAATTATGTTCCAGGGAATACAGCTACGCGAGGTATGATTTACATCTTGTGCAGGGTTTTTATTTAGAAATAAAAAAGACTGACTTAATGCTGATAGTGATAATTACGTAAATAAAAATGTATATAGACCTAAAACTTGAACGGTACTGATATTGGTAACATAGTAAAGCAATATAAATTATCACTTCTCATACTTTATAATATATTCGATCAATCAAAATTACAAATAGAATTGTAGTTGAATAACAAAATAATCGTGATAATTTTTCTTAGCAGGTGGATTACAAATCAGGGCGATTCGCGGTGGTGATGGAGGTACCACGCCTAAACCTGTTGCATCTGTAAGACCCATGCAGCAACGAGGTGCTGAAGGTTTAGGAACACGAGGTGTAACCGGAAGCAGATGGATTCCGGCGGAGGTATGGCAGAGGCAAGGAATGAGCGCGCAAGAAATGACGTTACCTTTAGATGTCGTTATTCCAACCAACTCTCCGGATAAAGGAAGCATCGTTTTGAAGGCGGGTCAACGAGTAATGGTGCTGAAGAGTCCGAAGGGCATTTACATGCAGCTCGAATCTGGCAAGATTATAGCAATTCGCACTGCGCTTAAATTGAATCAACAGAAGCGGGAAGAGGAGCCGAAGAAAGGTGAGCTGATATATCGTTGATAATTATTTCTGTTTCATCCTTTGAAAGTGTTGAATTTCAAATTGAGTCTTCAATTAAAATCAAACAAAACAAAAATAAAGGGTTATAAAAGTCGATTGCTGATGGTCTTAATACATAAGAAGATATTGTTACATAATATTTATTGTCCGGTATTGGATCGAACAATGTAATGTAATAGATATGTAAACGGTACTTGTCTGATATTTTCTTTCTTTTCGAATTTTCTTCTTATTCTTATAATAGGTTTTACATATAATATATATATATATATATATTGCGATTTTGATGTAGTTTTATTTAATCATTTATTTGATATCACTTTGTTCAACTTGATTGTTTTCATTTAGAATTGTTCCCGGGCATGCAAAGTATCTCCATTGTCAGTTAATCTTTTTTTTATTATTGCGGCGTGTTATATCATGGTACAATCAATGTTAATTTTATAATTTCCACTGTATGTGTTATCATAGTAGTTTTTTTTGAGGATTCTTCATAAATATTATTTGTATGTCCGTCAACTTCAACTTAAAATGAAACTCCTTATTGTACGCGTTATGTGGCTTACTCTGTTGCTCATAACCAGGAATAATTTATAATTTATATCAATTCCGGCTGAGAATGACTGCGTTACATACATAGTGAAAATGTCCCGATAATAAAACAATTTATATCTACATATATGGCATATTATAAAAACGTGCAAATTTGATTCTTCATCGGTTTTTACTGTCCTTACTTCTTATATTATTTGATCATCAGTTTCATTTCTAAATTCGTGTTCCATATTTTGCAGGCGTTTCCTCGATGATACAGAGGAATTCGAAGCCCGAGGTTGGCTTCCCTTTGCGAAACAACTCTGCTATTTCAATAATACCAAAATCATCCTCGAGTAATCAAACCACTGGCCGTCCTCTTAATAAACCATCACCTGGCCCAGGCTACAAACCGTTCGGCGATAAGGAAATTTCCAAGAGACCTAAGCCTGTTGCCACAGCGACTGCTAAACCTTACATGAATCATGTTAATATAACCAACCAGGTATCTTTGTCGAGGTTACCCAAAGTCAAGCAAGAACCAGTGGATCATTCCACACTCGGAGAAAATTCCAATTCATCTGATGGTCAAGTGAGAACCGAACAACGAGTTGAAGAAGTTAGATTAGAGGATGTGGTGGCCGAAGTGAGCTCCAACACCGAGTTCAGTCCCTCTAATCACACACGAACCACGAATTCGGATACCGACTCGTCCTTGCCGAAATCTTCTGAGGAAGGCACTCAGGTTTACTCGTCAGATACTGTTTCGTTGGCGCAAGGAGTTCAGACGCAACATGATCAGGTTGAGTCGGAATTACCATCAACTGCTGATAAACAATGTTCACCGCCAGAGAAAGAACTATCCAAGCCGGACTCTACGCTATCGAACTACAGTCGATCTTTCCATAGCCAGACAGACAAGCGGGACACCTCCAATGATGAAATCATCATTGAGGAACCGCAGCAAGTGACACCGCAGGCCTCCACGCAGACTCACGCAACCACTCCTGGACCGATACCGCCTCTGTTGACGCCACAAGTGATATCCTCCAGCATATCGGTACCGTCCAATATGCCGATACCACCTGGTATGCCAGTACCATCGAGCATACAAGTACCGTCAAACATGTCAGTACCGTCGAGTATGTCGATACCATCGAGCATATCGATACCATCGAGCATATCGATACCATCAAGTATGTCGATGCCGTCGAGCATGACGATGCCGTCGAGTATATCATTACCATCGAGTATGTCGATACCATCGAGCATTCCGGTGCCGTCGAATATGTCGGTACCGTCGAGTATGCCGGTACCTTCGAGTATGCCGGTACCAACTAGCATGTCGGTACCGACGAGTATACCGGTACCAACGAGTATGGCGGTACCAACGAGTATGCCGGTGCCAACAAGTATGCCGGTGCCGCCAACGAGCATGCCGGTACCAACGAGTATGCCGTTGCCGTCTGGCATGCCGTTGCCGTCGAGTATGCCGATACCATCCGCGCCCGTGAGAGGCCCGGAAACACCTAAGAGCATCGCAGATTCGCCCGTCGTTGCGTCATCGGTCGTCACCAGCTCCGTGTGCACTAGCACTAATAACATCACCTCCCCGAAGAGCGTCGAACCGACGAGCGTGCGAGACAACATGATTCAGAGCGACCCACCGAGCGTCCCTCAAGGATACCCCTACGCGCAGTATCCGAGATATTACGACTACAGCGATCCGCGATCCCGTTCGCTGTCTAATCCCTACGGCACTTACTTCCCTGGCGTGCCGCCGCATACGGCGAATCCTAGCAGCAGACTGCCAGTAGACACGACGAAGCCTCCGCCGGACCTAGGAAAGCCTATGGACGAGAGGGGTGTGATGAACGTGCCTACCGCTTACTCTCAAGTATCGAGCATTACTGCCAAAACGCTAACGAGCAGCTCCGCGGAGTCGAAGAGCACGGACAACTCGGTGACGATCACCACGGCGACTTCAAGTAGGGACGAGACTACGCATATACCTACTGCATTTAGCCACCCTACCAGCACACGTTATCCAGGGCCGTATCCGCCGGGCCCGTATGATCCGTACTCTCAACACTATCCACCGGCGCCTGGTTCCTCCGCAGCTTATCCGCCAGCTGGTGAGTCTCGGACAAAGAACGTTCGTTTTAAATGTTAAATACATCAGGCTTAATTCGCCGATACTTTTCAATTTTTCCTCGCTTTTGACTCAAGAAAGAGACGTCGATGTTGTTTAAGATGAGTATGGGGTCGTTCGTTCGAATATTAACAATGATATAATTTTGTAGGAGCACCCGGATATCCGGCATACGGTGGACCAAGCTACAATACGGATTACGCTCGCATGTACTCGGCGTTTCACGGTCCGCCACCCCCGACGGATCCTTACATGCACAGAGGATACGCCCCTCCCTCCTCGCATCCTCCCAATTACTACCCGCCGTTCCCGCATCCTCCGCCGCCGTATCCCAACTATTCCTTCCTATCGCCGTATCCGAATCCCAACATGTCCAGCGAGCCTCAACCACCCGCACAGTAGGGAAGTGACAGGATTAAGGGTAATCTTAATAGTCGCGAAGCGAAAGAAGAGCCGTCGCGAAGACTCGGAGACGGTTACCGTCGCGGTTCCGAAGCTTAATAGACTGAAGCTGTAAAACGCATCGATGTAAATATTTAGTCACAAATATTGAAATATTAAGAGATTCGATCGCGGTGTACTCGCGATGTGTTCGAGTACTTTGCGATACCGATTATGCGTCAGAGGGCGAGCGCGAGCGTGAACGCGATCGTCAACATTGAACCGTGCAATTTGTTGAAATGTTCAGAATACTTTAATCACTCGACTGTCAATGCGATGTTCTTGCGATGCGTTTGTTCACTAGTTAACTTCACCGAGGATCTACCCGTTACAAGCGGTACAAGTCACTCCTTTGTTTGATCCTCCAGTCTCATGAGTCTCCTCGATGACTTTGTGCGACAAGAGATTCTTTTACGAGCGTTTAGGCTACGCTGCGATTTAGATTGAAATACGTTTCTCAACGTTACGACCGATTAATTGCGTTTTTCTCGAGACTTTTTCTACTTTTTGTACTTGCGCGATGTCTTTTGCCAGGTTATCACTTTGCCTCTCCAACGGCATTCACCGTAGCGGGTAACGGTAGTTTCTTTAACGTACGAAATGATATGTTGCTGACTGCGTATGACTGGCAAGATTGAATGAGGAGTAAATTGTACCATTTGAGTGATCGAAGGGAGAGGAACGCTGTATACTATCATTTATCACTTCGAGCTAGTTTACACGTCACTCCGCTCATTTTTATATAGTCCATGTAGTGAAGAGGGGGAGGGTCACTCTAGCGAAACGAAATTCTTTAACAATGATTGACGATTATAGCCAATGACGCGCGCGTCTCTAATTCGTAAATCCGTACTTAAAGAGTTAGAGACAATAACATGGCTAAGAGAAAAAATCGTACGAGACTGAATTCTCTCTTCTTTTTTTCTTTTTTTTTTGCGAGTGTTGTTACACGATCAATCAATGACGATGTTTTATAAATGACATAATAGGGAATTAATTGAAGATTCATTTACGGAGGATCATATGAATCAATATCAATAAAGATCATATCAAGTAACATTATCCTTCTGTTCAGTACATTATTTGTAAATATTTTCTTTTTGAAAGTGTTCTCTCACTTTTCTAGCTCATGTTGCTGTCTCAAAGTCTTCATTTATCAGCATGATATAGAAAATTTCTATAAGAAAACTTTTAACGATTTTAATAAATTTGAGATTACTCGACTGATTCCCCTCGGACGATACAGGAAGAGTAATGGATACTTGCAAGCTGTATAGACCACACTGACATTATTGATGCTATACTATAAAACGCAGATGTTTGTTGAAGTACCTACGTGCATGACCTGTATTAGAATCTACTGTTCAGCGAAATGCTTTCTTCTCTTCTACCATATGATGTACTTTATATATCATAGCGATATATTCGACTGTTACGCCGTGACTCTTGGCGATTCAATGGTTTCGTTCTGAGAACCAGTTTTCTTGAAGTCTTGTGTTGTCTCGGACTCTTTCCCTCTCTCTGTCTCTGTTTTATTTATAGAGATATAAATAGAGATGTTGATAAAAGCTTTTGTACAACTTTAATTTTGATCCGATGGAACTGCAGTCACTGAAACTGAAACATAATTTATAGTTTTTTTTTAAACGGTAACTTTGTTTCTTTTCTTTCCATCATCTTATTGAAATCTTCCAGTAAGATTGAAATCTTTCAATAAGAGCATGGTTGAGCAGATTCATCATTCGAATCAAGATCTGGCAGTCATGATTGAACAGTAACTCCCGGAACAGTGATTTCAGAACGAAACCGTTACATTGCGAGGAATTACGTCGGTTTGCATTATGCATCACTCTTCCGTCAATTTGATTTTTAGAAACGCGTATCATCGTCTCTTCTCTTTTTCTTGACGCGGCGAGACCGACGGCGTGAGTTCAAGTCGCGTGTCTACGTGTCATCTTGAACCTTTTTCCATACCATTTAACACACGTAACATACATACAGTATTCACCTGGAACATTTAGCAGCCAGTAAACACAGTCTACAGCATCCCTAGCGAGTTGTATATGGACTACGTATTATTATTAAACGTTACGGTTTCCGAAAAAATAGCTAATCTTACTGAGTAGAGCGTAGGATTGTTGTTAAATAGGATGTCTTACGATTAAAGAAAAAGAAAAAAAAATCAAGAATCACTATCTCGGACACGTAGCATAACGGGAACGTAGGGAGAGCCATGATTTTCAGAGAGCGACTCTTCAGACTCGGAACTGTGATATTTTATTAATAATCTCGTGTCGAATTCGCACTGTACGCTCTTGTCCGGAATCGATGTCGCTGCCGACCTTGATTTCGCGGGAAACGCGAAGAAGTGGCCCTGGGGGAGGAATCTCCTCGAGCCCTGCCCTTCGCGACGCTCGGTCGAAATTGTTGCATTTACGTTAGTGTAAGTCAATCGGGCACGAGATGGCTAATCCATTTTTCCAAGTGGGACACAGAGGCGCGCACGGGTCTATCATGGTGCTCCCTGAAGATATTATAGACCAGTGGTATTCAACCCCTTCCTCCTCAGCATGATGACGCTGAGTATTCATATTATTTAGACCTTCCTCCGCTCTCTTTAAAAATACTTTTTGTCGCTGTTACATTTACGCTCTCGCGTGTGGATACATTAGCAGCATGCACTTCAGCAGTTTGCGAAGGATTTTTTATAGGACTATATTTTGTACATTTTTAATATATATTTTATTGCGAATAACTTGAGAGAGGGCAATCTCTCTCGCTGTGTAAATTTTTTTCCGAATCTTCACGCGTATTTGTATTTCTTCGACATTTCACTTCCCGCCAGAGTCATCATCTTGAAAGTATGCACATTGATCCGAATATTTTCAAGAATATTTTCTCACGTATTAATATTCGTTCCTTCGGAGATATCCATCTTCAAGTCTCAAAACTATCCGTCTCAAAACTATCCGTCTCAAAACTACTGCTCTAAGTATGCAAATGTTTTTTTTTAGAATTTTGTACCGCTAGTTTTTTTCTTTTTCTTTTTTCCTCCAGCTAGAAGGCGAACGTGTTTCGACGCGCATTTCTTCCGAGGGTACTCCAGGTTGAATACCTCTGCGATAGACGAATTACTCTAATGAAAGATAAGCGTTCATGCCGGATATATTAATTAGTATATATTATGTCTTCGCGGCGGGCCTCCGTCGCCTCTTCGCCGCGCGAGCGGACGCGACGTTTACTGTGGAAAACGCGTTGCGGCCACACGTTTCGTAGGTTCTAAGTGTACAGGTATTACGTTAGCGCAACGTACGAGTAAGTTGTGCAATTCGATTGCGAACAGGCGACAGAAACGAGCCCGCCGCAAAAAAGAAAATCATGCGCGCAGAATGAGAGCCGTTCGTTCTGAGAGTTCAGTCGGTGAAGCCACGACGATAATTTATAGTTTTGATGTTTAGCATCAAGTGCAGCTGTTTGTATGCATATATTTTGTTTCCATTTAATATGATTCTGACGTTATCATAAGCCGAAAATCATTAGACATACGAAAAAATAAATAATCCACTATTTTTTTGTAATTTAATCATTCGTGATCAAGACATATCGAAACGATTCAAAATGATTATTGTCATTTTTTGGTATATTTCTCCATTTGTCAGACAACTTGCAGGTTCCAGTTTGATAAATTGGTTTTTATTAATACTTATTAAACTGGGATCTGTAATTTGCCTGAAATAAAGGAAGAAAGCGCCGAAATATGAATTACTTTGATGATTAAATCGTTTCAGTATATCTTAAGTTGTTTAATGTTGATAATAAATTAAATTTGAGAAAAAATCGTGGATTGTATATTTGTATATCTAATGTATGACCGCATTCACAGTGCTGGATGCGGTAAACTTTTACTCTCCAGTTTTCTTTGCGAATTTTATAAAAATTACATTCGACTCTATTATGATAATATATTGCATATTTGTATCTTATTAGCATTATCACTTATCAGATATGAGTCGCATGGAACATTCGATAATACTGGATTTTCATATTTGACGATAAATGTAATAACAATAATGGAAATAATACAACGAGTAATAATATTATTTTAGAATTTGAATTGACAAATTTGCAAACAAATGTAGATTAATATACATGCTTTAATCAGATTTATAAGATTGACTTACGCGGCTTTCAGAACGAATAGTTCACATATTTGTGAAAATAATTATTTCATCTCTGTTATAGCTTCTTTGCCATTTACATACTTGTAAATATCCATTATTTACATTTCATACTTTATTTATTATTATACATTAGCCATTATTATTGCTTTCTTTCGATGTCAGAGTATTGCCATTATGTAAAATAAATTGTTTACACTGATGAATATTGTCTCGATCATGTTACTGTTACGTAAAACGAGGATGAGAGAAAGAGAGAAAAATATAGAGAGAAAGAAAGAGAGAGAGAAGGGGGAAGAGCAAAATGAGAGAGCCTATATATACTTGTTTTTATACAGTATTCGTTTTAAATATGACCAAAAAATTGTATTTAACTCATAGGTCCGTATTTTCGGGACATACTCCCTTCGTCTGTACACATTAAGATGGCTAAATATATGTTACACGCAAGCTGGGTTTATTGAAAAGTTATGATAAATTTGCCATCAAAAAGGAATAATCGCGCTCATATCGTAATTTTTTTTCTGCGGTTTGCAAGTTTCTTCCTTGTCATTGTAATTTTTCTATAAACCGCGCTATGGTGTACGAGACGAGATAAAGTAATTCATTAATAAAAGTATTCGATAAATTACACAGACCTGTTTTCTTTGTTGTTGAAGCGAATAAGTGAAAATTTATAACGTCGTTTCGTAAATGACTTATGTATTTTATTTCGTGATGTTTTATTATAAGGTATTAATGTATGTGATTTCCTGAAGCGAGCGATTAAAAATATTCTATAGATAGGTACTTATACGTATGCTGAGCTATATTAGTTTAACTACAATATTTTTTAACAATAATCACATGAATATTAACTTTCCGAGAAGATCATCATTGTAGTGGACGGAAATAAATCTTACTAGATATTTTTCATAAAGTAAACCTTAGAGAGTAAATTTTATTTTATAGTAATAAAATAACGATTACATATTTATGATATTATATTACACTGATAACTTCATTAATCTGTTAACCTGAATCATTAATTAACAAAATAATGTATCAGAAGCTCGCTATTTAAAAAAGAGCAGTTAGTGAAATATTATGATTAGAGTTATGAATATCTATAAAAATTAAAATAGATTTATAACCATGAAGAAAAATGAGAAAGAGATTATGAGTTGGTTTTCCTTGAACTTTGTATTTGCAGCGCCTCTATGTCCATACAAGTAAACTTAAACAAACTTGAGCCAATAGGTCTGTTCTTTTCTGCACCGGTGTTGCACTGGTGCAATAAGTTAAAGTGAGACAAATATATACTTGTCTCAATCGAACTTATTGCACTAGTGCAGCAGTGCAGAAGAAAAGAACAGACCTATTGACATCTACCACTAGGCACACTAAAATATAACTATACTGGAAAAGGCACAGTCTCTATAAAATAAGTGAAAAAAATGTAAAATTTTCTGCCCAGGTAGAAATCCTCCTTCAAATGATGTCTATAATGCAAATTTAAGCTTTAAACCTTTAATCCGGATCTACAATAGGTGTAAGCTTCCAGTTTTAAACAATTGGCCAATTACAGTTAATTATTCTTGTAAATGTCGATTGCGATTGATTAATTTTTTAAAGCTTATTATATCGATTGTACACCTATTGTAGATCCGGATTTAAGCAAAGAATTTATTAAAACGTTTGGTCTGTTCTCTTTAGCTGCACTGCGGAACTAGTGCAATAAGTTAGAATGAGATAACTATATTTTTTCTCACTTTAACTTATCGCATCAGTTCAGTAGGGCAGTTAAAAGAAACAGACCAGTTTATAATTTCATTGGTCCATACCTAGTAAAATCACTAGTTTTCGTAATTTTCATCAAATTGCGCGATACACAATCAATTCCATAAATCTTTATAGAAGAGCTCATAGAACATATATAAAGCCTGCGGCACAAGGTGCTTGTTTCATGCTGGATTGCTTGCTGGATGAAAATACTGCGTTCTGATTGGTACATTTCCGAAGATGGATGGAAATGTACCAATCAGAACGTAGTATTTTCATCCAGCGAGCAATGCAGCACGAAAACAAGCACCGTGTGCCGCTAGCTTAATATGTTTCCTATATTTTATACAGTTTTCTATATGAAAATATAAGAAACTATTCAAAATGGCCAAATGACCAATCCTGGCCGTGTTCGAAAATTCACTGCCAGTACTGAAAATATATAATTTGTGTCACGCAAACTATAACTTTTCAGCGCTGGCAGTGAATTTTGGAACACGGCCCCTGTACATGCTCAATCTTGGCTATAGCCTGCGTTCCGAAATTCACTGCCAGTACTGAAAATACATAGTTTGTATCACATATACTATAGAATTTCAGTGCATCGCGTTGCTATCGATATATGTCATATCGAATTTAGTTCTAAATGTGCGTTGCTTAGTCCAGATGGCAGCACAACGATCTAAGAAGTACACAAATGAGTGTCCACCTCCTGAAAAAATCTAGCCTTTGAATTGTTATTGAAATGGCAAATTCATTAACGAACGTGACTGTATCGAGCATCTTGAAGAACAAGAGCTCGTTTGAGGATGAACCACGAAAGAAGAGTCGAGAAGACTGGCGAAAAGCAAAGGAACTCGAAGAGGCGAGAAAAGCTGGTACAGCTCCGGCTGCTGTTGATGAAGAAGGGAAGGATATCAATCCACATATACCTCAGTATATCAGTGCAACACCATGGTATTTTGGTGCCCAAGGCCCTACTTTGAAGCATCAGCGGCCACAGCCTGAGAAACAGAAACAGTTCAGTGCTATTGATGCATGGTACAATCGTGGAGTAGATGATTTGAGAGCAGCAATCAAGTATCGTAAAGGTGCTTGTGAGAATTGTGGTGCGATGACACACAAAAGGAAAGAATGTATGGAAAGGCCACGTAAAGTTGGTGCTAAGTACACAAATTTCAAGATAGCTCCTGATGAATTTACCCAGCCTGAGTTATCAATGGATTATGATGGTAAGAGGGATCGATGGGCTGGTTATGACCCATCTGAGCATAGAGCTATAGTAGAGGAATATCAGAAAGTAGAGGAAGCTAAGAGACAAATGCGTGCTGAAAAGCTCAATGCGGAAGAAAATGATGAGCAGGATTCAGACAAGGATGAGGATAAATATGTGGATGAAGTGGATATGCCAGGCACAAAAGTAGACTCAAAGCAGCGTATTACTGTGAGAAATCTACGTATACGAGAAGACACTGCCAAATATCTTCGCAATCTGGATCCAAATTCTGCATATTATGATCCTAAGACTAGATCTATGCGAGATAATCCTTACACTGGCACTGAGCGTGAAGTGGATTATAAAGGTGAAAACTTTGTACGTTTTTCCGGCGATACACAGCAACATGCCAATGCACAATTGTTTGCTTGGGAGGCGCATGAGAAAGGAGTTGATGTACATTTACTCGCTGAACCTACGAAATTAGAATTGTTAAAGCAGGAATATGATAAAAAGCGGGATGAATTGAAAGACAAAGCACGCGACAGTATAATTGAGCGTTATGGAGGTGAAGTACATCTCGAAGCACCACCAAAGACACTGTTGTTAGCGCAGACCGAACATTATGTGGAATATTCAAGATATGGTAAAATAGTTAAGGGACAAGATAGACACATCATACGATCTAAATATGAGGAAGACATATATCCAAATAACCATATGTCAGTGTGGGGTTCTTACTGGCAAGATGGAAAATGGGGTTACCAGTGCTGTTATTCCTTTATTAAAAATTCATATTGTACCGGGGAATCTGGGAAGAAATCAGTCGAAGCTATGGCTAACATACAAAATAAAATATTTGCGAAATCTGACACAGAGGAAACGGAAGATAACGAATCCTGGCGATTGTCGGATATTCCGAACGAGAAACATTCCTCAAACAGCGAGTCCTCATCTGATAACGAAGATGCAAAGAATAAAACAGAGAGACAAAGCAAGGCGATTAAACGAAAACTGAAAAAACAGAAAAGGAAAGAAAGTCGTAAAAATAAGAAAAGAGATGAGAAACAGAAAGACAAACTAAAGGAAGCGTTGAGAAAAGAGGAAGAAAATGCGAAAGAAGCAGACAAATTGTTAAAGATGGACGAGAAAAAACGTCCGTATAATAGCATGTACGAGGCGAAGGAACCAACGAGTGAAGAGATAGAAGCATATCAGATGAAACGCAAACGCCACGAGGATCCAATGACAAATTTTCTTTAAAGTTAATTACAACGTCATTTGTAATGATGTAAGTTAATGTTGTATATATTTTCACATATAATTTTCACATCAATATAATGTATATATTGTATATATTTTCAGAGAATTAAAGAAGTCTAAAATTAAGTAATCTATATATATATATATATATATGCATGCATATATATATATATAAAGAAAATAAGTAAATATATGTAATACACACTACATATTAATGTTAAGTTAAGTTAACAAATGTATAAGTAAAAAGAAATATAAATATTGGTTATAAGTTACCAGGTATGTAAATATGAAACCGGAATTTTTGTATAGAAAATACGTTTATTGTATGAAAATGATAAAAAATATTTTATTCGAAGTATTGCCCATCCCTAGCTATACATTTTTCCCACCTGTCTGACAACTTGTGGATGCCACGCCAAAAAAACTGTTGCTCTTTTGAGGCAAACCAGTCATCGAGCCATTTTCGTACATTTTCGTAAGAAGTGAAGTGCTGCTCAGCAAGTGCGTATCTCATCGATGCAAATAAGTAGTAATCCGACGGAGTCAAGTCTGGTGAGTAAGTCGCATGCGAAACTATTTCTCAACTAAACGCCTCAATCGTTTCCTTGACTAGTTTTGCTGTGTGTGATGGTGCATTATCATATGAAGCAAAATCACTTTGTGTTGCCTTTTTTGATATTCTGGTCGTTTTTCACGCAAAGCTTAATTCAAATCGATCATTTGTTGTCGGTAGCGTTCAGTATTAACGGTTTCGCCAGGTTTTAGCAGCTCATAATAGATCACACCCTTCTGATCCCACCAAACAGAGCATTGTCTTCCGTCCATAGCGATTTGGCCTTGCAGTCGATGTCGATGGTTCGCCTGGAGTTACCCGTGAGTTTTTACGCTTAAGATTCTCAAAATATATCCACTTTCATCGCCAGTCACAATTCGATGGAGAAATGACTTTCTTTTGTACTTGGCAAGCAACATTTCGCAAGTGGTTCTTCGGTTTTCCTGCTCGGTCCTGTTTTCGGTTTTTCGGTTGTCTTTTATTCAGTTCATGTGGAACCCATTTTCCCATCTTCTGGATTTTTCCCATGGCTTTCAAACGTATGGAGACGGCTTCTCGTGTCACATTTAATTGATCCGCGAGTTGTTGCGTTTGAGCGTCATCCTCATCCAACAATGCTTGCAATTCACTGTCTTCAAACTTTTTCGGTGGTCTTCCACGTTCTTCATTTCTTACATCAAAATCGCCATGTTTGAATTTTTTAAACCACTTAAAGCATTGTGCGATTCTGCAGCAGTTTTCTTCAAATGGTAACAGAAAATCAATGCTGTCCGCAAATTGTAGCTTCTAGGCACAAAATTCGACATGTTCAACGCTATTACAAACTATGCTGTTGTATGAAACTTGTATTGTTGTGAGTTGAAAATCTTTGTCAGATGTCAACAAATGGAAATGGCGCCAATGACGTGGTTTGACGGTAACTACATTGACAGCTAGGGCCATCTATGGGCAAATCCGGTTTCATATTTACAGACCTGGTACATTTGAAATTATATAAATATATATATATTTTTAAATAAGATGAACTATTGTATAGCAAATTGATAAATCAGACATTTTCAATTTTGGTTCGCTATATTCCTATTGATTATAAATATATTGCTATCAACTACATCTTAATTTTGGATGTGCTTGGAAAAGGGGCACTCAATTCAACACAACACGATTAGACACACCAATGCAACCAACCAACCGATATAAGTATTATCTGGTGAATTACTAGATCCAACCAATCATTTACTTTATGTCCAATTGTGCTGTGTTGAATCGGTCTAGAGCAGTCGCCCGACAAGCAAAAGATCCGGATTCGATTCCCGGTCTAGCGAGTACCGCGCTCTCGATATTTTTCTCTCTTCGGAATGAAAATAAGATGCAGGTCCCGAACGCACGGCGTCCCGTCGCCACCTAGTACGCATAGTACCTCCTTTCATGGTCGACGCAACAAGAACTTGTTGCAAAATTTGGTGTAACTCAACCAGCTATTTCCGTACGCTTAAAGTACGCTTGAAAGAATTGCAAGGCAGCCCCTTGAGTTCCACATGTGTTCACTCAGAGGCAGGTATGGTGTCCCTCGGCGATGTCGTATACGCCTGTAAAACAATCGAAAGCGATGACAGGCATATACGCATACGCATATGGGCGTACTGCACAGCGCGAGAGAAGCGAAGAGGGAGAAGTGGTGGGAGACGTTCCGATGTTGCATCCTTATCGCACGTCGCACGATCGAGAGAGAAAGCATTACCAGACGTGGTACGGTTAAGCTAAGACTCCATGCATGCGGTGAACTGCGGCAAATGCTGCGGTGACCAATCAGGAGGGAGGCGCAAGTCCGGTTGCGGCAAGCTCCGGCATGCGTCTGTCTTCTGATTGGTCACCGCAACCGTTTGCCGCAGCTCACCGCATGCATGGAGTCTTAGCTTTAATGGTGTCCCCAATAGCTGTCTCACTCTCTCTACGCTTGAATGCAGGCAATATGAGTGAGACAGCTATAGAGACACCGCGCTGTCTCTATAGGTGTCTCGCTCGCTCTAATAGCCAGGTATCGCGGTTTCCTCTTTTCTTCTTAGCAGAAATGCCGATTAAGGAGGCAATCCTGTCTGTAGACCAGAAAAATAAGCTATTTTCGCGAATTTTTTTTTTCGGAAACTAAGCAGACAATTGATTTCAAACTGGATAAAAATAATAATATATATTTTATTGATGAGAATGAATTTTTATAGCGTTATATGAATAATAATGTAGCAAATATACAAAAAATAACGTGACGTGTTTAGGTGCGCGCCGTTTCACGGTTCCTATAAAATCTCGAAATACGGTAGACTGGGACAAAAACGCAAGTAAAATAATTAATTTACGAACTTGCTGCTAACTCGTTTGAATTAAGGAAATAAAAAACGAACTACTTTTTTAATATTTTAAGGCATTTAAAAATTATATTTGAAAAATCGTCATAAATATCGATGATTTTACATTAAGAATATTTATTAAGAATTTATTAAGAATAAATTATTTTATTTTATTAAATATACAATATATTTATCTAAAATATACAATATATTTATCAATGTGCGAGACCGTGCTTGTCAAATACGCTATTATGTGGTCTGTTCTTTTTAGCTGCACTACTGAACTGGTGCAATAAGTTAAGGTGAGAAAAAATATAATTGTCTCATTCTAACTTATTGCACTAGTTCCGCAGTGCAGCTAAAAAGAACAGACTAATGGTTATAGCACGGAAATAAATCGCCTGAAAATGGATGTAGCACGGACTGCCAGGTCCGTGGACCTCCAGGTCCACAGGACATGCAGGTTTTACCGCCGAAACCTGAAAGTGGATGTAGCATCGTAGTTCCCCTTTCAAAATGGATGCAGATGGCGCCTTTCTCCAGTGCGGAAAGTCGGTGTCGCCGAAAACACCGTGTTGGCCGCTTTCACGTTCCTCTCTGGTTGAATAGACACAAATCCTTGTTTGGAAATAGATGTGGCTGCTGCCAGTAAAGGAAATAAAGTTGGCAATAGTGAAAATTATTGGTGCTGCGTTTCGCCTCTCGTATCACTCTGCTGTTATCATCGAAACGGACGTAACTTGTATGTATTTTCTCAAGGGACGCGTCGAAAAAAGTGTCCCTTGGAATTCGGCGCAGTACTCGCTCTCAAGCTTTTCTCTGATCATGATACATGTATGGAGAATGGCGTAGAGGGCGTAGAGGCTTACTTCCACCACAGGCCCAGAGCCATCTATTGAAGGAAGGAAGGATGATACATGTATATTGGTCTGTTCTTTTTAGCTGCATTGCTGAACTGATGCAATAAGTTAGAGAGAGATGATTATATTTTTTCTCACTCTAAAGCCAACGGCACACGGTGCTTGTTTTCGTGCTGGGTTGCATGCTGCAAGAAAATACTGCATTCTGATTGGTACATTTCCGAAGATGGATGGAAATGCACCAATCAGAACGTAGTATTTTCATCCAGCAAGCAATCCAACACGAAAACAAGCACCGTGTGCCGCTGGCTTAATTTAATGCACCATAGTTCAGCAGTGCAGCTAAAAAGGACAGACCCTATATATGTTCGTTTTGACTGCACTTGTTTGTACTTTTGGGACTAGATAAACCGATATGTGGTGAACGTGGTGCTTCAGGGCACCTTGAATTATGAAACGGTCCTGACGAACGCATGGCACAAGTATGTGAAAATTACATGGTGCATTCACTTCTACGAATGCAGTTTCTCCAGCGTGGTCTATCTTACATCGTGGGTAGGATAGTAGTCCACCACGTGTGTAACAAAGTTTCTCTCGTGAAACCGTCTGTCAGAAGCGTCACTGTTACCGCCAGTCTACCTGATTTTAGCCGGTGGGGCACCAACAAAGTGAACAGGAGATTGAAAATTGCCCTCGCGCTCGATATGACAGATCCTAAAGTCGAGGAAGTCCTAGCACCGCTCCGGGCAAGTGTCAAGGAACAAGTGAGTGCCATATGGAGATAAAGACCTTTCAATTGTATTCTCTTGAAAGGTCTTTCTCTCTTTAAAAGAAACTTACTATATTATCAATGTTAATGTTAATGGTACTTTGATTAAAAATGGAGAGAGATCTCTCAGTATACTAATCAACTTTGTATAAGTAGTATTTCATTATAAGTATTATTTAACATCAAATATTAAAAATTTAATACTTTTACAATATGAATTTCTAATATTAATATAACATAATATTTTTAACATTAATATAAATGTATTGTATTTGGCTACAGAGAATTTGTGTCTCTAATTATTTTTTACAGAGTTTTGGAGTTTTTACAATCAAATTATAACATCAATGCAAATTGTGTTTTATTTGACAAAAATTAACATAGTTGAATGTTTTACATTTATATACATGTATGCAACAAACTTTATATTTGTCTTCAGAATTATATTTTGAATTGTTTATAAACTTTTTATGTCTTTTATGAGATACACATCATGGAAAATTATGATGAATTTTTATGATTACTTTTCTTTATCAATTGCGAGAAAGAGATAAAGAGATTAATATGTATAAGTTATGATATATATGTGATATTATTTTAGATAACTGAAAATTATTCTTTCCTCAGATATTATTGTATATTCTGTGTATATTTACAGGGTGATTATGTACGGAAGTTAAAGTTTGATGGTGCTCCAGAGTTGGACATTAAAAAAGCTGTAGCAGAATTAAAGCTACGCAAGAAAGTACTAGAGGATAAGGAACTGTCATTGGCTTCCAATAACATAACATTCGACAAAGCAAGAATGGAAGATCTCTTGAAGCGTAGATTCTTCTTAGATCATTCCTTTGCAATTTATGGTGGTATCACTGGTCAATATGATTTTGGACCTATGGGTTGTTCATTGAAAACCAACATATTAAATTTTTGGAGGAACTTCTTTGTGCTGGAGGAACAGATGCTGGAGGTTGACTGTTCTATTTTGACACCCGAACCAGTGCTAAAGGCATCTGGTCATGTAGAGCGTTTTGCCGATCTGATGGTTAAGGATATAAAGACTGGCGAATGTTTTCGACTTGATCACTTAATCAAGGCACACTTGGAAAAAATAATCTGTGATAAGAAGACTGACGAGGAAACTCGCGAGGAATGCAGGGACATCATCATCAAACTGGACGGAATGACAAAAGACGAGATGGCTGCAATCTTGTTGAAGTACAACATGAAATCGCCGATATCTGGTAACGATTTGACAGAACCGATGGAGTTCAATCTGATGTTTGGCACACAAATAGGCCCAACTGGCCTTATTAAGGGTTTTCTGAGACCGGAGACGGCCCAAGGTATCTTCGTGAACTTCAAACGACTACTAGCCTTCAATCAGGAGCGACTTCCGTTCGCAGCAGCGCAAATCGGCAATGCTTTCAGGAACGAGATTTCGCCGCGATCCGGTCTCATACGCGTCCGCGAGTTCACTATGGCGGAGATCGAGCATTTCTGCGACCCGAGCAACAAGAGTCATTCCAAGTTTGAAACGGTCAAGGATATCGACATGCTGCTGTATTCCGCCTGTAATCAGATGGATGGCAAGAGCGCGCAACGCATCACCATAGGCGAAGCCGTAACTTCCGGCCTCGTGGCGAATGAGACCCTTGGTTACTTTATGGCGCGAATTCATCAGTTCCTGTTGAAGGTCGGCGTTGACCCAGTCCGCTTACGTTTCCGTCAGCATATGAGCAACGAGATGGCGCATTACGCCTGCGACTGTTGGGACGCCGAGTGTCTTACCTCCTATGGCTGGGTCGAATGCGTGGGCTGCGCAGACCGTTCCGCGTATGACCTGACACAACACACTCGAGCTACCGGCGTAAAGCTGGTAGCAGAGAAGAAGTTACCCGCCCCGAAAACGGTGGCCGTTTGCGAGGTCGTACCGAACAGGGTGGTGATTGGCAAAACATTCAAGAAGAACAGCAAAGCTGTGCAAGACGCATTAGTGACTTTGGATGAGAATGAGATCATCTCTTTGGAGAAAGTTATCAATGAGAACGGCGAGTATGAACTTGCGTTGGCCGATAATATCGTGAAGATCACTAAGGATATGATAGAGGTGAAGCGTTATCAGAAGACTGTTCACGTAGAGGAAATTGTACCTTCAGTGATCGAACCCTCCTTCGGCATCGGTCGTATCATGTACGCTCTGTTCGAACATAACTTCCGGACGAGGGAGGGTGACGAGAAGAGAACGTACTTTACCTTGCCGCCTGTGATAGCACCGTTGAAGTGCTCGGTGTTACCACTCAGTGGCAATGACGAATTTGTACCGTTCGTCAAAAAATTATGTAAGTGATCCTGGGTCTATGTATTACATTGCATTGTTTTGATAGGACATTACTTCTCTGTGTCTGATGCTTGGTCTCTATATGTTAACAATTTTGCTTTTATCGGCAACAGCGCAAGCTCTCACGAAAGCAGACATATCGCATAAAGTGGACGACTCTTCCGGCAGTATAGGTCGCAGGTATGCTCGTACTGACGAAATAGCGATACCGTTCGGTATTACCATCGATTTCGATACCCTGAAGACGCCGCACAGCGCGACGCTCCGAGACAGAGATAGCATGGGACAAGTTAGGATAAACGTATGTATACTTATTTTATTATGAAACTTATTTTAAATGAAAAACATGAAACTTATGATGTTTGCAATTGCAGTCTATTCGAAAGAACCATTTAGTATAGCGAATGTAACTTATAATTAATTTTTATGATTTTGACGAATAATTTTTTAAGAATTCCAGTTTAATAATATATACGTTTCCAATGTCATCTTGATGTAATAAGTGCATTATAGCATTAAGCATATATAAATAAAATAAGAATTAACAAATTAATTATTACTTATTATGCATTAATTATTGTCATTAATATAATAAACGGTTTTTTAACCGTAGTTGGATGAGCTGCCTGGTGTCGTGAAAGATCTCTCCTATGGCAGAACTACTTGGATGGAAGTAGAGACAAAGTATCCCAAATTCGAGCAACAAGAATCTACGGAATCGTGAAGAACATAGATAGACCAGCGAATGTAATTTATTTGTAGTAGATAGAAGCTTGTAATAACACAAGATTTATATTAAGACATATATAATTTGTACGATATATAATAACGTATGGATTGCATATTTATCACAGATATTTTCTACATTCAGCATTGAGGTGTCTATCAGATAAATATATTATTAAATTAATATTATTCTAAATTAATCGAGCAAATTAATTCTTCAGAAATTTCGAAATTTATATACACTACTCAAAAAATTATGGCATAGATAATTTATGGCCGAAAATTGGCCAACTATGACTGGCGATTACTTCGCAAAAAATTATTGTTGACTAATGATTTCTTTTTTCAAAATGAAGCTTGAAGTTTCTATTTTAAGAATGAATCTCCATTTTTGCATGCGATGCACCCCTACCCCTGTAACCCCTGACATCTGAGGGCATGTTTGGTATACTGAAAATTACAAAGTTTGACGGAATGCACGGACGTGGACAATTTTTTTTCGGGGACGCTGTGTGCATCGTCATAAAGTTCAAATCTTCCCCTTCAATTTGAAAAAAAAAATGGAGTCGCTACAATTTTTTTTCACAAAGTTATAGCCCTTCAAAAATATCGTTTTTGACTTTCGGGCCAAGTACCGGCCGGGGGATTAAATGACTGGAAATCATACAAATAATGAAATCATTTATGTCATGTATATTATAGATTTTCAATGCTGGCAATGAATATCGGAACATAGCTTATATAGAAAAAGAAATGGAAAAAGATTCGGGCTCCATAAAAACCTTCAGACGTGGTTCTCTATATTACCCAGATAACCAAACTTGCGAGCAACGGCAAAAGTGTTTGTTGACGTACACACGCAAGCACGCGCACATGTTTTTCAGATCCTGGCTCGTGTTTTGACCACAGCCAACATTCCTAGCATCGGCAAACAAACTCTCCGTATTCTCCACGGCTCCGTACGATTTCTGAAGGGTTGTAACTTTGCGAAAAAAATTGTAGCGACTCCATTTTTTTTCAAATTGAAGGGGAAGATTTTAACTTTATGACGATGCAAACGGCGTCCCCGAGAAAAATTGTCCGCGTCCGTGCATTCCGTCAAACTTTGCAATTTTCGGTATACCAAACATGCCCTCAGATGTCAAAAATTACAGGTGTAGGGGTGCATTGCATGCAAAAATGGAGATACATTCTTAAAGTAGAGACTTCAAGCTTCGTTTTGAAAAAAAAAATCATTAGTCTATAATAATTTTTCGCGAAGTAATCGCCAGTCAAAGTTGGCCAATTTTCGGCAATAAATTATTTATGCCATAATTTTTTTGAGCAGTGTAAATACATCTACAATCACTCAAAACTGTCCGTTATTAATGATGTTAAATATCGTAAACTTCGAGGGTTTACAACATTTAACGTCATTAATAACAGAATTTACCTCCCGAGAAAAAAAGTAATTATGCAAAATTATATATAATTATATATAAATTATGTATAAATTTTGTCTATATATGGCCACATATAATTATATATGTTTACACAGAAGAAGTATATTAAATGAAAAAAAAAGAAAAAATAGTTTTATTTAAATAAACGTGGACATCATGTATTGCCAGAAGCATAAATATTTACTTTGATTGCATTTGTAGAACATTTTTTTCGTTATAGATACATGATTGTGTATGATTATATATAGTTATATGTTGACAAAATTTATATATAATCTGTTTTTCTTAGGTACTGATTTTTTACTTTCTATTATATTATAATTACATGTGCATTTTTCTAAAGCATTTATTTGTGTAGGAATTTTTATGAACACTAAACAATAAAGATTGTTCCTTCATGATTTTCTTATTTTCGTACTTTGTACTTTAATACTATTAATAATGGCTAATATTATCCCTTAACAGATATTAGAGACCACTTGAATTGTAGCAGAACATTTCTTATTAAATTTAATTTCTTAGCAAATTTAATTAGCGAAATATTTCTTGTTAAATTATATAGTTCTTTAATACAAAGTTAATTCACAAAACTAATTTTGCAAAATTTTAGAAGTTGTCGGTAAAGGCGTTTTCAACGAAGCTGCATTTACTTTCAACGATCGATATAAGGTTTGAATTCATGTATGGACTACAGATGGCAATATGAATCACTTCTGGTCTTTTTGAAAGATTACCTCGAAATATAACATCGAATTATAATTTAATATGGCATGATGGAAGTTACTTAAGATGTTCGAATGCCTCATTATATAATTTAAAACAGTACACATAATATTATTAAATTAATGGTATTGTGAAATAATGTTATTATATTGGAATTAAATATTTGTATTATCCTATGCAGTTTACGAATTCGTATTGCCCGGTGCGCGGCGACCAATCATGTGCTTCAATCAAGATCATTGATATATCGCATTATGTGATATACTGAGCGTTCAGTAAGATTTTACATCTGATTGGTATATATTTAAAAATTTGAAAGAACCAATGAAATATGAATTTACTGAAAGCATTCAGTGAGCAGTTATAATGTTGAATGTATGCTATGAATTTCATTGCTAGTGCGAAAGTCGTGAAGATCATTCGTGTTTTTCGTATGCGGATATGCTGGTTACAATTGTATTTCTTCGACCACGATAGTGGATTCACAAAGAGAAACGTGTCGTGAACGCGGATTCATCGATATTTCCTGAGCGTTTCGTCCTTCGAGACGTATATGAGAAATAACTTTATGTGGTTAGGTTCGGGCATTGGAGTATTGCGCGACACCGATAAAAGATAGAGGTAAGTTATATTCGCTAATAACTGTTCATTAAGACAATGAATATTTACCGGGTCAAAATAAATGCTAAGTTATGATCACGAATTTAATTACGCGGTTAATTAGAAACACTGGAATAATCATCTTGTTATGTTATGTATTTCGCGATGTTTGTATCAGTAGACGTGCGGAAATCAATCGCAACGTTCTAAACATTTGACATATCGTGGATCAATAATCACCATAACCACTCAGTACGTGGTAAATCGATACCGCCATTAGTGTGAACGGGAATAACGGGTCGTGTCAGTCGCGAATGATCGTTCGTAATTTTCGTGCGCGGGTTTACCGGTTAGAGTTGTGCTCGATCGATCACAACGGCAGAATCGCGAAGAAAAGTAGTTACGAATACAGATATTTCCCGAATATTTCACTTTTCAGTGGCATACATGCGAGGAGAAACATTGTTTCGTCATACGGACATTGAAGCATCTCGGAACCCCATTAAAAACTCGAGGTACGTTAATTGACTAATGGTCGTTCGTTAAAATACACGTTGAATATTTACTAGATCACAATAAATATTATAAGCTGTGAGTAGGAAAAGAATCGAATACACAGTTGAATTAACACTTTTGGAAAGAAGCACTTGGACAATGATACAACGTCAATGCGATTCGCACTATTTGTATTAGTAGTCGTGTGCAAATCAATGGCGCCGCTCGAAATGCTCAATACATAACAAATTGATAACCGCCATTAAAGTGAAAGAGATAACGGGTCGCGTCAGTCGCGAATAATTCGCTCGTGATTTTCATGCGCGGCATGCCGCTTAAAATTATAATCGATCGATCGTGACGAGTTATGAAGAAAAACGCGAGTGCAAATTTATTGATATTTTTCTGAACGTTTTAATTTTTGATAGCGTGCAGGCGAAGAAAAACTTTGTATGGTTATATGGAAGCCGGAATATCTTGGGATGTCATTAAAGATCGAAATGTATTGAACTGATTTTTTCTCTCTCTCTCTCTCTCTCTCTCTAACGGTCGTTCATTAAGTTGTATATTAAATATTTCTACTGAATCGTGCCGAACAATGATTACGAATTCGAGTAGTACACAATTAAATTGGAAACACTTGAATAATGATATCATGTCGATGCGATATTTGCATTAGTTGATGTGCGGAAATCAATCGCAGCGTTCGAAACGCTTGATATATCGCAGATCAATAACCGCTATTAATACGGACGGGGTAACGGAATGTGTCACTCGCGAATGATCGTGATTTTCATCGCGCGGATATTCCGGTTATATACGCACAATCGACTGATCACGGTGATAAAATTGGGAATATGCTGTGAATGCGAACGTATCAACATTTTTCAGGGATTTGTACGGGGACGGTTTTCCTGCAGGAGGCGTCGTTCTGCAATTCTGCAGTCAAGAATATTCTAAAGCGACATTAGGATATTGAGGTAAATTGAAATTTAGTTTACATCTCTGAATTAAAATGTACGATAAATATTTCTGTTGGATTATGATAAGCGCTGAAGTGTACGGAGAGAAATATCATTATTCAATTTATTTTCTTTCTTTAAATCATGGTTATTTTCAACAAAGAATGTTTTCTTAATAATAATCTTAAAATATACTTATTACAATTTTTTCTTTAAATTGCTCCATGTACTTAAAAGAAGAATTTATTTTCTTTTTCACAAGAATATTATAAAATCTATACTCTATATAGAAAAGAAACAAACCAAAATGTTAATTTAATTTAATATTCTTGTTTTAATTCAACATTTTTTCTTTAAATGATAAATTTGTTAAGATTCAGAATTTATGTTAAGTAAATTGAATGCTTTCAACTTATGACAGATTTACAGTTGTATAAATTTGGGAAATACTTGAAACACGTAAAGATTGCTTAAATGCAGTATTTTTTGTATATACAAATTAAATACAATTGTTCATAAAAGTAATTCTTGAATAATTCTATTCAAATTATAAATTCTCAATATCGGTGAAATATTTTTTCGTATAATTTATGTACAATTTATTTCATCGTTAAAATAAGACATTACAAAAAATGTATGAAATACATATGTAATTCCAATGAGTTATAATTCATTACGGAAAAAGTGAATAATGTACACAACAATTATTTTAAAGAGTTTTGCCGGATCATTATTACATTGTATTTATTATATCTTAGGTAAAATATCAATATTATAGCTGACTGCCTTTTTATATTTTACTATTTGTATTTTATTCGCCGAGCGTTTTTCGCGAAATATTGAATAGAAATAATTTTTTAACTATTAGTCATGATGACCGCAGCCAACGTCCGTGATTAACTCCCAATCTGGTTAATTGGGTTCTCGGCTCTCGGATTCAGATCTCATGTTTTGTCCGCTCGACTATTGTGCGAATATAAAGCACAAACTCTACGAGAGAT